CCTATCCGTAGCAATAGACCAGATCAGCCTGACCGAGTGTTCCCCGTCCTACCTGCCGACCGACCCCCCCTGACATATAACAGAAGACGGTCGGGATCGCGACAAAATACAAAGGCAGGCGCGAGTTTATGTAACTACTAGGTGCAGGGTGGGTCCCCGCTCTTGACCAGCTGTGACACTATGCTTCGCCTATATATTCCGTATAAGCATGAACCAGCCCTTAATAAGTCTCGGATCTTTATATTTAGCCCGCTAGTGGTTACATTTACGAACCTAGCGCGTGCGAAGTTCTTAATAGCGTTTAATCAAGTTTAAAGACTAATACTTACTAACAAGTAGCGCGTCGCGTACGCGTAATAGTTAGTTAGCTATATCTTTAATACTAGAAAGTCGGGGAAGAAAAGATCGCGAAGATAGATCGAGTACATAATTAATAACCGCTCTCTCTTCTAAATCCGTTAGATTTATTGAATTTAGCCTAGTTTCGGCTCTAGCCTTAAAACCCTTTAGTTAGCAACGTATAGTCGTTAGAGGTATATTATAGACCTTGGTAATATATCGCATACTTAATAACGCGTCTCCTCCGAGAGCTGCGAGGGCAAGGGTCACCCTAGATTCTTTTGGAAGTTCATCTATCGTTAAATGCGGTAATAATTGGTGAGGAATGTAGTCGTGTGCAGATGACGGGGAAGGTGCGCCGCTCGCTTGGGTGCGCCGCTCGCATGTGGATTACGTTATTGGCTGGCTGACCTGTCACTTTCTTCTTTCGATGAACAATCACCAAACCCATCGAATTAAGCCTTGAAACACCCGAGCAGATCTGCGCAAGGTGCCAACCTTTGATTCGGATTTATGAGCCGCAAGATGGTCATCTGCTTAACATCCTTGCCGGGCATCACAATGGTGAAGAGCGAGTAGCGACGAGAAATGATCGACAGTCCGAGAACAAGTCGCAGCAGCGCTTACACATCGCCCAGCTACCAGCAGAGTGATTCCTGCAGAGCAGCTCACCAGAACGGCGTGGCGACCCAAGCGGTCGAGACAGAGCTCTGGTTAGCAAAGTGGTCCTGTGGAGCCCAGCCTGCTGTCAGCCATCCCCACATTGTGTCTCGCAGTTCGCCTCCCCCGATGGGGTACTCTACGTACTCTCTTGGGGAAGGAAAATTAGAGCATATGCGGCCTCATCTCCATCTTCTCTCTGTGCAGTCGCATCCTGTGTGATTCTCCCAAAGTAGCCTTCAAACAGCTTGGCGCCGCATAAGCTCTGAACCTTGGGTGTAGGTTGGACGACAAACGTACATGTGCCCCGTCAAGTGTTGTCTGCGTGCCTGAAATTTGAGACATAGTGGTGAGGCAAACCTACCTCGCTACTGCTTCTCCCTACCTTTGTACCTTAGACATGCGTTCATGTTCGCCTCCATTCTCGCCCGGGGACAGAAGGGGCCGGAAGTTTATTCGCCATCCGAAAGATCTCGCATGAACCGCTTACCCTCGGTGGCCAGGAGAGTATTTTCTCCTGTCCTTGGTGCACTGGACGAAATGGTACAATCAGTGGCATGTTTGGAGAGAATTCAAAGCCCAAATGATCATGTAGTTGTCCACAGGCGCCCTGGTGATTGCTACATTACAAGTATCTGTTGTCCAAGATGGGATAATATCCCCCCTATGTACCCTGGCTATGTCCTCCGCTGTTTTCCCGCCCAATCATGTGGTAGCGAACGTGAGAATGCCAGCCATGTACAAAGCCTCAGGAGAAGTGAAAGTGAAAATGGTATCTCCTCCCCTATGATGAATCCGATGCCCCCTAATGCAAGAATGAAGGAAAGCCGTCCAAGCCACCCGTATGTCCATAGAATTAGAATGTGAAAAGAGTGTGTGACAAAGGCTGCTCCTTAGAAGTAATATTTGCTGGCGTCAGCCTCGACATAATCGGCGTCTGCACTCATGTCGGCGTCCCGCAGCTCCTTGGCCTTGGCGGTGACGCGGCGCTTGCGCGCTCGCTCCTCAGCTTCAATGATGGGCACGGCTTCCGGGATGAATTCGACTCCCCGGTTGCGGTTGTTGGGACGGGCGTGTAGCCGGCGGTGCGAGGCGAGATTGTCCTCGCGGTTCTGGGACTTGCCGCACCATTCGCACGTGTAGAGCATGGGACCAACACCTTTCGGGGCGTCTTCTCCGTGTGCACTAGACAGAATGTTAGTGTGAGATTTTTCTTGTGGTGAATATGCAGGTGCTTACGTTGACTTGTGACGCTTGAGGTGCTCGTTTCTTTGGTACTTCTTGGAGCATCCCGGGAAGTCGCAGAAGAATTGAGGGCTCTTGGCAAAATTAATGTTCTTCTTGCAATCGTAAGCGGGCTTGTGCTCTTTACCCGTCGCCCGGCGAAGCTGTGCGGTGTTGCGCTGTGCCCGGCGGGACTCGAGCTTGCGCTGTCTGCGGAGGTGTTCTTGGTGGGAATCGGGCTCCCCAAAGCACCCTTGGCTCATGGGCGAGGGTGTCTGGCGCTCGAGTTTGAAATTGGGCATGTCCTGGAAGATATCGTCGGCCCTGAAGCTGCTGCCGTGTGGGCTCTCGATGACGGACCATGACGAGGCTGAGGCGGATCTCTCGCTCCCGGCCATGCTGTGTGTGGGCGTCATCATGTACGACGTAGGGAACATCGTCTGTGGCGAAACGTGGTGCACGCCAAAGGACTGCGACGGGGTGAGGGTACCCATGGGCTGGCCAAAGCCAAAATCCAGCAGATCAAAGTCGGTGGGCATGGGGTTGGACTTCTTCATGGGCGTAATGGGTAGCGGGTCAAACAGCTGCTCGGGGTCCTGCTTGATGTGCTGCTGAGGGAAGTACTTGGCCATCGAGTCGGTGGCGGCGGACGGTGACATGTTGATGGCGTGATTCCCTGTGTAGACGGGCTGCTCAAAGTTGAACTCGTTGGGTGTCGATCGTCGTGAAGAGATGGGTGTCATGGCCTCGAAGCCTGACGAGGCGGAGGAGAAGCTGTTGGTTGTGGAAGGGCAAGCTATGGACTGGTTGCACATGCTAAACGCATCGTCCATGTCGAACCTGTACTCGGTATCGAACTGAAGCATCTTGATTACGAGGCTGTGTCTGGTGAAGGGCAGGTGTTTCTTTCCTTCGGTAGTGGCGGTGGTGGTGGTGTTGTCGTTGTTGTCGAAGAAAGTTTGGAAGGAGTGACGGTTTGCTGGACGGAGAGAACCTAGCCGGAATGCGCTTGGTCAAGCAGAGGGATGAAGATATATCAATGAGCGAGCTGGAATGAGTGGTGTGCGTCGGCGGACGAGGAGGTGCCGATGGGCCTGAGACAGCAGCTCCGCAGATCAGCTAAGCCCCAAGCTTGGGCGGGAAAGGAGTGGCTTGCCGTGGCAGAAAAGAAGGAGGGTGTAGTGGGAAGACGGAGAGACGAGAGAGTTGCGGATGGAATGGAATAAATATAAGTGACCAGTCCAAGGCACCTCAGACGGTGAATCTCGATCGGCTGGGGTTTTGCTGACGATCCGAGCAGAGGGGGGTTCTTTCGACTGACTGAACTGAACTGAAAACTTCCAAAGGAACCGGACTATCGTTGGTATAGATTGGGTGTTTAGGATGCTATGCCATGATGTTTCTGAGCTCGAGTCATCAATCTCGACGAGGGCGGGCGTCCTTGCGGACCTGGATCGTAGTTATACGGGACAAGGGGTGGATTCAGACCGGATCTTTCAGATCTGCTCGCTTCACCACACCAGGCATTGCCACAATGAGCGCAGCCAACGGGCAGTATCCAAAAGAAGAACAGCAAGTATCGCTCTTCTTGCTCTGGTGCATGCATTGCTGGCTGCACGATATGTAAGTAGTGCCTCTACGCTCAGACAGCACGGCAGCCAGCACTTGGCACTTGGTAGCTGGGGCCACTTACACGCACGCACAAAGAGCGATCTGAGAGGCTCGTGCGGCCGAGCAGGGGGAGGGGCGTGAGGACTTGAGAGGGGGGGTGGGGTGTCGCTCACCCGCCCTAACGTCTTGACAGCTGTTGTTCCCATGATAAAGCCACCGCGCACCGATCCTATACGCCCGTCAGCATTCAAAAGGGTCCGGGTCAGAGGGTCCCTGCGTCTGCGTCAGCAGGTACCTGGTCACTCGGGACGACGCAGTCCACTTCTCCCCGACGCAAGGTACATCGTCGCGCCCATCCAGTAGGAAGAGGCCGATCCCATCCACATGAGCTACTGCCAACAAGTTGAAGTCGCTGATCTATTCCCTCACGCTATCTCTTCTTCCTCTCTCTTCTCTCTGGCTTTGGCGACGGGAACCTCTGGATGGAATGGTGATGCCTGGCTTGTGAATGAACCTGACGCCCACTGTACGCTCGACTAAAACATGGCACCCGCTAAGACAAGACAGCCACTGCTATATCACCGAGTCGCCACCGGTTGAGCCCCCGACCATCGACGGGTGAGCTCATCCAGCTTCGTCCCTGCGAAATCATCTCCCCAATGAAGATAGATGTGGGGAGCGTCCAGAAGCAGGTCTGAGTTGGCCAGGCACAGGAGGGAACCTTTCTCAGGCACAAACGCCGCGGGTTACTAGATTCTCCTGCGCGTCTCACCCTTTAGAGGAACTTCCTGCCCTCTGGCTGCAGGAGTTCGCTCGTCCTGATACAAACTGCGTTCTCCCCAATATTCACCATGTCGGCGTCCAGGTTATTTGCCAATGGCTCAAAACAGCGTGGATTCGACACCATATTCTCGTCCGGAGGCGGAAGTGATAGACCAACATGCCCTCGGCTGATGTCATGATGGGGATTAGATAGTGCCATGATCCTCCATGGGCGACAATGGATGTTTGAGGGGCGGGACGCCGGGCAGCATGCGACCCGTGGTCCCTTGGCACCCTTTCTCTGCTAAGATTAGCCTGCCAGAAGCTATGAATGGCACAAAGCCAGCAGTGGCCAGCCACATTGCGCATGCATCTGTGCCGAGGATCTTTCCCACCGACCGATGATCATTGCCAGCGTCACGTCGCCCAAGTCCGACTCTCAGCTCACCGAAGAACCAAGGCAGTGAATGGCGAGACACTTTCATCCCGTCGATGTTCAATGCATGTGCAGACTGCAGCATGCATATGCTGGGCTGTGGGGTTGTTGGGACCCTTGGAGTCTTGGGAGTGGGAGGTACTCGTAAACATTGTACGATAGGTACGACGCCCTCAAAAGTCAAGAAACATTTTGATATTACTTTTTCCCCGGAGCGATGCGCTAACGCGGGGGCTCTCGCCAATTGCAATTAGACACACCTCGCAGACGTGGTGCATCGTCGGCTGAGCTCACACTTGAACAATGTGTAGCCTGCGTCCAAGATCGACCTGCAAGCCACGCTGGTCCGTCTCTGTGTGTCTTTGCCTGCAGACAACAACGGTCTGCCGGATGGACCCGGGCGTCAGAAGTCGGGGGGGCATTTGACCAGGGCCACAGAAGGATGTACAAGTATAGCTCCATTGGGAGCGCCGTCTCGACAGTTTCGAGTGTCGCCAGTCTGAGGGAGGCTCGTAATTATCTCCTGGGCTAGCGGGGCTAGCAATAGGTGCTCGCCGGCTAGCGGCTGTCAATTGACAAACTCTCCACGTCACGATGATTGGCCACTCCTCGTCGCTCCAGTGGCTGCGGGCTAATCCGTACAAGATGATTAGCGTCCTCTCGTTGAGCATAGTCCAAGGACGATCCCGTGCGCTCCTGATCCGAGCTCCTCGACCCGCAGAACCATGATCGGGTAGTCTATCCCCAGCCCCTGCCCGGTGGTCCGTGTGCTCGATGCAATGGCAGTCCTATTTCCGTCTGTCTGCATCATGACCATAAGGCTGCGCCTTGCGACCTCTTTGATCTGCTGCGGGAACATGTGCTCGGGCCAAGGGCTGCCGAAGCTGGGGATCAGTCCTGAGTTCTGACTCCTCCCGAAGTTCCTACCTGTCATTCCATCTCCGGATGTTCCTTCGGGGCCGTGAACGCCGCAGCGCCGCTAATACGAAGTCAGTACTCAGTAGGCCCAGGGCACTGTCGAGCAGCGACAGCAGCGCAATCAGCCACAGATCTCAGTAATCAAACAGAGTTTGCGCCGGCCCAGGCACCAGACTCTTATCGCTCCGTTTCTTCCGCGATGCCTGTCGGCAAGATAGGGACGCCATCTCAGCCAAGCTCTTAGCCAAGCTAGGGTAATAGATCACCAAGTTCATGCACGACACGGGCGCCCCCCAATTGCATGTTTCTCATACGACCACAGCACAATCCCATCTTGCTGCCACGAGGCGCGCGAGACATGGTCATTTCCCGCGATGCCCTTTGCCAGGGGCAACGGACACTATTCGGTGCGGGTTGCTGGAGAATTGGTCTTGCTCCAAAGAGGCGCCGAACTACAGTTTCTTCCCTCCGCAGGCAGACAAACATTGATCACGCCATGCTGCCGCCAGAGCCTCCCTCCCTGGTGCCCATCATCCGGCGGGAGCCCCATCCACTGGACCCTCTTTCCAGCTCCCATCTCCTTGCGAGGTGACGACGGCATCATTGTGCATGCGCATGCATGCATTTGAGCTATGCAAGCAGCGGGCAACAGCTGCGGCAGACAACACTTTCTTTGCCTGCCGTATGCATGCTTCCCGCAAAAGAAAGGTCAAAAAAGAGAGGCTGATCAAAAGCCCAGCTCTCCAGATTTCGCGCTTACAAGTTCAGATCTTGCTTTGCGGGGACAGGGCTGCACGTCGTGCATCCGCTTGCTGCGGGAGGACCCTACTAGTGCACTGGGTCCCGAGGCCTGAGCGAGCGAGCACGCCAAAGGAGGGGACTGAGCCGAGAATACATGGTCCTCCAGCAGCAAATAATGTCGTGAGCTATGTACGTGTACGTACGTACTGGCTGAGGAGTGGAGAGGGCCCGACGGCGATACTCAGCAGTACTCATCATCACTTGTCGCCTGCAGCATACAGTCTGGTCGCTACCGCATGAATCGTCCGACTCATCATGCTGCAGGAACCAGCAGGAGCGAGCTCACAGCTGTAGATCTTCTTCCCGCACCATCTCGGTGAACGCTGTCGCGGTTGAGCCCGATGCCTTTGATCTCGGTAGGGAGAGCGCAAGATTGTTCCGGGCTGGGAGGACGCGAAGTTGGCAACACCATGACGTACGATGCCATTTCTTTTTGTGTGCCTGTGAGCGAGAAGGTTGAGCATTCGTCACCATTTGAAGCAGCTCAGCTTGCTCTCGATATCGTCGATTCGACACTTGTACCATTCTCGCTTGCTGGCCATCGTATGTGCTCACAGCGTCAAGTTCTTTACCAAATACTGCGAGTCTGGCACAGTTCAGGGGCCAACACGTCTGCAACGCACAGCTCTGGATCTGATTATGAATGTGAATGTAAAGAGTGAATATCATCTTGAGAGGAAGCTTCATTCTTGTACTGCCCTGTTGGTCATTCCATGACAGCATCGTCTGCCTCCGCGTCTTGGTCCTGGAGAACCTCGTCCATCTCGGCCTCGGTGGCCTCCAAACCTTCAGAACTCATCAGCCGGTTGTCCTTGTCCTCCGTCTTCGCCTCCACCAGTAGGTTCTCTTGGACCTCGCAATCGGTCAAGATAGACCCGTCCCCGATGACGCAACGCTTCCCGAGGATGCATTTTGTGAGCTTGCAGTTCTTTCCGACAACAACGCCATCCATAAGGAGGCATCCCGAGATTTTGGCACCCTCGTTGATCTGGCAGCCCGTGCCAATGACGGATTCCTTGATGGCAACCTTCTCCTCAATCGTCACATTCTCACCCACCAAAGAATCTTGTTTCGTGATCGTAGTGCGTGACTTGACGCCTTCGGGGTAGGCAACTTTCCTGGCGTGGGCATACGGAGAGACTGACTCGCCTCCCGTCTCTTCGAGCGAGGGCAGTCTTGCAAGCTGAAGCGAAATCGCCAGCAGTAGCTGCGCCGTGTCCACTCTCCTGACCAGAGAGCCCTCTTTCTGGCTTGACCCAGAATGTACGTATGCCAGGATATTCGGAACCTCTGACTCCGGCTGGCTTTCATTGTGACTAAGGACTCGACGCAGCTGCTGCGATGTGAGACCCATGGTCATGGTCGAGGTCCGGGACCACAGAGCCTGCTCTAGATCCCGGGCCCCTTGTGAGTTCTCGCTTGTTGGTGAGTCATGGCTGTCTGCATCGGGCTTCTGCGCTTGACAGATTGTCCTCACGTGCAGCTTCTCGGCCAGCCCACGCTGCCAGCTCGCCTTCGCCCACCAGCCGACCACGTCCTCGCTTATGCTTTCCATGCGCTCGTTCTGCTCCACAAACTCGAGAACCCAGCGCGGGAAGATGTAGATATGTGCATCGCGGTGCTTCGTGAGCATGCGCACTCGGGGGTGTGCCTTGAGCAGGCCGTGGCGAATGGGCAACCCGCTGCTCTCCTCGATCACATCTTTGAGTGTGTCACTTGGGGTGGAGTACACCAGCTTTGATATCCCCGGGATGATCGATTCTGTGGCAGGCGCCATTGTCGGCTTGTCCAACGACGTTGTGGCGATAAAGTCGGTCTCCTCCTTTTTGATGGGCGTGTTCGCCTTGGTGTCGTACCACACGCCCATGCCTCTGCTGTAACGAGACCGCTTGCCGTTGGTGACATGGTTCACCTCCAGGCTACTGAGCAGACTGCCTGACTTTACTTGCCACGCCTGAAGCAGTTGGCTCCCCGCGACCTCGCAAACAAGGTCGCAGGGCAAGATCACAAAGTCGCTATCAACCAGCTCCTTCACTTCTGGTAGTCGGAGAATCTCGGCGGTTCCCATATTGTGGTCCAGATCCTTTGGCGCCAGAACATCAGGCCGGGGGAGCGGCAAGCTGGTGAGGTAAATGTCCGTGTTCAGGCCTGTTTTGATGGCCTCTGATGCTGATGGAGGACATATTAATGTGATCCCTGCTTTTTTTAGCCCTCACATTGGCTCTAAATACACGGGCGTCTCTCATAAGGCGAAACGTACTGTTGATGCCTGTGCGATAGCAGAAGTCGATGGGATACCAAACCATGGGCCTGTTGGCGATAGGGAGGAGCGCTTTTGGGTTCTCATCGGGACTTGATGTAAAGGTCGGAAACGAAGAGCCCGGGCCGCACAGGATGAGGGCCTGGAGGCCCGTCGGGGGGTACTTCTCAGCATGCGGCATGATGGTGCGTGAAGAGTCATTCATCAAAAGTTTGGCTGCGAAGGTGGGATGTCATGAAGCTAACGGACGTGGGGTGAAATGTGGCTGGGCGGTTGTGGCGGAGGTGAGCTGTGGCTGAGTCAGGTGCCTGCGACGCGATGGCCCATTGATTCAATAGGTCTAAACTGCACCGTCAGTGGCTCGCAATAAATTTAAACAAAATAAATAGATCTTCGCATACATGAGAAGAAGCGAATCTCCTGGAGTTGCTGCAATGCTAGCTGCATATTGCCTTTAGGCGCCCGTTGAATGTAAATTTGGCATGTCACCAATGGTTTGCGCAGTGCAAACATAAGTAATCAACACTACGGGGAAAAAAAAGGGGGGGGAGGGAGACGACTTATCATTTGATCAAAGAATTGAGGAATTCATCAACGCCAAACTGTCAGATTGCAGTCTCGGCTTGGGAACCAGCATTATCATAGGTGAAGGAGGTCGGATAGGACGACAGGGTAGGCTAAACTCCCAGCCGCTAACTAAGTTAAGCCATGCCCGCCCCGCGCCTCTCATGCAGCCCAGCCCGAACCTCGGGTCGTCCGTTGCTGGGCTGGGCGAGCTGACGCTTGTTGATGCCGACCCGAAATGATCGCTGCTGCAGGTGTCCAGCCACCAGCATTGCGACGCCTCCCCACCTCTTTGCGCGCGGCTTTGCTCCTTGCAAGCCTATCTTGATAACAACTGCAAAAGCTTCGCCCACCGACAACATACAAACGCGCCCACTACACCGCCTCGACGCTGTACCCGTCGCGACACAGTAGAGCAATGCCGCAGCCATTCGTCTAAGATGGCACCCGATCGTTATGACTCGCGCCGTCGTGGTGTCTGGAGCCACTGGGTCCCTCTGGCTGTCACCCTGACAATTGCAACAGCTGGAGTGGCAGCGTGGGCTTGGAGCCAGAGGGGGGGCTCGGATGAGGAGGGACAAGAACCTGGATTGGACTACGACAATGCCGACTATGGAGACAACCCGCCCTACGGTACAGCAGGCGACGACCGAGCACCTCAACAACCGCCGCGTCCTGGCGCATCGCTCGGCGATCACGAGAGCTATGGAGTGCAGGATGCGGCCCCAAGTGAGATTTCCGCTGGAGGCTGGGGAACGCGCATGTCAGGTGCGCTGAGGCGCACACCGAGCCCGCAGCAATTCCTCGACTCAACTGGGAAGACTGTCGCAGCCGGTTTCGCGGCCGCTGGTGCGGCCATGGGCAAGGCGTTGGCCTCGATTCGCGAAGAAGACAAAGCATACGCTGGTAGCAACCCATGGTCCGAAGAAGCGGATGCGAAAGCCGAGCGAGCGCCTGTTGGACCTTCCAAGCATAGAAGAACAGTGGCCGTTATCGTGTCCGCAGACTCGCCCTACACGCAAGGAGATGCCGATGACTATCTGGAGCACGCAGTAAGTCGAAAAGGATGATGGTACCCATGCCAATTGACTAACAATGCCTGGTCAATCTTGTCTCACATCCCCCGGCAGAACGACTTTTCCAAAATCAAGCTGTTCGTCTTGATCTATGCGCCGCATCTGAAAGAAACCAACCTAGAGACCGCGACTGGTAACCTGCCGCCTCCCTCATTAAGCTCCTCCTTCTCTAACATTGGTCCCGAACAAGCCCAACCCAGCGAGGAAGGGCGCACATCACAGTAAGCCCCCGCCAGCCGCGATGCACGTTGATAGAGACTGATTTCCGCAGGTCTACCCCCACCCCAAGCAGTGCAGCTTATAATGCCGTATACTCGCAGGCATTGGCGATCGTTGACAAAGAGACGATGATACTTCCTTTTACTACTCCAAATGGCCACACGCACATTTTGCGTCATCTCCAGCCGGAAATCATCTACCTGCAGGAGTCCATGGCCGGAGACAACGGCAGCATCATTTCCAACCTGCAGACGTGGCTTCGTCATGAGATTGTCCTCGTTGTCGGTGCTGAAGGCGGCTCAGGCGGCTTGGCCGATAGTGAGTCGGAGGCTGAACGCTCGGGACAACCTGAGAAATGGTGGCAGAAGCCAGAGAGGGTGGGTCGCGGACGAGGTGTCGTCGTTGTCGACGGTATGCGCGTCAACGACGACTGGGCCCGGCGCGTGCACGGCGTGGAGTAGATTGGCAGTGCCTTGAAGGAATATACATATGGAGAGTATGGTGGATATCTGTACCTTGTCGTTTTATTGATAGCAGTCTTTATGTGTTTACAAGACGAGAGGCAAAAGTACGATTGCGAAGCCGCAGTCGGGCGTGGCGGCCCCCTCTACGAATATTATTTGAGACGTTTGGATGAGGAATATAACTTGTGTACTGAGTACCTAATGAGTGATGTCTGAACGTGAGGTTAGTAGTAGTTTGCGACTGGAGGCACTTGGCTGAGTGCTGGTTGCTGATAGAGAGAGTTAACGTCACGTGAGCAGGACAGGCCTGTCCTGTGCACGTGGAGCCCCGATCGCATTCGTGATGCGGCGGCACGACAACCAGCGTTAAACGACGAGCCGTCCGGAGTCGATTCCTTCGAGAAGGACTCGGCCAGCGCGCATTCAATCCCTCGCACTGCTAGAACAAGTCTCTCTCGCTTGTTTGTCATACACCAACTTCGCCGGTCGCGCTGCATCACTAGACTTTGAACGCGTTACCGTGTCTGTGCTATACAGGCCCCCGTCATCGACCCACCAACATCCCGACCTCACCTCGTCGGTCGACACGCTCGATCACGCGCGCATCGGCTACGGCCATCGATCCCATTGCGACTGAGTTACAACACACTCGGGAACACTCCAACAATCGATGCAAACTTGGAATACCTAGTAGCTTGTGTGACACTGGGACGCTGAGAGCAGTCGCTGCTGCATGGCGCAGTCAGCACAACGACCATCATCGCCTTGGCCAGCATGGCGCCAATTGCCAGCCAGCCAAATGGCGCGAACAAGTTGAAGCGCGCGGCGCCTCCCACCATACAGACCAACGGCTCGATGGCATCGACACCAGCATCGTCTCCGTCCGCCGCCAAGAAGCCACCCCCGACCATCAAGTCGCAACCCAGCTCGGCAACAGAACGAACCATCACAGCATCAACAGTGCGACCGAATCGGATAAGAAGAGATACGGCGAACCAACAGCTTGGGAGAACACGCAACACCGCAAACCTCAGGCTCGGGTGGGATATGACGCAAGGAGGCGGACAACCACGGCCTTACAGTATGATTATGCTCGAGCAGACAGCTTGCCCTACTAACAAATTTAGTTGTCACAAGCAAGTACATCCTCCAGAAACACGCTGGCGCGATACCTTCCCTCGTTGTTCATCTTCATCCGTCTCATTTTCGATTTGATGGTCAAGATAGCGTCTTCACCTATACTTCCCCCATGGGTATCTTCGTCAAGAATCTGAAGACGAAGACAATCCCGCCCGAACTTCTCGAGCAATTTAACGCCGCAGGTGTTCCTTTCTACGATGGATGTTTGATTGTGCAGGTGTGCGATCACAAATCAGTGGCGCAAGTTAAAGACGCGGCCCGATCTGCCTCCAAGACCAAGGACGCCAAGGAGACCTCGGTTCATAAATACAATCCCTACATCACGCCTTCTTCCTACGCCCCATTTCCGAAAGAGGAACCGAATGAAGCCGATGGCAATGGACAGGTGGGGGATGCTGATGCGACTGCGAAGCATGAAGAGTCCGACAAAGACAATGGCGCACGTTCGGTAGCCGGGATGAAGCCTCGCACCTTCACAATGGTGCTGCATCCGACGCCTGAAAGCTTGCAGCGAGACCTTGTTCTGAAAGCCTCTATGCCGCCTTTGGATGCAGGCATTGCCGAGACACCCGGCTTGAACCCTCCAGCTACTCCGTCGAAACTGGCCCTTCCCACCCCGACGGCAAGCAGTATGCCCCCGCCCGCAAAGAGGCTGAAGCAGGAGAAACCGGAATTGGAACCTGAATACATACATGCGGCGGAGGGCGAGATTCTTCTCGCGACGACGGCACCGTTGACGCTTGAACCGAAAGGCTCACTCGAGAGACAGATTGCGCTGCTGGACTTCATGGCGCATCCGCAACATCTTGACCCGCCACCTGAGCCGAAGACTCGGAAGAGGACTGTCGCCGAGATGGCAGCGGACGAGGCCGCCGCCGCCGAGAAAGAGAGATACATGCTGTTCCTCGACGAACGACCCGGCGTTAATAGCGCACAGGGCGGCACCACGACGGACAGCGACGGACAGACTACAGCTGCAGGATTTGAACCGACATTTGAGCGGTTTAAGATGATCATGCAGATCAAGCAGGAGCTCTCGGAGAAGAAGGAGCAGGAGAAGCAGGAGAACGACCGCAAGCTACAGCTACAAAGACAACAGCAGGCCGACAGCCAGGCGCAAAAGCAGCAAAACGAAGCAGAAAAGGCCCGGCGCGAGGCGGCAGCTCTTAGGGAGGCACAGGCCAGGCAGCAGCAGCAGCAGCAGCAACAAGCGCAACAGCAGGCACAGCAGCAGCAGCAACAACAACAACAGGCACAGCAGGCTCAAGAATCCCAACGACAAGCCATGGCTGCGCGTGGCAACCAGAACAAGAACCAAGTCAACGGGGTCCAGCAGCAACAGGTTCCCAACGCCCAGATAGCCAACGGCATGCCTCATTCTAACGCCGGTGGCATGCCGATGGGCGCCAACCCCAACATGGCTGCTGCTCAGCAGGCTCGATTCCAGGCGCTCTCTCAACAGCAAGCCCAGGCTTCCGCTTCGCCTGTCATTCGGCAAGGAACGCCGCAAGCTCACTCGTCACCCATGGTGAACCCGAACATGGCCATTCCGCAAACCAGTGCCAGTCCGCCACGCCCATCATCGGTCGTGCAAAACCCTCCTATGGCGGTGCCCATGGCTCATAACATGTCTGCTAGGGGAAGTCAGCAGAGTCACCCGTCCAACACGCCTCGCATGCCTCACAGCACACCCAATATGGCTCATGGCACACCTGTCAACCGGCAAGCCATGGCTGCGACGCCGCGCATGTCGCAGGCAAGCCCTCCCCCTAATATGATGCAGCAGAATTCGCAACACATGCCCCAGGCCATCATGATGAACAACCAGAACATGTCTCAGAACCCGCAGTTCATGGCACAGTTGGCACACCAGCAGCGTCTGCAGCAACAACAACAACAAAACATGCAGCAGATGAACATGCAACAAATGTCACCTCAGCAACAGCAGCAGATGTTGCAGTACATGCAGCAGAGGCAGGCCATGGCCCAGCAGCAGCAGCAGCAGCAGCAACAGCAGCAACAGCAGCAACAGCAGCACCAGCAGCAAAACGGCATGATGTCGCAGCAACAACTTGCGCAGCAGTATAGCCAGCAGTTGCAAAATATGGCTGGTGGACAGATGCGGGCGCAAATGACGCCACAACAGCTGCAAATGATGCAGATGCGGATGCAACAGATGGGTGGTAGTGGGATGCATCGACAGGTGAGCAATCCGCAGATGATGAATGGCAGCCATCCGAACATGCAAGCTATGGCGATGCAAATGCAGCAGCAGCAACAGCAGCAACAGTTGCAGCAGCAGCAGCAGCATCATGCGGCACAGCAGCAACAACGCATGGCGCAGCAGCAGCAGCAGAACCCTGCGCAACTTGCTATCAACAACATGGCGCAGCAGTTCTACCTGCGATCCATGACGGACGCCGCTAACAAATATGGGGGAAAGGACAATATTCCGCGTGACACGCAGGAGCAGTACAAGCAGCAGGCTTTGCAGAGGGCGCAGCAGGCCTACCAGAAGCCGCAGCCAAATATGGCTATTCGACGACAGCAGATGATGCTGGCGCAGCAACAGCAAAACCAGCAAAACCAACAAAACCAGCAGCAACAACAGGCTGCGATGCAGATGGGGATGATGGGGCAACAGCCCATGTAGAGGTGCGGCTGGGAAGTTAAGAAGCCATTTTCTCGGCACGACCAGCAGTAAGCCGTGTCTGCACTCCCTCGGATGATCAAAACGACACAGGATGGAACGACTATGAGATGGCGTTGGATGCGTTATACCCCGGGGGAGCATTGCTTTTCCTGTAGTGCCAAGGGTTCTTTGATTGTTTTGGAGTTTGGGGCCATGAGCGGGGAACGGCGTAATGGACGTCACGGACTGTATATCTACCTCCCTTGCTCAGTCTTGTGGCTTATATATGACACTATTATCATGTGTACGTATTGCTGTCGTTTGGGACATGAATGTCCTATCCGCGCGGATCGTCCATGTGTCATTCTTGGGGGTAATCGGATGTGACGGCTGCCGGTTTAGCGCCCTGAAAAAGGCTACATGGCTCATATTTGATGGGCAGTATGACACTATCCGACCGCTGATTCTTGTCAGACATGACGGAACTTACACAGGCAGATGATCACAATGTCTGCTGACGTTGCCGTGGGCTCTGAAATAGCACGTGACCACCTTGTCTCGACCCACCTTTGGGAAATGACACAATCGCCAAGACCGGAGCCAGGGACACACGTCCAGGCTTCGCGATGCTCTGCTGCAGGTGATCATTACAAACTGTCACCGACTCTTCCTTTGCTTCATTTCTCATCAACGTTCGAGGGTCTCTTCGCAGCACCCACACTCGCTCTTTAGCTTACGCCATTTTCTAACTTTCCATCTCGAACGCCCGCTGCCGAGCGTTCCTAGCACTAGTCACACGACGATGCAACTTCCGCAAGCTTCGGGGCTGTTGCTCCCCTTACTCTTGGCGCCTCTACCTTCATTCGCGATGCTGCGGTGCGAGAATGTTCGCATAGATGGGCATAGCTTTGACCTGTCTGAGCTTGGCGGGCCGCACTCAGTCGTGACGTCGCGGTGGGAGTCGCTTGCCGAGACGCATTTCAACACCACGTACACAGTCGATATCTGTCAGCCTCTGAAGAAGAGCGGAAAATCTAAAAAACAGGAGGAGTGCCCAAACGGAACCAGAGGTGAGCCTGCTAGCATAAGCGAGGACGATGCAGGAGCTGACCATGGACAGTATGCGCGATCGAGCGAACCCTGAAAGACGATACCGACATGGTCACCAAGGTTGTCGCCATTGCGGGTGGACTCGAGAATGTGGGGGGCACATCGTTCGAATACGAGGCCACGCGTCTCAAGACGAGTGACTCGAACTCGGACTCGAAGAAGGAAGGTGTGCGACTCGTGCTCAAGGGAGGGAAACATCCCCTGAGCGGACCGAACAAGCAGCGTCGGCCGCAAGAGGCTGTCATTGAGTTTCTCTGCGACAAGGAGAAGACTGGCCTGGAGAATGAGTGGCGCTCTGAGGACCGATACGATGGAGACGACGGCAGGAAGGACGACAAGGCGAAGAGGGATGACAAGAAAGATGCGGACGATAATGACGACGACGATGGCACAGAGTCTGGAGTCGAGCACCAGCTCAAGAAGGAGGGCGCCGCTCTCGTCTGGGAGGGCTACAGCGTCAACGAGAAGAAGGATGCTGATGTTCTGCGACTGACCTGGCATACAAAGCACGCCTGCGAAAGCCGCGAAGACAGCGGCGACGACGGCGACTCGGACAGCAGCAGTCACTGGGGCTTCTTTACGTGGATGCTGATCATGTAGGCCACCCCTTTCTGCACCCCACCCGCAGCACAATCACTAACTCTTCGATAACAGCGCCTTTCTGGGCGCCGCTTCCTACCTCATCTTTGGGTCGTGGCTCAACTACAGCCGCTATGGTGCCCGTGGATGGGATCTCCTCCCCCACGGGGACACGTTGCGTGACATTCCGTATCTCGTCAAGGACTGGACGCGCAGTGTGCTCAACACCGTGCAAGGGGCCGGCAGCCGGGGCGGCTACAGCGCCGTCTGAGGCTCTGGCCATCCTGTAACATATCCAGGACGTTGTAAAGTACGATGGAGCGAAATTTGGAGATGTGGTTGGCAATATGAAGTGTTTCTATCCTGTAGCAGCAGCCCTGGGCTGAGCGAGCGCATGTGACTTGGGCGGACTGATCAAATTGAGCAGCAAGGTTCTCCTCACCGATGGATGGTTCGACCACTGTGCGTTGGCATTTTCGAGTTCGACACCGGCTTGTGCCATATGTGTTGGAAGCAAGCCTCTGAACATGCTGTTGGGTGTGACTAACCGGACACAAGCTCTTAAAGATGAGACTTCCACCGACAACGATCAAGTCGAAAGATTATCCAGCAACGGCGGCCCATGTGCGCTGTTATTCCTGTGGCAGTGTATGATGGACAATTTTCAGCACCCTGAGCATACCGCGCCCCCCCTAAAGGACAAACCTTGATACGCCTTACCTCAAGATTAACACCAGATGGCGCAAAAGGATTTTGGCATTGCTGCCACCGGCCAAAAGGACACGACATTAGCCTTTTTTCTCGCACCTTGCCGTCGTCGGGACATGATCTGTTGGGCCATATTAGTCTTCTCTGCCATCGCGACCTCAACTCTACATCAGTTTTACGAAACGACACGGTCGACTACCAACGGCCCACAATGCACCCAAACTTTGCCGTTGCAGTGGCTGCGGCCCTGCCAATGGTCACGGCCGGCGTCATCCACCTTCCCAGGGATGAGCCCGTGCCCCAGGCTGCCGATGCGGTGGTCTGCCCTAAAGTGGACGAGGAAAATCGCCCAAGCCCTCACGTCCTGCACAACCTGAAGGAGCCAGATCTGAGCGAATGGGAGGGTCATGAGGACAAGATGCCCTTCTTCAAGAAATACGACCCCAAGCTTCTGCTTAAGTTTGTGGACGACTTCTGCGAGGGTAAGGTCAAGCGTGATATGGCCCCTTGTTGCCAGTGTGACGACGACGAGGACGACTGCAAGGCTGTCTGTGTCGACGAGGAGGAATGCAAGGCCATCTGTGAGATGGCCGACGATTCCGCGAAGGCCGATGCCCCCAAGGATGGCGAGAAGGTCGATGCCACCAAGGAGGGCGAGCAGGCCGATGCCACCAAGGAGACAGGCATTGCCTCGGAGACTGATACTGAGAATAAGACCTGTGATACCTCCAAAACCCCCAATTATCAGTCCGCGATGAAAGGTGTCGATTTCACCGCCAAAGACATCATCGAATCCATCGATGCCAAGTGGGCGAAACTGCAGAAGCCCAAAAACGACAAGCGCGGCGTCCCCGTCACGGCCGACGATGTGCTGCGCTGGTCCCAAGGTGAGGGCGAGGACTACGAAGACAAGCGCCCCGAGCTATTCAAGAACATTGCGGCCGAGACCCAGGCCAAGCGTGACGAGGCACCCAAGAAGAAGGGCGGCGTCCCCGTCGCGGCCGAGGATGTGCTGCGCTGGACCCAGGGTAAGGACAAGGACTACCAAGCCAAGCGCCCCGAGCTATTCAAGAACATTGCGGCCGAGACCCAGGCCAAGCGCGACGAAACTTCGGGCAAGAAGGGCGGCGTTCACATCACCGTGGACGAGGTGATGCACTGGGCCAAAGGCAACGACAAGGCATACAAGGCCAAGCGCCCGGAGATCTTCGAAAACATCACCGACGCGCTTCCAAACGACAAGCGAAGCGCCGAGGCGGACGGCCACCAAGAGGACAGCTCTGACGAGGCCAAACTGAAGCAGTCATTCCAGTCTGTTCTTGGCCGTTCCAAGGCGGCGCTGGAATCTGTTGAAAAGGTTCAACCTGACGAGGACGACAAGGTCAAGACCGTTCTTGCCAGTCTCATCGCGACGCTGGCTCCTCTGAGCCCCGGCATGGACAACCCCGATGCGTTGATCGCGGGCATCGTCGAGGCCAACAGCGAGTCGCACGAGGAGCGTGGCTACACTGGTGAGGTCTCCGATGTCAAGCTCGACATTCCCAGCTTGATCAAGATGTTTGAGGAGCTATGGCAGGCGGTCCACGCGGCCAAGGAGGAGCTTCAGCGTCTCCACGAAGCCGGCTCCCAGGAGTCGGACGCCACCACGTCCGCCTCTGAGCTGGAAAGCGTCATTGCGCAATGCGAGCCCATTGTCAACAACATCAACGACGTCGCCGACATCTTTGACGCCATTGTCGACCAGCTTGTCGAGAAGGACGAGAAGAAGCCCGTGACGCACGTCGAGCCCGACTCCGTTGCCGCCACCGCTGATGATCTGGTCCGCAGGGATGACTGGAGCAATAACCCCATGTTCTCGGTCAAGTCGTCGCCTAACCGGGAAAACCCACACCGCGTTGCCCAGGGCAATGCTGAGAAGATGCTCAAGGATCCCCACCTCCACCAGTAGGGTCAACTGAGGACCATGTGTGCGAGGATCTTTACAATCCCGGAGTGGAGGACCTGGCGACCAATTTTCCCGTATTAGTTTCTAGTGAAACTACCTTATGCCCGATAAATACAACCAATAGAAAACCATGAAGAGGAAGTGGGTGTCCGTTGCAGTGATGGCAGCTGAGGTCCGTTGAAGCCGTAATGCCAGTCTTGTCATTCACAACAATGCGTGACTATTCGTGACTGGTAGCCTGGTCTGACTCTGTTCTGACAGCATGATTGATAACAAATCATAAAGCGTACCCTTGTGGAAGTTTGCTTGTGACTCCAAGTGGTACTTACAGTGACGAATCTGACGATGCTGGCGAGGGCCGACGTCGGAGTGATTTCCTATCGATAAGCACAAACAAAATACGCCGCAGACCACCATCATTTATCAACATGACTGTCCCACTCTTCGTCACTCGTCTCGATACTCTCTCGTCCTCTGCGCACGGCTGCTCGAGGCTGACCGATTTCCCGCCATGGCCTTGCGACTCTCGATGCGACGCCAATTGGCGACCCTTGCGTCGACAGCACGCCCTCGCCTGGCGCAGCGAACCTACGCGACGTCGAACCTCTCCGATGCGGTCAAGCAGAGCATCGCCGTAGGTGCACCGCCCAATTTGGCACTCGTACGATCACTGACAGACACCTATAGAGGGAGGCGTCCTTGCCCAATCCTGACCCGGCCACAGACTCTCCCAGCGCCGCACTCGTGGGCGACCACGCCCAATACATGGTCGCAACCTACGCCCGCCCAGGACCCGTCTTCGTACGAGGCGAAGGGTCCTACCTCTGGGACCTGGAGAACAGGCGCTATCTCGACTTCACCGCTGGCATCGCCGTCAACGCCCTGGGCCACTGCGACCCCGAGGTCTCCCGCATCATTGCCGACCAGGCCCACACCCTGACGCACGCGAGCAACCTGTACTACAATACCTGGACGGGCGAGCTCAGCAAGGCGCTCGTCCAGAAGACTCTGGCGTCCGGGGCTATGCAGGATGCCGTCACGGTTTTTGTCTGCAACTCGGGCTCCGAGGCCAACGAGGCGGCCATCAAGTTCGCCCGGAAAGCGGGCAAGGTCGCGGACCCCAGCGGGCACAAGACGGAACTCGTGTCCTTCAATGGCGCCTTCCATGGCCGCACAATGGGGGCGCTGTCCGCAACACACAACCCCAAGTACCAGGAGCCCTTTGCGCCCATGGTGCCCGGCTTCCGCCAGGGCAAGTTCAACGACATCGACGCCATCCAGGAGACCGTCACGGAAAAGACGTGCGGTGTCATCGTGGAGCCTATCCAGGGCGAGGGCGGTGTTCAGGTCGCCAGTGACGAGTTTCTCATCGCGCTCGCCAAGCGTTGCAAGGAGGTTGGCGCGGTCCTCGTGTACGACGAGATTCAGTGCGGCATGGGACGAACGGGAAGCTTGTGGGCGCACGGCCACCTGCCCAAGGAGGCGCACCCGGGCATCCTCACCACGGCCAAGGCGCTAGGCAATGGATTCCCCGTCGGTGCGGTGGTGGTGAGCCAGGACGTGAGCGAGAAGATCATGGTCGGCGACCACGGCACCACATTCGGTGGCAACCCTGTCGCGGCGCGCGTGGCGCATCACATGGTGACGCGGTTGTCGGATGCGAAGCTGCAGGAGTCCGTGGTCGCCAAGGGTGAGATCTTCCGCACCAGGTTCGAGGCGCTGCGCGAAAAGCACCCCGACCTGATCAAGGAGGTCAGGGGCAAGGGTCTGATCCTGGGGTTGCAGATGAGCCAGGACCCGTCGCCGGTGATCAAGGCGGCTAGGGAGAGGGGTCTGCTGATTATCACGGCGGGCGTGAACACGCTGCGGTTCGTGCCGAGCTTGACGATTAGCGAGGCGGAGATTCACGAGGGGCTTGACATCCTGGAGAAGGCCATTGCTGTGACGCGGTCATGACAGTGTTGTGGGAGGTATGAAGGAATAGAATTAGACATGGATGTACAAGCTTGCAAATGGAACACAAACGGGGGGTATCGATCCATGCAAGTCGTGCCATTGTGAGGAAACGCCCAGGTCACAAACACTGTTGCCCGTTCACCTCGCCCCAGCCTTCGCCCCTGACGATCCTCCTCGCTTCCAGGATCGCCGCCCTGACCTGCTCGACCGTCCGGAAGCAAGAGTAGCTCTTGGCAATGTCGACGTTGCTCGGACACTTGTCCTCCTCGACTACCTCTTGCTCCTCGTCCTCCCTATGGCAGGGCTTGCCTGACTCGCAGACCTCGTGGCCCCGCGAGTGCGTCCTTGTCTGCCGCTCGGCAAAGGACGTGCACAGGCTCATGACGTGGTCAATCTCGGAACCGACCGTCGTCTTGAGCAGAGACCAGTACTCCTGGCCCGACAACCGAAACTGGACGCCAGGGTCGGGGCCGATGGGGAGGGTGATCTTGTCGTCCTTGGTGGAGGCGTCCATGGCGACTTTGCGCTGATACGTGAGGAAGCTCGCGTACGTGCTTGCGATACTCGACATGAGGCTGCCCAGCAGGTGTATGTTTTTGGAGAGACCGTATAGGGAGTTGTTGGGGTCGAAGCAGGCGCTGCAGCTCAGGATCTGGGAGGCGGATGCCGTCGAGGACTGGAGGTGCGAGAGGGTCTTGGTGAAGGAGTGGTCGTTGTCGTCGGTGAGGGCGAAGTGGCGGTGGACCATCTCCAAGCAGGCGCATTTGTTCCCAGGGCGAGACGGTGTCTGCTGCTGGGGCGCTGATGACCCTGGAGAATACAGCGTCTGAAAGTCCTGGGCTGGTGTCGCAACGCCATCAGGAAATGATCCCGTCGTCGCGTCTACTGCTGGCGCTGGGATGCCTGGGTCCTCTAGGAGACTAGGCCAGAGAGGCGCCGAGTGAAGAGATGAGTCGAACGGTAGCAACGGCCCAAAGTCGGGGAAGCCCTGGTCCAGACCATCGGGTAAGGACCCCATGGGAAACATGGTTGACAGATTGGTCTCGTCTTCTGGTCTCGTCCTCGCTTGAGGTCTCGGGCCATCGCCAGCCTGGCTGGTCTTCCTCTTCCTGGGTCGACCCATAGTCTTGATGGTCGAGTACTGGCATTGCAGCCTCATATTATCGCACCGTCTGCACAGCGGCGTATGCTGCGAGCATTTGATCTTGCGCTTGCCTTGAACTCTTGTAAGTCGCCGCGTTCATGGTGCAAGGGATGAACTTACGACAAGGGTCGCAGGCACGATGTCGAGCACCGGTGAGCGCGAGAGCCTCCATATTTTGACGGCCAGCGATTCGGCAGCGCAATTTTGGAATCAACAGGTCCTCATGTATTCTCGGGTGCTCATGACGATGAGAGCATGAAGTGACGGGGCGCGGCGCGGTGCGGCGACTTGTCCACCAGACGTTGGTGGTGAAAGTCGCCGCGCTGGATGGGTCCACAGTGATGGACTCAACTTGCTGGACAGCTCATGGCTGATGTATCGTACTGGTGGCCGCTGCTGTGAGCGGTTGTATGTGGCCAAGGCAGGTTTCATCATTTCATCCAGAAGATTCTGTCCTTCGATATGGTGACGCGACCATGAAGCTGCCATGTTCAGGGCAGATGCGTGTATCGAGTCTTATGTGACAAAAGGGTGCACCTATGTGCTGGTAGTAGCATATGTACAACAATATTTGCAAAACAGTCAACCTCCACGGTTCCCTCAGCTACTAGTTATGTACACTTCAAACATGGAAAGCTTTGATCCATTTGACTGACAGAGATAGCTTGCATCTTCCATTCTACCCAGGCTGTTATCCCACTCTCAAACAGCCACCCTGGCACTTCAGTGCACATCCTTCCCCCGCTTTAGATTGAGCACAAACATGGACATAGCCGCCAGAATGACCGGCAGCACGCTCACCATCTCGCCAGCACCCGCGTACTTGGGCTCGATGCGGAACGAGACCCAGGCCCCGCTCGCCATAGTCACGGCCAGCACGTTGTAGACGGCCGCCCAGACAAAGTTGAACACCATCCGGTGGTAGGCGGCCCTGCTGACGCGGAGCAGCAACGGGATGCCTTCGAGTCCCTTCATCAGCACCACGTCGGCGACCCCCTGCGTCACGTCGCTCGACGTCTTGCCGCCGCCCATCTGGGCGCCCACGTCGGCTTGCGCGACTGCTACAGCGTCGTTTGTGCCGTCGCCGCAGAACATGACGTGCTTGGTGGGATCGCTCATCAGAGTCGCGACGTAGTCCCTCTTCTCTGATGGCGTGCAGTGACCCGCGACGTTCCCTGGTGGGATGCCCACGGTCTGTGCGACGGCTTGCACTGCTAGGATCTGGTCGCCTGATATGAGGTGGACGGAGATGTTGCGAGACTTGAGCCCTTTTATCACGCCAACTGCTTCGACGCGGACTCGAGCGCGGAGTCCAAACACAATCAGAGGTGTGCCGTTGAGTGTCACCACCAGCGTGGTAAGACCGGCTCCCTGGAGACGGCCAACTTCTGCCACCCTGGACGTGCCTGTCCACTCAGCATTACCAGCCTTGACGGTGTCTTTGTGGTACTCGGCTTCGATGCCAGAACCAGGAATCACACGGACGCCTGACACAACAACAACAGCAGCAGCAGCAGCAGCAGCAGCAGCAGGGGCATGTGCTGCCAAGTAATTCTCCACGGCAGCTGACACTGGATGCTTGCCTCCTGCGACTAAAGCCTTAGTCAACGAAACAGCCTCGTCCTCTTGTGCATCCCCGAGAATCACCTTCTTGACCACCGCGAGATCATCCTCAGTGATGGTCCCAGTCTTGTCAAATACCACGTCGGTGATCTTCCTCGCGTGCTCCATGGTCTCTGCCGATTTGATAACTACGCCACCCTTGGCAGCCATCCCGCCAGCGACGACGATGACCATGGGCACCGCCAGGCCCAACGCACAGGGACAGGCTACGGCCAGTGTGGCGACGGTGTACGTGATGGCCGTGCCGATGCTTTGGCCGGCGCTGTAGTCCAGCACGCGCAGACCGACTGCGAGCCAGATGACCAGGACCAGCACGGCCATGGCGGCCATGGTGGGGACGAACCAGCTGGCCACCTTGTTCGCCAGGTCTTGTAGCTTGGGCTTGGAGTTGGCCGCCTCCTCCACGAGCTGCGCAATGTCGGTCACTGTGTTCTTGCCGGGTAGACGTGTGAGCCGTGCGGTCACGGTACCATCGCCATTCAGAGTGCCGGCAATGAGGTTGTCGCCTTCTTTCTTGAGCACGGGCATGGACTCGCCTGTGAGCATCGACTCGTCGACCTCGGTTTTGCCAGTGGTCACAATGCCATCGGTGGGCACACGTGTGTGCGGCAGGACCTTGAAGCTGTCACAATACTGTAGCAGCCTTGCATCAATCTCCTGATCGCCTGCTGTGGTGACCAGAAGGGCACTGCTGCTCAGCCGGGATCGCAGTGACACGGCCGCGACAGCCTGCACCCGCGCGAACGCAGCGACCAGGCGGCCCATGAGGATCAGGGTGATGAGCATGGTGCTTGTCTCGAAAAATTCGCCCTGTTCAATAGATTGATGGCCCATCTCGAAGCCAAAGGCGACGACAGAGTAGCCGTAGGCGGCCGTGATGCTCATGACGACGAGCATGTCCATCTCGACAATGCGGCTGTACCAGAGTGCGCTCAGGGCGGGGCGGTAGAACTCGGGTATGGCGATGATCTGTACGCATGTGCCGAGGGCGATGGAGATGATGCCCTTTGTCTGCTTGTCTACGAGGCCGTTGGCATATGCTAGCACCGCGACGGGGATCGTGAACAGCGCAGCGAGAAGGGTCTTGTACAGCTGATCCCGCAGACGACGACGGCTGTTTTCGAGCTGCGGGTCGCCTCGTGGTTCAGCTAGCCCCTGGCACTGGTCCTGAAGAGACGAGAGGAGATCGCGTGCGCCAGTGACTGCCGGATCATAGGCGAGACGCACCGTCTTTCTGTCCAGGACATGTGTGTCCGTCACACCCTGAGGCGGTTGCCCGGTCCATCTGTTGGCTTCACCGGGCCCAGCGAGGACGTCAAGGTAGAAATCACCACCAACGGCCTTGACCAGAGGAAAGTTGCTCGCTGCCGCTGCGAATCGCAGGACTTCATCTGCGCTGGTCACGGACGTGTCGATATGCACTTCACCGCGACCGACCACAAAGTTGACGCGAGACGAGGAGACACCTGGCATGGCGTTGAAGATGGCCATGAGCTTGTCGGCGCAGGATGTACAGTCCATGCCTGCGACGAGGTAGTGCACCGTCTCCATATCGGCGGCCTGCTCTGGGTCGATCTCCTTGCGTCCGGAGCCAGAGGGCTCGAAATTAAAGAGATCATGAACGGCGGGTCTGCTGGAACAGCCCACATCACCGCAACAGTTCTTTTTCTTGGGCTGCTTCTTGCCTTTGCTGCAACAAGACTCAACCGAAGAAGATCCCAGCAAAGCATCTCGACAGATGCAGCGCAGCTGCTGGAGGTAGCTGGTGTATTCGTCCAGGGCCATCTGGATGTGGCTCGGACATGCCGCGTCAGACATGTGGCCCCCTTCATCGTGCTCGTGCCGGTGCGTTCCCTTGTCAGGGTTGTCCTCGTCATTGCAAGCCTTGTCGCATTTGAGCGCAGCAGCAGCGTAGATGCATTTTTCTGGGGTTGTTAGCGACATTGTCAAGAGCTAACGGCCATGCTGACCATCACATCGCTCTTCGTTTTCGCAGCATGTACTCCTCGTAGCCAGGGATTCAATTTCGGCGCCCTCGTCGTGGCTGTGGCTGTGGCCATGAGTGTCGCTCCCATTGTTTTCGCTTACGTTCACGGTGTGCCCGTGGTCATGTCGTGCGTGAGACTCATGGGCGTCGACTTGTACTGGTCTCTCTTCATCGCCATCGTGGACGTGGGCTGCAACGGCGGGCTCGTTTGTCGAGGGCTGTCCGCAGCAGGAGGCACCCATTCTAGTTCTCCTGTCAAACAAGAGACTCAATCTATTCCGATCTGGGATACCGAATAAGGCGAGTCTTGCCTCTTATGTATCGTCCACGGAAGGGAGACTTTCACAATCTCGCCGCTGTGGAGCACCATGGCGGATGCTCCCGTGAATGGAACACGGAGACTTGTTGTGGTGGTCCGTGCAAGTCGCCGCCCAGACGGGAGGGTATCTGGCCGCTGGCAGCACTCTCCGACATGAGGGTTCGCCTAATCTGGTGGACAAACGTTTCACAGCTCATCACAAGGCTGCCTGATCCGTGTGCCGTGTGCACGAGGGCTGTTCTCGAACAACATGTCCTTATCTGGGTCTCTATATCACCTCCACCATGGAAGAACTCTTTGACAAACTTCTAGATCTTGATGCACTTTTGAGGCCTCTTCAGGCTTGTCAGTATACCACTGTCGTTGAGCCTAGGCTTGATTGTGTGCGGCCGCACCAACTCATTCTCATCACCTCCCAGGCCGCCGTTGGGTTGTCCATGACACACCATGTCTTTTCCGTGTGACGGATGACCTTGATTGTCGACTGTTTGTAGGACCATTTTGGGCAGCTGCTCGGCTCCAATGAGCCGTTGTCACACGTGGCAGGCCCAGACTCTTTGTTCCACTGTCAGTGTTACGCTTCCACATGATTCCGTATTGGACCTCAAGGTATGAGCACTGTATGCTTCCTGAGCCTCTGCATGTGTCTGACGCATAACAATGACAAGCCGAGCGCTTTCGTGAATGTCGCGCCCAAAATACTTCAAGGCTCCAGGTTAAGTCAGAGTAGAGTGTCAGGACAAACCCCGGTCGCAGTCAGTGAAAGTTGGGCCCTCGGCAACCTGCCATTTCGCCGACGGTGCAGGTGTCATCGACCGAGATCGCAGTTGCGCCTGCATCCATCTGAAATATGAATGATGTTCTTTATCGCTTTCAGACATACTCAACACTCTACTTCAACATTCTAACTTAAGCTGTCTAAAGTGACTGGCTGTGCGTCCAAGCCTGACAATAAGGAAGGCGCGACCGGGTCTCCGTTGCCCACGGCGCGGACGCCGGAGCCGGATCGGAGGATCCACTTCCTAGCCCCATATTAATACCGTTAGTCACCGACGGCGAGCGACGCCGCCACTTAACTTTTATTTAGCCTTTACAAAACCTAATTTTATTCAATTCGTTAGTACTAATAAGACCGAGTCTGCCGTTCCATGGTATCACGTACTGAGCATTCCAGACTATGGCCTCTACCACTACCCACCCAGACCCCGAGTCCGGCTCCGTGCCCTCCCAGGGTACCACTACTACCGACAGCCTCCCACCAGCCCAGTCAGCCCCCTTTTCCGACGACCACGCAGCCGTCCTGCCGTCATGGAAACGCACCGTCATCCTCTTGGTCGTCTGCTGGATGACGCTCCCCGTGACATTCATGTCCACGTCCATCATGACCGTGAACCCCGAAATCGCCGCCACTTTCTCCGTACCCGCTACGGCCATATCCACCGCCAACGCGGGTGTCCTCGTAGCGTCGGCCAGCTCGGCGCTGCTCTGGCTGCCCATCACCACCATCATCGGTCGCAGGGCCGCCTACCTGGTGGCTGTGGCCGTCTTTATTCTGTGCTCGTTGGGTTGCGCCCTGAGCGACAGTATGGCGAGCTTCACGACACTGTGGGTCCTCAGTGGCACGACGGGGCCTTTCTTCCTTGTTGCTGGGCAAACCATTCTCAGTGACATTTTCGATCCCGCTGTGCGTGGCATGGCGGTGGGCTTCTTCCTGGGTAGCACCGTCAGTGCGCAATCCATCAGTACGCCCGTCCTGGCCCACGTCTCTCACTCTCTCTCTCTCACTCACGCACTGACCATTGTGTAGCACCCATGATCTCGAGCATCATCGGCACCTATACATCCTGGCGTATCATCTTCGGCGTCCAGGGCGCCATGGCTCTCCTCGGCGGCGTCATGGCCTTCTTCTTCATCCCCAAGAGGAGCCAGCTGTCCAACGTGAGCGTCGAGACGAAAAAGGCAAAGAACGCCAGGAATATCCTCTCCGCCTTCAACCCGAGCAACATTTTTCGTCTCTACAAGTTTCCCGGTATCCTCCTCGCGGTAGGCATCTTCCACGTCCAGATCGCATAAAACCCTGCTGACGCCGACTACAGGACCTCACGTGTGGCGTCCTCGCCTTCAACCAGTACAGTCTCCTCGCGTCGGTGCGCCACATTATCAACCCGCTCTTCCACCTCACATCACCCATGTCCTCGGGCCTCTTTTACCTCGCCCCCGGCGTCGGCTTCCTCGCTGGCTCCATCGTGGCGGGCCACCTGTCCGACCGCACCGTGCAGCGCTACAAGCGCCACCGTCACGGACTCCGACTCGCCGAGGATCGCCTCAACAGCAGTCTGCCCTGGTTCTTCGTCGTCCTGCCTCTAGGGACGCTTCTGTATGGCTGGAGCGTGGACAGGGAGGTGGGTGGTATGGGACTGCCCATCTCGTCGTCCTTCATCCAGGGGTTCGGGCTCATGGCTGCGTTTAACGGGCTGAATACGTATGCGGCCGAGGTACATCCCGAGTTCAAGGCGGCGGCGATTAGTGGCAAGTATTTGACGCAGTACTGCTTTGGCGCCGTGGGCGTGGGCGTTGCTGTGCCCTTGATTGACGCCGTGGGGGTTGGGTGGGCGTTTACGATTAGTGAGTGCTATTCATTCTACATGATGGAGATGCGGAAGACACTGACAGTAGCAGCGGCGATATCTTCGCTCCTCGGCGGCTGTATGGTCCTCTTCATAGCGAGGTGTCTAGTTAGGGAGTCGGCGGCTCTGCCCAGGCCAAAGTTCTTTGACAAGGGAGAGGCCGGGCTACCTCGATAAGGTGGCAGCAGTCCACATGGCATTCACTGGCGCGCTTGTATACGATACCCATTCATGAATTCTCTTCGTCTGCCCACTCAAAAACCATCCTCACTGCTGCCGCGCACCTCAACAGATGGCATGCGTCTTGCCCGTCTTGCCCTGAAGCGAGTGCTTCTCATTCTGCACGCCACAGTTAGCACAACCCCATTCCATCATCATAAAGGGCCATCTTACCTTGTACTTCTCGTGGCCCTCCCCACCGCGTCCATGCGCGGTGACGTGGTTCTGGATAAACTTCTCGTGCCTGGCAAGCTGCTCCCTGTCCATCATCTCGAGCAGGCCGATGCACAGGGCAACGTCCTGGATCAACAGCTCACACTTTTCACGCGAAAAGTCCTCGCGCACCACGACGCGCAACATTTTGAGATTCTCCGTCTTGGGCGCCATGGTGTACGCCGGCACGACCCAGCCCCGACTGCGCAGCGTGCGCGCGAGCGTGAACTCGTCGTAGCCACGGTCGTCATCCTCCTTGAACCGGAACGCGACGAGAGGCAGGCCCTTGCCCGCACGCTGGCTCATAATGACAAATCCTTGCTTCTCCAGGCAGTCGCTCAAGTAGTCGGCCGTGCGGGTGAGATTGGTCATGATGGCGCGGTACCCCTTCTTGCCGAGCCGGATGAGCTGGTAGTACTGCCCGACGACCTGCGAGGCGCCCTTGCTAAAGTTGAGCGTGAAGGAGGCCTGTTCGGCCCCGAGGTAGTTGATGTTGAAGACGAGGTCCTGCGGCAGATGCTCCGGCGCACGCCACACGACCCAGCCCACACCTGGGTACACGAGGCCGTACTTGTGGCCGGACACGTTGATGGAGACGACCTTTTCGCAGCGGAAATCCCACTCGAGCTCTGGCACCACAAAGGGCGTGACGAAACCACCACTCGCGGCGTCGACGTGGATGGGCACGTCCATGTCCCGCTGGATCAGCAGGTCGTTGACGCCCTTGACGTCCTCGTACTCGCCCGTGTACGTCGTGCCGAGGATGGCGCAGATGCCTATCGTGTTCTCGTCGCACAGGTTCACCGTCTCCTCCGGGTCAATCACGTACCTGTCTTTCCGGCAGTAAACCAGTTTCTCCTCCACGTCAAAGTACCGCGCCGCCTTTTCCCAGCAGACTTGGACGGCAGCCGAGAAGACAATGTTGGGCTTGTCGTGAGGTTTCCCGGCGGCCTTTCGCTTCTCGCGCCATCGTCGCTTGAGCGCCAGCACGGCCAGCATGATGGCCTCGGAGGAGCCGACGGTCGACGTCCCGATGGAGGCGCCCTCGGACGCGTGGAAGAGGTTGCCGATGATGGACACGCACTTTGTCTGGATGGCCGCGCACTGCGGGTACTCCTCGTAGTCTATAAAGTTCTTGGGGAGACACTCGGTCATGAGCCTCTCTGCCTCGTCTTCCTATTCACGGGTGAGCGTGCGGTGTGTGTCTGGGAGTGATCGTCCCCACGCACCATGTACGTCGTCACGAAAGAAGCGAGACTTGCCAGCGTTAGCGCATCATGCATCACTTGCTCTCTGGGCTCACTCACTTCAGCTTTGGATTCCCGTCGAGGCTCAGCTCGTCCGAGATCAGCCTGTAAGCCACGTCCTTGGGCATCTGCCCCTCAGGCATCTCATGCGCGGGCAAGTCCATCGCCGCGTAGCGTGTGCCGTACACGCTGCCTGTCACATCATCGAGCTCCTCGATGACCTCCTGCTGCACGGATGGTGGTGGAGGTGTCGGTCTGCCAACCTTGGTCCTCACGGGGATCTTGCTCAGGTGTACCATTGCTGCTGCTGCTGCTCAATCAATTGACGGATCTCAATGAAACTCTGACGACAACTCGTCAGACTGAAGCAGTTCAATCAACGAATACAAACAAATGCAATTGCACCGGTACCCCCTCACTTCATTGGATCGCATCTAGACCGTCGTCATTCCAGGGTCGAGACGGATCCGGCTTGCCGTGCCGCACCCATCTGTTCTGCACCCGCGCTATCCGGGCGACTCTGCATGCCTCATGTGCTCGTATTTCATTTCCACATACATAGCTACGCACGTACATATGTACCCCCATGCACGCATCACGCCACATCTGGCACGTCAATAGTCGTCGTCCCCTTTGCCTGTCAGCCCGCTTGTCAAGCCATGCATCCGTCGTGACAGCAGGTCCTCCTCGCTGGCCAACTTGACAAGTGACTTGTTCATCCTCATCCCACCCTTCTTCTTGCCATTCGCCTTGGTCTGGCCCCGTGGGCCCGCGGGCTTCTTGTCCTCCTCACGCTGGGCATCACTGACTGGTGTCCCCGCCGTGCTGCCGCTGCGTCCACGACTAAGCATGCTCATCTCAAGTGGCCTGTCCTCATCACCGCTCGACTCGGCCGTCTGGGGGCGCCCGACCCCATACCCGGCCCCCGGATACAGAGGAACCGGCAGCGGTCGTCGTCGTCGTACGGACCGCGCGCGCACGGCGTCTGCGTGCGTGTACAGCTGGTCGAACCATTCTGCGCAGCGCTGAAAGTGCTTCCAAGCCGGCGGGTACAGGGCGGGGAACTGCATGAAGCCATGTGATGTCCCCGGGATGAGCATGACCTCGGCCGTGCCCAGGTCGCGCAGCTCCTCGGAAAAGTCGCCTGGCGCGCTGGGCGATGCTCGGTGGCGCGCTGCGGCTTCCTTGGCGCGTGCCAGCCGGCCGGAGAAGATGACCGTGTCGTCGACGAGAGGGTCGCGCTCGCCCGTCATAAAGTAGGTCTTGGGGAACTTGGCCAGGAGGGCGTCCGGTGCGAGGACGGGGCTGAGTAGGTAGTCTGAGGAGAAGTCGGGGCGGTTGTGGGGTCCAATGTAGAGGATGATCATGGCGCGCATCATCTCGGGCGTGAGGACGCGGTCGTTGAAGTAGGAAATCATGGACGAGGTGGCCAGGCGCGTCTTCATCGGCTCCACGTGAAGGGAGGCACTGCCATCCCCGTGGGCGGCTAAGTCACTGAGCGTTCGGGGCCCAGTGTGCGAGTACTCTGGGTGTGATTTCGTCGCATTCTCGTCAGAAGCCTCGCTTTCCACTGTAGCTGATGTTGTGCCCTTTGATGGCGGAGCGTCGTCCTCGTCGTCCGAGTGATGCGGTGTCCCGACCAGGTCGTTGTACTGGCGACTCTTCCTTCTCACGATAGATCTGTTCGTCTTTCTCATCTTACGGTCCCTGATAAGCGACATTTGCTCGTCGGTCATCCAGTTACCAATATTCATGTCCAGCGCAGGGTAGAAGCAGACGAGGCCGTCGGGCGCAGGCAGGTTGCCCCGTCCGGTGAACCGTCGAAAGTGAGGCGTTTCGTTCTCCAAGATCATCAGTGTCATTGACACCGCCAAGTTGCCCCCGGCGCTGTCGCCCGTCACGATGACCCGCGGCACCTCCTTGCCAGACATGCCAATGCATCGTCCCTTTGTCTGCACCAGCGTCGTGTACACGTCGAAGCACTCGTTGAGGGCGTATGGGTATGGGTACTCGGGTGCTTTCCTGTAGTCGAGACTGAGGATCGGTAGGCCCGACTTGGCGGCCCAGCAGAAGAGTTTGTCGTCGTTGCATCGCGGGTCCATGGCCACGAAGCCTCCACCGGGAATGTCCAAGATTACTTTGTTGTGATGCTCCAGATCTGCTAGTGGCCCGTCGTAGTAGAGCCATCCGACGACACTATCCTTATAATCGCTACTCTTCGGTCGGGGAATGCGAACCTGGCGTGGCGGCCACCGCGTGAACCTTGGTCGCATTAGACCCTGGAAGAAGCTCAGGTACGGCGTGGTTCCCTTATTCCACGACACACGCAGATGGTCCACCGTCAACATGCCCCTGACTTTGCGCACCTTTTCGTCTGCGCGTTCGGCCGCCACGAGGTAGAAGACAGAGAAGACGATTGAGGCAATGTCGCGCAACCATTTGGGCCTTTGTATCCTCATCGCCGTCCAGAATCCCGCATCGAGGGCCGTCAAGATCCATGTCGCGCGGAAGTACGTCGGATCATACATGTTGGCCATGGGTTCGGGCGACGCGAGGCCCACGAGGGCACTAAAGTTGCGCGCGGCGTAGAGGTGAAGCATCGTGAGGACAATGGTCTGCCATGTCGTCAGACGCGTGGAGAGGAGGCGCGAGAGCGTCTGCGCGCCCGGCGGGCCATGTTTGCTGCCTCTGTGGACGGGTCAGCTGGAGTCCCAGCATCGCCAGCGGGGGAGGGGCCACAACAACATACCGGTAGAGGTAAAATGACCAGAAGGAGAGGACAGCGAGGATTTGAAGGCGTCGCGACTTGGACGACGGCCGCCCAAGCACGTGGTCTATCATGTTTGCTATCGCAGCGACTGTTTTTTTGTACTCGGTCGGTCTATCAACGGGCCCAGCGTTCCATGGTGGCGCTGACGAGTCTAGGACACGCTCACTGTGAACAATGAGGTGGGGATTCGGTAAGCAGAAGATGATGATGGACTGATGCTGTGATGATTATGCAAACAAGAAAGACGGTCAGCGCAAGGACAATGGGGCGAGATGGAATGCGTCGGCTGGGCAGCCGACGCGACTCGTGACGGCCATTTCGGTTCGGAGGGTTTTGTGAGGGTCAGTCATTCCCTTCCAACGCTGGAATCCAGTTTCTGTCGGCATGTGAAAGCCCGATGGTGGGCGGGCACGTGAAAGCGCAGGTTGTCCACGTGTCCATGACGTTGGGGTATGAATAGACTACCCTGTAGCTGCTTTTGCACGAGCAGTATTCGAGCTTGAATTGCTTTATTTGTCGAAAATAGTAACTTTAGCCGGACTTTCCTCTCTTTACAGAATGAAAATAATAACTATTCGTTGTCAAATCACCAGGCAGGGGACAAAAATCGCATCCACTGGACAAAAGGAGTAGCTCGGGTTGTCGGAGCACCTTGACCGACATCTCGGGGGACGCAGCTCAGCCCATATCTTTCGAGATCTACTACGGAGAGATCATCGGACAATGCTTGTATTAACCAGTGTATCGGGTCTGTTCAGAATAGAACCGACCTCCACCGGAATGCACAAGTACGTCGTGTAGTTCACCCGCTTCGCTACGCCACCCGGCCTCCAGGCTCCAGTCCTCCGGCCGGCATGTCGGCCGATTACCCAGTTTTTTCGTTGCAGCGTCTCCGTCTCCGTTTCGGACCTCTGCCTCTCGCAACCTCGCCTCTCGAGTTAGTCACCTTGCGCCGCGCGTCGAGTACCGTCGCGTGCGGCTCACGCACGATTGAAGATCATGCGATGCAGTCAGATTTCTCTTCTTGTTTCTATTTTGGTGACGGGTGGCGGGCTCCAGTGCGAGTGTCTCAACTCACGCCACTTGCCGGATCCGGCCGGTCTACTAAGCAGAAACAGTCTCTAAAGTCTGAACAGGCTTTGAACCCCATTCCTGAGAAAGAATGCAGCCTAGGGAACACCGAAAACGTTCGATTCTTCCATTCCAGCTAGCCCTATTCTGGACTACGCTCGGCACTGCGTACAACTCCCGCTTTCTTCTGGCAGGCGTAGGCAAAGTTTCTTTCTTCATCCGGCTCCGGCGGCAGCAGGGCCAGTCTATACAGCTGAATGAGAATTTGACCTACGCATGCAACCAGATGCCCCAAGATTTCTATAAAGCATCAAGTGTCGACGAGCTCCAATTCCACTCCTCATTCACTCATCACTTCTCCTCCAGGCAAACGCACCACTCACAACACCACTGACACCGTCCACATACATTCTTCGTCCACAATGAAGTACTCTACTATCCTCTCTACCCTGGCTACGGCTGGCGCCGTGTCGGCCCAGGCGAACCCTACGGCCACTCCTGCCGCTTGCCCAGCTGCCGGCGAGACCAATGCTGCTGGTGACTACGGTTGCAACCCCAACCGTGAATATCCAGGCCAGGCCTGTGCTCTCATCGGCAACTGCTATGTTCTGCGCGGCCTAGGCCTGCTTTCTACCTCGACAAACAGTGCCAACCCGACAGCCAGCCCTGTTGTCTGCCCGGCCGCTGGCGAGACCAATGCCGTTGGCGACTATGGTTGCAACCCCAACCGCAAATACCCCGACCAGGTCTGTGCTCTGATCAACGACTGCTACATTCTCCGCGGTCTAGGCCTGGCTTCCACCACGACAAATAGTGTCAAGACGACCCCTGGCCCATACACCTCTACCAACACGGGCAACCCACCACAACCCACCACCTTTGTCCCCGTGACTCGCAACGTCACCTCCGTCATCAACGGCGTTACCACCGTGATGCCCGTTGTTCACAGCAGCGTTGTCCAGAGCGCCTACACTACCACCGGGCCTGACGGTGCGCTCACGACTGTCCCGGCTCAGACCATTCCAGCCGCCACTAACGGTCCAAACGGCGGTTCAGATGGCGGTTCAGATGGCGGTTCAGATGGCGGTTCAGATGGCGGTCCAAACGGCGGTCCAAACGGCGGTCCCACCGACGGTCCCACTGCTGGTGGTGCTCACCTGTCTGTCGCCGGTGGTCTTGCTGCGCTCGCATTTGCCGCTGCCCTGGTGTAAGTGGCTGCTGAAAGACATTTTGTTGGTGAAGGACACTAGGCGCGCGGAAGGGGGCCGCACGCTTTAGACGGCATGTTGAGGAAGTAATGGATGACTATAGACTATTGTATAAAAGGAGATATTGGGGATGTAATAATACGAAAAATCATGGGACTCAAACTCTGCAGGTGTACGTGGTTCTCGGGAAAGCGCATCCTGCGGTCACTGTGGCATTCCACTAAAGAGACCCAGGGATCAATACACACATGTGACTCTTCGTAAGCCTTCTTTCTATTACGTAGTGCTGATATACACGAAACCGCCATGGTCGCGTCCATAGGTGAGGGCACATACTCCATGTATAAGTGTGCATGCAGAATTGAGGTCAGAGCTCTTTCACGGATTCACACTATGCTCCCAAGACGGCGTCGCCTGTCATGCCAGCGGCGCTAAAGTGCAGCGATATTTGGAAATACCCATCCAACACTTCAGACTTTCGTCAAACTCAAGTCGGCCTGTTCGGGTCAAGTACAGCCATGTGAGCATTCTCCCGTTTGATTACGTTGGAACCAATCGTCGCGGTACCAACCGCATTGCAGATCCTGATTTCGGAGGTTCGACGACCCTGCGAAGGGCCATTAACAAAGCCAACGGTCTCATCAGTGCCTCCAAAGTCCAATCATCTCCAGCCCCTCGCAGAGCTCGGCTTTGTTAGCCCGGAGAATGGACAATTGTAAAAGTGCGAAGGGATCTGGACCCTTTTATTATTTTATGTGGCCGATTATTTGTAAGCTGGCCCCTCGTCACTGTCCATGATGGCTTCCGTCCTTGCTACTAAAATGCGAGCCTGTTTTGCGTCGACGGTCACATCAGTGCCTCCAAAGTCCAATCATTTCGAGCCCGTCGCAGAGCTCGGCTTTGTTGACCCGGAGAATGGACAATTGTAAAAGTGCGAAGGAATCAGGACCCATTTATTGTTGTATATGGCCGATTATTTGTAAGCTGGCCCCTTGTCACTGTCCATGATGGCTTCCGTCCTTGCTACTAAAATGCGAGCCTCTTCTGCGTCGTAGAAGCATCCGTGCCACTACTCTGCCCACTTCCCTATATTCCCGCAGTATACATCTCAATAATGGCAGCGCAGACGGTCCTCGTCGTCGGGGCCACCGGCAACATTGGTGTCGCGGCTGTCAAAGGAGCCTTGCAGGCAGGACGCAACGTCTTGGCCGTTGTGCGCAACCAGAATTCCGCCGACAAGCTCATCAAGCACGTGGGGACCTCCAAAGGTATTACCTTTGTCGAGGCTGATGTTGCTTCGGACTCGGGGATTGCCAATGTGGTGACCAAGGTCCGGGAGGGCAAGCTGCCAGCCTTCCAGCACGTCCACTCTTCCGGCATGACATGACCCCTCCCCATACGATACCAGGTCCCATGGGTTAACCTGACGTGTAGTTGGCGGGGAGTACGTTACGGACCCTATCGAGAGCATCACAACGGATCGTTTGCGATATAACAATAGTATCTCCTTTGAGGCCAACTTTTGTAAGGCGACAGCATCCTGCTCACAGTAAGCAAGTAATTTGAAGCACCGAAAACTGACACTGGCAGTTGCCTACCGCGACACAATCGAGTATCTGCGTGAGCAGGAGAACAGCTCCTTCACCATGTGCACTGGCTCCCAGGGCGACCTGGCCACACATCCTTTGCCGGCCATGACGCAGGGTGCACTGTTCTCCCTGTGCCTGGGCGCTGCTCGCGAGAACCTGGACAAGTCCGTCCGCGTCAACGAGGTGTACCTGGGGTTCCGCGTGGAAGTGGACGAGGACGCGGCGCAGCACGGTGTCGTGAGCTCGACAGAGTTTGGCGCTGTGTTCGAGCAGCTGCTGGACAGATCCGATATTCGAAGCGCGCGTGTTCAAGTGACCACGCCAGAGGACATGAGGGTCTTGAGGCACGCCAGGAGATTTTAGCACTTGGGCACGTGCCCATGACGTCGGTGTTGATGAGGCTACCCTGCAGAATGTACACATATCAGCATGTCACAGGTGATCCTTTTGTGAGCATGTAGGGACACGCTCTCCAAGAAAGCACGGCTATATAATCTCAGGCTACATCAAAACCGAGGACAATAGGGGTCGACCGCCTCGGATGCCTCGCCTCACTAGCACAAGGGAATGCGGCGGCGGAGGGACCCATGTGGTTGCGGGGTACGTCAGCGGCTGGTGAACACGAAAAAACAATGTCCACGACATCGCTCTAATTGCCACTGCAGACGTTGATCAGAGTTGAGAGAATGAATCAATGCTACATATAGTTATGACAATGTGCGCATGGCAACCATGGATTTTCAAGTAGATCCATAGGCGGGCTTGCACAGACTGAGCAGAGACATCGTACCTTCGTTAGTCAGCTGAACTGAACCCTGGAGGGGCAGCCGCCCAATTGCCGTCGAGGTGCCGTCATTTGGACGACCTGGGATCTTCACGCCGAATTGCCATCCTCGTCGCAATCACAGTCATCGCGCGCCCACAGACGGTACGACTCGAGCAAGGCCCTACACTGTACCCGGCTTCCGCACACACCGCCAGCCACCGTCGTCCGTCATCCTCAGAAACCACAGCCACCACTCCCACCCAATTCATCCTGCCCCTGATGTATTCATCACGCACCCCTTGACCTGCCTCACTGTCGAACGGCCTTTTACCAGACGCATCATGGCCTCGAGCCAGCCGTCGTCATCCTCGACCGCGACACAACACCCGCGCGTCACTATCCCGCCAGATCGGCGCGGGTCCAGGGCGTCCGAGTCGTCGAGCGACGATGGCTACCGAATGAGTCCCGCCGCCGCGCGGGCCTTTGCGCGACGCAACATGCGGAGGAGCTCGCCCACGCCTGACCTTGTGACGAGCCTGGTGCGTCCACCGTCGCCAGACAGATACTACACGCCAACAAGTACAGAGCGAGGTGGTCGCAGGGGATCTGGGCGCTCGCGATCACAAGCCGTGGGTCGTGTAGATGGCAGTGGGACCTCGGCACGTCGGACAGGCCCGTTGATGACACCACATCCCGCGTCTCTCGACCTGCACGCCAAATATGGGGGCGACAGTGTCTTTGATATGTATGCCCTGACCTATGTCTCCGAAAGTGACGCAGCACTGCTGTGCCCGATCTGTCACGACCCCCTCGTCGATCCAGTCACGACACCATGCGACCACACCTTTTGCTATCGCTGTCTGCGGAGGAGCATCGAGTCGAGCCCAGCTGGCACGGCCTGCCCGGTCGATCGGGAGCCCTTGACGTGGGCCGAGTGTTTCAGCACGGGGCGACTGGTCAGGGCCCAGCTTAATGGCCTGGTGGTGAAATGTCCTCATCATGGTCGGGGCTGCACACACGAATGCAAGCGGGAAAACATTGAGACGCATGCGACGGTCGAGTGTCGGTTCAAAGACTACCACTGCGCTGACCCAGAGTGCGAGAAAAAGGTCAAGTCCAAGCCCGTGGTCGATTACTGCCAGCATTATTCTACGCAGTGTCGCTACTGCGACCAAACCATCATCGAGGCGGACCGGAATCTCCATCTCCTCGCCTGTGAGAAAGGAAAGGCACGATGCGAGGCATGCTGGCAGATGGTCACGAGGGCGTCCATGGCTTCTCACCACGCACTGGACTGTGATGGCATCGAAGTAGGCTGTCAGTATGCCGATCTTGGATGCCCTGTCCGCGTGGAACGTGGCGACCTCGCCGAACACCTGTCCGAGTGCCCTTTCCACCCAGAAACCGCGTCTGGCATGGTCATCCGGTCACAACGCGACCTTATCCAGACATACGCCGACCTCACAAGCCAAGTGCAGCAGTGTCGCAGTCAGCAAGCCGAGAATGCAAGGAAAATAGAAGACATCACGCTAGCCGTGGACGGGCGAGGGAGAGGCGACTCGTCCCTAGGCGACCACCGCACCATGCAGGATCTCGACGCGGGCTTTGAAGAAGTCCACCAGAACCTGACGCACCTGGAAGCTCGCCAGAGCATGTGGACCATGAACCAAGTGATGCCCATCCGCGAGGAGGTCACGGAGCTGCGCAACAATATCAACATGATCCGGATGCACGTCAACTGGCTGCTGAACAGGAGCCGAGAAGAGGGCCGCATCAGAGCAGCGCACAACTCTGGCACTGGGGCCATCCGCCGAGAGACTTCGGCTGATGGGGTCAGCATGCCGACGATGCCTGAGAGAAGGAGGTCGTCTGGGACAGACACGGATCTCCCGAGACTGTAGAGAGAATGTACGACGAACGATGGATGAATTTTACTTGGTGCTGGCGTTGGGATTTTCGCACGCACACAGACATAGCGACACGAATACTCGGGTCGCATAGGCTGGCGCTGGCGTGCATAGGATTTGAATTCATTCATAGATCATACTGAGCAGGTCCACAGAACGACAGATGATGATTAAGAGTTGCTAGTCTAGCGTGCGGCATCGACTAGTCTAGTGGGCGGACTTGAAGCTTGGGAGACGGACAAGCGGAGTTTGGACCCATGGCGAGGGATCAAATGTATGTAATGCATAATGCGTTCGACCTTGCACCTTTTGTCTCATGACTGTACTTTCTTACCTAGTACCTGGAAGACATAATCACTCCCAAAGACTGCTCTCCTCTCCTCTTCTCTCCTCTCCTCTCCGCCAACAGGCATAGCCAGAGTAGCATTGCGATTCCCTACACTCTTATTGTGCCCCTACGTGAAGCCGGAAGGCTGGCAGCCTCGCGCCCCGCTATCGCTGCGTCACACCCCACTATTGGCCACTGGAACGTCAGGGCCACCAGTCCCCAGCCGCCGGCCAACGGCCAACCTTTCAACGAGGTCACATTCGATCATTAATCATCTGGCCCTTGACCGCGTCCCTCTTCCGCCGTCTTCCACGTTTCATCCTTTTATTTTGGTTTCCTGCTCGACCGCATAGAGGGTGATCATGGACGCCGACAATCCGCAAGACCCTGGGCAGCCGCCCCAGCAGCAACCGTCATGGCCAGGCGGCGATGCTCCCGACAAGGAGAAGATGGACCAGGTATGCTGATAGCCACTGTGGGCGCTTTGATCGCGGCAGCTTGACTGAACTATCCTCCAGATCCGAGCGCGACGTCTTGCCAAGCTGGGCACAGCGGCACCCAAGCCCGAAGAGCCCACAGCCGAACCATCGGCCTCGACGGCCTCCGCTTCGAAGCCACAGACCGAGACAAAGCCCAGCCCCATCACCGTCAGAAAGACTGGCAGCGCACCAGACAGCAAAGATGGTTCAGGTACCGCCCGCCCCTCCCGCAAGCGACCAGCGTCGAGCGATGCTGACGGCCTGGCTCAAGCCAAACCCTCTCCTCCCCCAGCAGCACGGAAACCCGCACCGACGCCGAGTGCGCCCGAGTCGGACGAAGACTACACACACCGCGTGCTATCGCAGATCTTCCGCGTCACGCTCGATCCGCATACCACGTCGACACCGACGGGGCAGCGCCTCATGTTCCTGCCCAACACAAACGCCGAGGCGAACGCGTCGGGCGATCCGCTCAAGTTTTCGCTGTCGAATCTGGACCAAGCCATAATGGAGGCGGCCTCTACGTGGCCCAAGGGGAAACCCCTGCTGGACTACCTGCTTCCGTGCTGGAAACGTGCGGTCAAGGCAGCGAGCTCAGCAAAGGGGTTGAGCCCCGCCAGGGTCGTCGTTCTGGAGGAAGCAAAGCGGCTGAGTCTTAGCAACTGTCTCTTCTGCCTGACCGTGCCGGAGCTGTTTGGTCGAGACGAGAACGCAATGGCAGACACACTGGTGCCGTACGTCTTGCGCGGGCCGCTGGATGAGAACGGGCTGGACCTCAGGTTCTACGAAGACGCGATCAAGAGATTTGACGAGGACGAAGAGATCCCCAGGCTCTTCACGAGGACCATGACCACCATCAGCACACAGCTGTCGAACATGTCGATGGAGGGTGACTACAAGCCGCACATCCAGGCGCTGCAGACGTATGCGCGCTTCCCACCGCTGCTGCATAACCTCGCGCAAGACGCCATGTTCAACATGGCACAGTCAGCCCACAATATCGAAAGGCACACTCTACTCGGGCCCTTCTTCCGACTGTCCCCTCTGCAGCCCGAGGTGATCAAAAGCTACTTCCCTGGGCCGCGGACCCTCGACAAGGGACGCATCGCCAACTCCCAGGATGCGTTGCGCATGGTGCTGCGGTCACATCAGGACGACCTGTTCCAGATAGCCAACGCCTTCATCCGCTCAGGTCCCGACACGAGGAACCGTACCCTGGACTGGTTCGCCTACATTATGAACACGAACCACAAAAGGCGTGCACTCCAGGTGAATCCCAAGGAGGTGGCCTCGGACGGCTTCATGATGAACGTGACGACCATTCTTGACCGTTTCTGCGAGCCTTTTATGGATAACGACTTTAGCAAGGTGGACAAGATCGACGTCAAGTACTTTAAGCGCCAGCCGCGTGTGGATATCAAGGACGAGACCAAGATCAACGCGGACCAAGCGGCCGCGGAAGAATACTACGCGCAGCAGGAGCCCGGCGACTCCAACTTCATCTCGGAGGCCTTCTTCCTGACGCTGGCGGCGCACCACTACGGCAGCGAGGCGACTAATGCGCAGCTGAAGAACATGGACCGCGAGATCAAGTATCTGGAGAAGCACATCAAGGCCATGGAGGCGGAGCGGCCCAAGATTGCCAACTCCCCGACGCAGATGCAGATGTTTGAAGTGGCCATGAAGCGGCACACCAGCGTCCTGGAGAAGGCCATTGGGTTGAAGATGGCTATCGAGGGCGTCCTCCTGGACGACCGCATGCAGGGAACATCACTACGGTTCATGCGCTACGTGGCGGTCTGGCTGCTGCGCCTGGTCACAGGCACCGACTACAAGCCCGGCAACGAGAGCGAGGCGATCAAGCTGCCGTTGTCCGTCGACCGCAACGGTGCCTTTGCGTGCCTGCCCGAGTATGTGCTGCAGATCATCGTGGACAACTTCAAGTTCATCTTCCGCTACCTGCCCAACATTCTGCTCAGTGCCGTGGGCGAGGAGCTGCCTGCGCTCTGCATCACCCTGCTGCGCTCCTCGGACTACATCAAGAACCCATATGTGAAGTCGTCACTGGTCACACTCCTCTTTTCGGGGACGTGGCCGTTTATGCACTTGAAAAAGGGCGTCCTGGGCGACCAGCTCGTGTCACTCCCGTTCGCCAACGACTACCTTCTTCACTCGCTGATGAAGTTCTACATTGAGTGCGAGTCGACGGGCGCCAACTCGGCATTCTACGACAAGTTTAACATTCGCTATGAAATCTTCCAGGTCATCAAGTGCGTGTGGGTGAACGACGTGTACCGGCAGCAGCTGATGCGCGAGAGCAAGTGAGTAATTGTACATGTTGTGGAGGTGTGCATTGCTAACACGTCACCCTCCAGAGTGAACAAGGCATTTTTTGTGCAATTCGTAAACATGCTGCTCAACGACGCCACCTACGTCCTCGACGAGGCCTTTACCAAGTTCCCCAAGATGCGCGCGCTGGAGCGCGAGCTCGAGGACCGAAGCATGCCAGCGGAGACGCGGCAGAAGAAGGAGGAGGAGCTGCAGACGCTGGGCAACCAGGCCACGTCGTACATGCAGCTCGCGAACGAGACGCTGGAGATGATGAAGCTCTTCACCGAGGCGCTCGGGGAGTCCTTTACGATGCCCGAGATTGTGACGCGGCTGGCGAGCATGCTCAATTACAATGTGGAGACGCTCGCGGGCAAAAAGGCAGCTGCCGAGCTGTCCGTGTCCAACCGGGACAAGTACCACTTTCGACCCATCCAGCTCATCTCCGACTTTGTCGAAATCTACCTCAACCTCGGCAGCTCGCCGGACTTCATCCACGCGGTCGCCGCCGACGGCCGCTCGTACAAGCCCGAGGTACTGGATCGCGTGTCGCACATTCTGGAGAAGAAGGGCCAGCTCGACGCCCAGGGTCTGGCGCGCTGGGCCCAGCTCAAGCAGGCGTTCATCCAGGCCAAGCTCGCCATTGACCAGGCAGAGCTCGACCTCGGCGACATCCCCGCCGAGTTTGAGGATCCCATCATGGGCGACCTGATGAACGACCCTGTGCTGCTACCGAGCCAGCACATTGTGGACCGCTCGACGATTGCGCAGCACCTGCTCAGCGACCCCAAGGATCCGTTTACGCGCCAGCCGATGACGGTGGACGATGCGATTCCACAGTCGGAGCTCAAGGAGAGGATTGAGAAGTGGAAGGAGGAGAGGGTGCAGGCGGCCCGGGACAAGCTGGCGAGCACCGGGACGACGGCGGGGAGTCAGGATGACGGGATGGATACCACGGAGGGCTGATGGAGACGGTAGAATAATGATAACGTGGCATGATGAGGCAACTGGTAGTGTTATATCATAGATGACTGCTGAGGCGTGGGCGGTGATGATGCGTCTTTGCGAGTTGTAGGTTTATAGACTGGAAAAGCAGAGCTATTGCCACAGCGCCTCACTGCAGCGGTCCGCCTCCGTACCAATGAGATGCAATGCTCGTAAAGTGCTGCGTTGGGACAGGAGCCTACTCCGTACTGAGTAGTAGGTATAACGATGCACTTCTGTCTCGGTCTCATGCATGGGGAACGGCCGCAGCCTGATGAGATGAGCGGGGTAACTGTAGCCGCAAGCTTGACAGACAGCTTGCATTAGTAGGAAGTACTCCACCAGGCTGCCATGGCTTCTTTGCGCATTCTCTGGTCCTCACCAACGTACAAAGTAGGTGACGGTTGTCTCGTCTCAGCAAACCATTGCTCCGTGCCCAAAGCTCATCACGTAAGAGTAGAAGAGCAAGTCTACAAGAAAATCCCCTACAGTATCCGATATGGCAGACAGCAGGGGAACAGCCATTTCCGGCCCGGGATTCTGGTCAACCAAATGCTCAGATCCAGGAGCAGTAAACGTCAGGGCGCTGATGATAGATATTAGGTTTATACATTAAAAATACGGCTTATCTTCCCACAGCGCCTCACTACAACGGTTGTTCACAACCGCTCATCTTCCGTAGTATAGTGGTCAGTATGCAAGCTTGTCACGCTTGAGACCCGGGTTCAATTCCCGGCGGGAGAGATCCGCCAGCTGCTCAGCAGTCTCTTTTTTGCCTTTCGATCTGTGCGAGGTCAATTGCTCCTTTACCTGAGTTTGATCTTGTTGCGTAGTGTTTTTTGTTTTGTTTTGTTCCTATTTCTTCCTCCTCCTTCTTCTTCTTCTTCCTCAGCGACGCCACTTGAGCTTGGGCGTCCGTCCTCGTCGTGTACGAGACAATGCTTCGTACTCATAGCGACAAGTGGAGGAAACTCTCCGCAACGTTGAGACTGGCTTTTCCTAGTTCTGGGCCCTGAATGACGATGCCTCTTTGATCGGAGCTATTGCTTGGCCTAACGACATGGCGATCCAGCTAGTGAGGACTGGGCGTCCACTGCCGACTGGGCTCGTCCCACTCTGAGCGAAAGCCGATTACTGAGCGTTCTCACCGTAAACAGGATTGCGTCGTGATGGAAGCCATCGACGGACACTGCATGCTCTCATTGTGCTACAGCATCAATCATTGTCTCAATGGCATTTTCGTACGTTCGCGTGCTTGCAAGCGACATGTGCTAAGAGCACCAGAACATGAAAAGAGCCGCCGCTTTCATCACGCTGTGCTCATCCAGCGTACGGTTTCAGGCTTTCAGCCCCTCCCTCCCTCTCGTGGCCGAACTAACCACCGATGTTGCGAACCTCGTCATCCGAGTGAAAGATGGCCGCCCCACCAGGTGATTGACCATTGAAAGCCAAGCTCAAGCTGCTAGCTAAGCTTCCGGCAGATCAGGCCAGACCCAAGGATCAGGTCGGACCCAAGCCGGGAACCCCCACCGCCATCCCGCGATGCGCTCGGGCTGCCAAGATCGAGGTTATGAATGAGCATACCAAGTGACGCAAAGCACGGCGTTTTGGCTTTCGGCGGGCTTCTTCTAGTCTGCGGAGCTGCACTGTTTGCTTCGCACCAAGAGCTGCTGTGGGCAATCTGGAAAGCAAGGCAGAGTGGTGGTGGGAACCCCGAATATGTGCGGGAGCATGGAATAGGGGTTGCTCTTACCATCATTGCCCATTCCGTTTCAGCCCATGGCAAGCTGGCAGCACCACAAGAGAGCGGTTGATGCGGCCATGGCCTCTTGATGACAGCTACGCTGGCGGTCTGGGTGAGATCATCGAGTGACATCAAGCTCGTCATATGACGTGGGAGATGCTGACACTTGAGGCTCACGACAGGCGGGTGCCCGGGAGTTCTGGGTGAATGGTCTCGGGGATCTATATAGGGGCCAGCTATTGCTCACTTGGGAGTGTAGTAAAATCTGGACCTAATCATTCGATCATCATCACCGAACCATCCTCGCATTGACAGCAACTCGAAACTCTTCTCCTTCACCTACAACGACCCCACAACATATATCAAATCAACCAAAAGAACACACACTCGTCATGCAGAAAGCAAAGGCTGCCGCTGCTAGCTTCCTCTCCAAGGATGGCAAGCACAAGACCACGATGGACCAGGACGTCAACGCCGCCGTGACTGAGGAGCACGTCAAGCCTCATGAGCACGAGAAGATCACGACAGCCGTTGACCGTGAGGTCCACCAAGACCACCATCAGACGCGCATCCAACCGGTCGATGCCAAGGAGACGCGGCCTGAGACGTCGGAGCACGTCATGGAGCCCACAGTGCACAAGAGCTTTGAGCACACGAATGAGGCCGAGGAGCGCCAGAAGCTGGACGCCGAGCGCGCCGCCTTTCATAACTCAAGCGTCACCCACGACACGACGCACTCAACCGACGTGGCCCCGGCCATCACAGGTGAGCGCGTCCACCACCACGTCCACGAGCACATCCAGCCCGTGATCCACAAGGACACCATTGCACCCCACGTCGTGCACAAGACCGTCCCCGTCCATGAGACGCACCACGCCGCCCCCGTCCACCACGAGGTCACCACCCTCCCCGCCAAGACTCTTGAGGAGTTCCAGTCCGCCGGCGGCACCTTGCAGGGCGAGAACATGCACGTCACCCGGGAGCACGAGGGTTGTCCCGGCCCTTACAACAAGGACTGCGAGCTGCCTAGCACCGCCCTCGGCAGCGGCCACTCGCACCAGCACTCGACCTCGTCCGCAGGTAGCGGTGTCGACGAGTACACGACAAGCCGGGAGTCTGGCCTGCTCGGTACCTCTCCGTCTGGTGCTGCTGGTGCCTCCGCCACGGACCGAACTGTGAGTTCATGTTCAACATGAATCAAACTTGAGAAATTACTGACACGCCGGACAGCCACGCACCGGAGAGAACTTGGGCGGAACCACGTCCGGCACTTCGGGCACTGGCGAGCGCCACAAGCCCTCGCTGAAGGAGAAGTTTGATCCCCGCGTTGACGCCGACAGTGACGGTAAGAAGGGTGTCTTTAGTTGAAGGGTGTTTGTTATGAGCGGTTCGGCGACTATTTAATACCCTGAACTTTTGTACTGTCAGATAGTTGTAATGTCAGCCGAATTGTGTCCATTGGGGTAAGAAACTGATCTACACTTCCGACGGCACTAGGGCGTTTGGACGTGAATTTCTTCGTCCAATCAAGCATATCGGTGACTGCTTATGCATTTTCATTGTTTGCAAAAGGTTCATAAAAGACAGCAAATGGCTATCTCTACTTAATGCACCTGTATTCCAAATTCGAAGCCAGGTGAATGTGATGTACAGGGTAGGTCACGTGTCGGTTGTATTGGACGCCAGAGTCATGCTTATGGAAATGTGTTGCCTATATGTGCGCGTTGCTGACAATCACTTTGTAAATAGTAATTAATTAAACCCCATGCAGTTTGCAGAACCGCCTCGACCTTTTCGGAAGCATGCCATCTATCCCGGGCCCTGGATGGGGGCTGTTTTCCGTCGCGATCGATCAGGGGTCCGTCCATTAGTGCACAATCGTCAAAGGAAGGATGGTCCCTGCATGGTGACTTGTCCCAACCCATGTGGTGCGATTCGCCCGTTCGCTGCCCAACGACGCGGGTCCCTGGCGTCGGTCACATAGGCGATCACCACTAGCTTCACTCTGAGAATCCCGTTGCGATATCGATTTTGGTTTCTTGGCCAAGACGGAGTGCGCAGCCAAGCATGTCGCTTGCCCCAGGCCAAGACATGCGATTACTACCCTTTACAAAGTCGTGACATCATTCAGACGCTCCAGAGTCTAGACTCACCCACATTGGCAGTTGATGACACATCAAGCTCTTGCCCCCTTGGGACCGTTAGAGGACTAGAGGCGAACCTGCAACCCTCTGTCACCCTCACTTTCGACACCCTCAATCGCATTGGACTCGAGACATTTTGCCGCTCGTTCCATTCGCTCACGTTTGCGAAATATTGCGGCGCGCCGTTGCCAGGTGGAAGAACCACTTTTGGACCCGGGACCCGCCGCCTGCATTGCGATTTGCGCCCGAAGGATTCGGATCTCAATGTGGTCGGACACTCAAGCCACTTTGCGGTAGGGTAGCGGCGTGCAGATCCGATCCTCCAACATCGACCAGGCGGCTGGCAGCCAGAAACACCAGGCCATGCCCGCCCCCTTCAGTGCGAAAAAGGGCCTGGCCACCCGCGAGTCGCTCACTCCTCCCCATGAGGAGGAGGAGGAGCCCTACAGCCGCAGCCATGTCTCTCAGGCGAGCGTGTGGAAGAGTGTGCTGGCGGGCTTCCTGGCGGCCTTCCCGACCGTGCTCCTGCTGTTCCTCTTCAAGTCGTTCTCCATGTCGAAGCTCTTCAGCGCGGCCTTGGCCATGCTGGTGATGACCAGGAGCACGTCCAGCTGGCGCGTCGACACCCATCACCATGTGCTGCCGCCCATGTATCTCGAGGCGATGGAGGCGAACGGTGGAGAGCCGACTGGGTATCCGATGCCCTCGTGGTCCCTGGAGCAATCGTTGTCGTCAATGAACAAGGTGGGCACGTCGATCAGTGAGTATCTGGCCGAGTCTGCAATTATCCAAGACCATTGTCGACTAAGACGACTTCTAATGCAGGCATCCTTTCGCTATCCGTGCCCGGTGTCGCCATTGCTGGAACAGGCATGGAGGCTCGTACCTTGGCGCGTGATGTCAACGACTACTTCGGCAACGCGACAACAGAGAGCAATGTCTCTGAGAGACTTGGCTTCTTCGGTGCCTTGCCCGACTGGCGCGACGTCAACGGCACCCTCGCAGAGATCGACTACCTGTACGAGGCGCAGCAGCTGGCGCATGGAGTATCGGCGTCCACCTCGTACGGCGGACAACTCCTGAGCCACGACGACTTTGCGCCCATCTGGCAGCGGCTCAATGACTATCACGCTCTTGTGTTCCTCCACCCCACCAGCCTCCCGGGTGAACCAGGCTCCATTGCTGGAGCGCTGCCGGATCCTATAGTCGATTTCCCACTGGCAACCACCCGCGCGGCAGTTGACCTCGTTCTATCGGGGCGTTTCGGCCAGGTCCCGGATGTGGATGTGATCCTGTCCCACGCGGGCGGGACGCTGCCCTACATTGGCACGCGCGTCATAGGAAGCCTCGCCATCCCCGAAGTCCGTAGCAAGGTGCAGGTCGACATTCTCCAGGCGGCGGCAGGCTTCAAGAGATTCTACCACGACTTGGCTCTCAGCTCGACCCCAGCGCAACTGAACGGGCTGCTCGACTTTACCGAACCGGACAAGATCTTGTTCGGGTCCGACTTCCCGTATGCTGCTCAGTATGCGATTGACGCGCTGGTGCTGCAGTACGAGGCCTTTGTGAGGAGCAGTCCGCGCGGCTACAAGCTCACAAACGATGTGCTGAGGCGCAACGCGCTGCGGCTCTTGCAGAAGCATCAGCAGGGCAAGAAGTTTGAAGAGAGGACAGCCTTTGAGGTTGTGAATGGTCTCGTTTCATGATTGTGTTTTTCACAGGTATATATACTTTTGTACATGAGATGTTCAATGGACATACTTGCTTTCCGGTCTCAGTGGGTCTTCCAGCTGCTTCTTGCGCCAGAGTCGTCGATCTGAGCCACATCAACACGGCATTGGCATGCATGACGTCTTGGGCCGCCTTTCTGCGCTACTTGAGGAAACATAAAGCAGCATCTCCACAGTCTCCATCACTAGCAGGCCAACACGAGGTGCTGCTCAGCCCTTCGCGCGAGCCGCACGGCTCTGTACTCTCTTGGCGCCCACCCGCACGGATCCCTGGTGCCGTTCCTGCAGGCACATGACGATCATGCAAGTCAGCATTTGGACTTCCTGTCGCTCCCCTTGTGGGTGTGGATGTCTATTTTCTCGCTTGGCGAGCCACAGCCCAGGCCAATACGCAGACCCTCCTGAGAAAAGATGACATTGTAAGCCCACATCGGCGAGCCTTATAACTTGGCGTTGTGCGAAGACCTCTACCCTGGGTTATTCATATCCGCTGCGAGGATCACTCGTGTGAACTCGCCATGTCACTGCACCAGACACATACTTAGCACTCAATTGCCCGTCCACGATGAATTCGATTGCGTCGCTTGGCGTGTCGGCCCTCTTTCTGGCCCAATCCTGGGCTGCCCCTACGAACATGTCGAGATGCGGCGACTGGACCACACGAGAATGGGATGCCATTGTTGTCGGAGCTGGGACAGCCGGCATCATCGTAGCTGATCGACTGAGCGAGGCGGGGTTGACCACATTGCTTCTCGAGCAAGGCGGCCCTTCGTACGGCATCACTGGCGGGACAGAGAGACCAGCATGGCTCAAAGACACAGACATGAGCCGCGTCGATGTGCCTGGACTATGTGGGTGACCAGGGGAAGCTGACGAGACACGTGGCTAATCATCGACAGACAAGAGCATCTTTGACGGCAACACAAAACTCACCTGCGGCCCCGAGGTCGTCTCCTCGACCCAAGCCTGCGCCATTGGTGGGAACAGCGCCATCAACGCTGGCCTCTACTTCCAGCCGCCCGCGTCCGACTGGGACGACTACCACCCCGAAGGCTGGCATAGCAGTGACGTGCAGCCGGCCACGGACCGGCTGCTACAGCGACAGCCACCTGTCACTCAGTACTCTACTGACGGGGACTACTACCTCCAGAGCGGATACGAGGCTGCCCGCGCCTGGCTCACGGAGAAGGCTGGGTACAAGCAAGTCGCTTTCGACGAGCAGCCAGACGAGAAGGAGAATGTCTTTGGGCGGCCCGTCTTCAATTACATTGATGGTCAGCGTGGTGGTCCGACACGGACGTATCTGCAGTCAGCACTGAAGCGCCGCAACTTTCACCTGCAGACTGGGGCCGCTGTCGACTACATCATCCAAAAGGGTGGCCAGGCGACGGGCGTTCACGTCACGGTCGATAATCAGGAGAAGGACATTCAACTCTCTGCTTCCGGTCGGGTCATCTCGAGCGCTGGCGCCCTCCTATCGCCCAAGCTGCTCATGTACTCTGGGATTGGGCCCAAGGATGTTCTCTCCGACCTGGCTGCTGCCTCTCGCACTCCTTACACGGACCCTTGGTCGTGGGTGGTCAACGAGAATGTCGGCCAGGGCCTGTTTGACAACCCCAACACCTTCATTGAGCTTTCCGGTCCTAGCATTGAATCCTACACATACAGCTACGCCGACCCCCCTCAGGAGGACAAAGAGCTGTTCCTGCGCTCCAGGTCCGGCCCGTATACTTTCGCGTCGCAGACATCAGCCTTTTGGAGCTACGTCAACCACGAGGATGGGTCACGCACGGGTGTGCAGGGCACCATTGACTCGTCTGGCTTTTCGGGGTTCACCAACAACCACACCATCACGCTCAACGTGTACGGCACATCGGGCATGCTGTCCGCCGGTCGGGTCGTCCTGTCGAGCGACGGCAAGTTTACTGCCGGTCCCAGCTCGGACGTCTACTACAGCAACCCGCGCGATGCCCACGACATTGCCACCTTTATCCACTCCATCTTCCAGTCCCTGCCGGCGAGTACACCGGACTCACCTGCCGAGGATGATGGCCTGACACCGCTCAATCTCCCTCAGTCCTCGACGGTCGATGAGATCTACGAGTACATCACGACGCCTTCCGCCTACGCCGTTGGCGCTGTGCAACACTGGTCGAGCTCGTGCCGACTGGGGACGTGTGTGGATGGTGATACGAAAGTGTTGGGCACGGAGAATGTGCATGTTGTTGATGCGTCGATTGTGTCGCCTCTGACGGTCAATCCACAGTTTGGCATCATGGTCGCGGCGGAGAGGGGGGCGGAGAAGATTTTGGACTCCTTTGGCCTCTGAGCGAGGGCTTTGTTTGAGGGAGGCTGGCACCGTCCAGCCAGCCAGACAGCAATGACACCGCCAAATGGTTCGACGAGCCGTTCGACATGCTCCAAACCAACCTGGGAGAGATAGACGTGGACATGGAACGCCAATGCCACGGCCGACTTCATCCAGGAGTACGGTACCATGGCTGGTATAGTTGAAGCTGAGCATTGTTGTATCTGTATCCAACTAACGACCGTAATTAAAGCTTTGCTGCTTGGGCCTGTTCACGCACAACGGCACCAACCGGCCTCCCCTTTTGCCTCAGAATCTTCCTCAATATCTTGCCAGCCGGACTCTTCGGGATGGCACTGACAAATTCAACCTCCTTCATCCACTTGTGCCTTGTCTTCTTCTCCCGCACAAAGGACAGCAGCTCGCGGCCGACATGCTCCTCGCGCCCCGCGTAGCCCTTGGCCAGCACCACAAAGGCCTTTGGCCTCTCGCCCGCCCGCTCGTCCGCAATACCAATGACCGCACAATCATCTACGGCTGCATGACCCAGGAGGAGGTCCTCCAACTCAGCTGGCGCGACACCGATCCCCTTGACCTTGACCATCTCCTTCAGGCGGTCCGTGATGGACAGCATCCCTTCTTCGTCAAAGCAGCCAATGTCGCCCGTGTGCAGGAATCCATCGGCATCATACGTCTCCCTCGTCGACTTCTCATTGTTCAGATATCCCATTGTGATCTGCGGCCCGCGCGCCCAAATCTCACCCACCTCACCAACACCACAGCGTCGACCCGTGCCCGGGTCCACGACGAGGACCTCTGTGGAGGCGACGACGCTGCCGACGCGCGCGGCATACCGGTACGCATACCGATCCGGGGGATGCGCGGTAATGCACGAGCACGACTCTGTCATGCCGTAGCCCTGCTTGAAGCCTGTGCCGGGAAACTGCTTCTCCAGCAACGAGAGGATCTCCTGCGACAGCGGGGCCGCACCGGACGAAAAGCGCTCGACGTGACGCAAATCGAATTTCTGGAGCAGGGCCTCTTCGCGCACCATGCGGACGATGATGGGCGGGACGAGGAGGATCTCCTTGATCTTGTGCCGCTCGACGGTGGCGAGCATGTCCTCCATGGTGAACGTGGGGAGGATATAGACGTGTGCGTTGAGGACGACGGGGAGGTGGAGCTGGTGCACGACGCCCGTGATGTGGTAGAAGGGCAGGGCGGCAAGGATGCGTCGGTGGTCGGCGGGCGTGAGCTGCTCGATCTGGAGACACTGCGCCATGACGTTGGCGTGGGAGATCATGACAGCCTTGGGGAGACCTGTCGTTCCGCTGCTGAAGCCGTAGTACCCGCAGATCTGGTGATTTGTCTTGTTCTCGGGGATCCTGAACGGTTCGGTCAGGGGTTTGCCCCGGACGGAGGCGATGAGGTGGTGGATGGATCGTGACGTGTGGGTGGCTGGTTCGTCGAGCAGCAGGATGTTGGCTGGGGCGATGCCAGCCCTGGACGCGGCGGGCTCCGCAACGTTGAGCTTGTCGCTGGTGGTGACGACGAACTTGGCCTTGCTCGCCGTCAGGGCGTAGGCCAGCTCCTCGACGTTGTAGTCGGGCGAGCAGCCGCAGCCAATGGCGCCCGCGCGGACGGCGCCGAGCATGACGACGGGATACCATACCGTGTTGCGTGCGAAGACGACAATGGCGTCTCCCTGCTGGAGAGTGCGCTGCTGGATGAGGGCGGTGGAGAGGCGGGATGTGAGGTCCTTGACGTCTTGGTAGCTGAGATGTTGTCCGGTCGGGACGTCCGTCCATCCCTGGATTGCGTTGCGACCAGCCCGGCTTAACGAAGAGTGCGGGGCTTCAAAGATCCATGACCATAGCGAGACATCCTTGGGGACTGGGTAGGGTGAGCAACAACACAGCTTTTGTGGGAGGATGCGGCCGACTGACGGTTAATATCAGGATGGCGCGAGCGAAAGACGTGAGACGAGGACATGGCGGATTGTGTACCTGGAGTATCAGACAGGCACGTGAGGAAGGGAAGGATGAAGGATTGGAAGTTGAAGCTCAGTTGAGGATGATTCGCCCATGTTACTTGGACCCGGACAATGAGTGAATGCGGGGGCCATGCGGGGAGAGAGTCTGGGGAAGCTGGAAATCGCCCCCGCATCTCAGGCTAGACCGAGGCTCCTGGTATTCTGAGGGGTAGAATGGAATGGCTAACTTGCAACGTATGAATTAGCTGCCCGTTAGCCTTAGGCTGGTGCTCATGGGCACGGATATAAGCAGCACTTCCGCTGACTTGGCCAGGTCGACAGCTCGGGTCAGCCCAGAACAGATATCTATTCTATGGACCTCATTCCACGTGCGCTGATCCTAATGAGACAGAGAAACAAGAAAAAAGAAAAAAGAAAAAAAAGGAAGAAAAAAAGGAAGGAAAAAAAAAAAGGATAATCCCTGCTTACGCATCATACTTGATGCAGCTCTTGTTGTCGTTTCCGTGGAAAGTTGAATCCGAAAAGGCCGAGAGAGCGAGGACGGCGGGTGGGGTAGCAGTGCGCCGAGGTACGGCCCAAGCTGTGCCGGACGGATGAGCCACCCAAGCTCCTCCTCACCTCGCCCGCGCTGCGAAACTTCCCCCCCAACACCGCATCTCAAGTCTTGTAGCAGCACGTCTCAATCACCAACATGCGCGCCGTCGTCTTCAGAGGCGTCGGCCAGGTCGCCGTCGAGGACCGACCCCAGCCGACCATCCAGGAACCGACCGACGTCATCGTCAAGGTCAAGTACACGGCGCTCTGCGGCAGCGAGCTGCACGTCTTTCGCGGCCACCAAAAGTCCGCCACGGGGTTCATCATGGGCCACGAGTTCACGGGGACCGTGCACGCCGTCGGGTCCGCCGTCGCGTCCTTCCAGCCGGGCGACCTCCTCGTGTCCCCCTTCACCATCAGCTGCGGGCAGTGCTTCTACTGCCAGCAGGGCTACTCGTCGCGCTGCGAGCGCTGTCTCCTCTACGGAACGTCCGCATTGGACGGCGGCCAGGCCGAGTATGTCCGCGTGCCCCTGGCCGAGGCGACGGCCGTCAAGGCACCGGCCGGGATAGACGAGAAGAAGCTGTGTCTGATGGCGGATATTTTCCCCACCGGCTACCACGCCGCCAAGGCCGGCCTTGGTGACATACCAGCTCGTATCGCCAGGGACAGCGTCGTGGTGCTGTTTGGCTGCGGACCCGTCGGTCTCTGTGCACTGGTCGCTGCGCTCGAGTACCAGCCCAAGGCCCTTCTGGCCGTGGATGGCGTGGCGTCGCGCCTCGCGCAGGCCAAGGATCTCGGCGCCGAGCCTTGGAACTACCAGACGCAAAAGGACGAGCTTTCTGCGCGGGTGCGCGAGCTGACCGACGGTCGTGGCGCCGACGTGGTCATCGAGGTGGTCGGACACAGCTCGGCGCTCGACTTGGGTTTCCAGCTTCTGCGGCCCTGGGGCACCATCTCCAGCGTGGGCGTGCACAACGGGGAGATTCCGTGGACGGGGAACCAGGCGTATGGGAAGAATCTGACGATCAAGATGGGCCGGTGTCCCGTGAGGAGTATGTTGGCTTGGGGGGCCTGTGTGCGTGTGGTGCATACATGTGGCTGACGTTTTACTAGGCCTGTTCCCCGAGGCGCTGGAGCTTCTCGAGAAGAAGCAGCATTTGTTCGGGTAGGTGGGGTCCTCTGCAGGACGATGCATAAGACTGACGTGTGTGGCAGCTTCATGACGGATACCATTATGCCACTGAGCGAGGCTGTGGAGGGGTACGACATTTTCGACAAGATGAAGGCGCAAAAGGTGATTTTCGACGCGGAGAAGTGAGGGTTGGCGGGTACGCCGTCTTGGATTCATATTGCACAAGCGTTTTTGTCCAAATGCCACGAGGCCTGCGTGCCATTGTGACACAAGTCATGCCACAGGATGTGAAGTGAGGAAAGAAGAGAGTTCCCCATGAGCAGCAGCAGTCTGGAAGCACCTCTCCACTCGATGCTAGCAGAAAGAGTAGAGGAGCCAACTCTACTGAGCCCCACCAGCCAGCTCGGAGTATGGAGCCTGCCCACCTATCCACGCAGAGCCCAAGGCCATCAACACTTTTCGAAGCAATTCTCATGTCACGCATTGAGAAACAGACACGCTAATCCGTTTTCGTATTGAGCCTGTGCGGCACGGCCCGCCGACGCTATTCCATATTAGGACTACAGAGGATCAAAGTGGTTAATTACGGGGCCACCACAAAGGCCACCATCACGACTAGAGATCGTGTTCGAGTCATTCCCCCATCTATGCCACCACCAGCGACTTGACCTCAATAGATCCCCCCATCGCCTTTGTCGCAAAGTTGAAGATCCCATATCGATACGCAATGAACCACGCCCAGCCGTCGTACAGCTCATACGTCGGCCCAAACGTCTCAAACGCCTCGCCGTCCAGACTGTACGAGAAATCGCAGTCCCGCGTGCCGCTCGCGCGCGCGTCCAATCCCTGCCGGAACCAGATACGCGTCGTGTCCGCGGGTAGCACCTGTTCGGCTGCAATGCTACCCGGCGAGACGGGCTCGGACGACCACTCGTCCATGATCATGCCGTGCTTGGCCGTGAGCGTGTACGTGTCCCCATCGCGGTGGATGCCAATATACGCAGACTGATCGCGAAACGCGGCAAACCCGGCGCGGTCACCATCATGCATGCTGGAAAAGTCAATCTCCACAGTGCCCACGGGAAACTCCCCATGAATGCGATGCGTGAGCGTGTTGCGCGCAGAATAGATATCCTCTGTCACCGTGGCCGTGAACAGCGTGACGCCATTGTTGACCTCGTACGAGGACACGTCCGGGTTGTGGTTCCATTCAAAGGTCGGCTCGAGATCCGGGCCCTCAAAGGTGTACGTGCGCAGCCAGTCGGGCGTCGGCACCGCGGGGCGTAGTGGTACGGGGTACGTCACGCCCCAGCCGCCATTGCCGCCCGGCACGAAGACGGGGAAGCCGTCGTCGCCCCACGTGACGGGGGCCAGCACCGGCATGCGGCCGGCCGGGTACGCCCATGTGAAGGACATAAAGTACCAGTCGCCGTCGGGGGTCTCGACGAGGCTGCCCTGGTGCGGTGAGTTGCCCCCCTCGACGGGGCCCGCGACGTTCTCGACGAGGACCTTGTGCTGGTAGGGTCCAAACGGGCTCTCGGCCTTCCAGATGATGGTGGTGCCGCCGGGACGGTCGTTGAGGATGTAGTACAGGCCGTTGATCTTGTACATTCGGTTGCCCTCAATGGCGTCGACGTTGGCGTCGTCGGCCGTGAAGACGACCTCGGTGCGGACGGGCAGCAGGCCGTCCTCGTCTAGTTGCGCGACGCTGACGGTATCAGAGCCGTAGACGACGTACATGGTGTCATCGTCGTCAATAAGCAGGCCATTGTCGTAGAAGCAGAGCCCGCTCTCCATCTGCGAGGCCTTGTCCCAGGGCCCCGTCACGGCGGGCGCGGTGAACACCCACGTGTTCCAGAAGTTTGTGCATCCGATCCAGTACCAGAGCCCGTTGCTCTCGCGGTAGCGCAGCGTCGACGCCCAGGTGCCGCCGCGGTACGCGCGCTCGCCGCCGGGGGCCAGGTCGTAGCCACCGCCAAAGTCGAGACGGGGCAGCGAGTGGCCAATGGCCTCCCAGTGGACGAGGTCCTCGGAGCGCAGGATGGGCGCGCCGGGCGAGAAGTGGAAGTTGGAGGCGGACAGGTAGTAGGCGCCGTCGGGGCCGAGCGAGACGTCGTTGTCCGGGTAGTCCTCGTAGAGGATGGGGTTGGTGAACGAGGCCGGCTGGCACGGGGCGGCAGCGCAGGGCAGCGCGCAGGGCAGCGCGCAGGCCAGAGGGAGGATCGACGAGGGTTTCATTCTGGATGCGACGAGTCTACAGTCGACAAGAGTGAGTGTCCACGACCCCTCGATCTTATAATTACCCAGAGCTGCCTCCCCACAGCAGCGTCGCATCGGGCAGGACACAGGGCCTCCGTTGGCGCGGTGTGCATGCTCCGACTGCCGAGAACGGCAATGGCAAGGATGCGCGGCCTCCTTATGCTCAATAGAGCGGGTGAATGAGGATGGCAGTACTGAAGCCGGCGCCAAGGCCAAGCCGTCTTTACTGAGCCGACCTACCCGGTACACACACCACGGCAGCGACTAGGCAGCCCCCCCAAACCCCAGATCCTGCATGTTGAATGGGTCATCCTCGAGGAACTGCTCCATGTCAAACTCGCGCAGACCAGGCACATTGGTAAACAGGTCGTCCAGCCAGACGGCCTCGCTGTTGGCACTGGCGTCCTGGTGGCTGCTGCTCGGCTGGACAATGGGCGGCGCCCCGTCCGAGGGGGCGTGCATCTCGAGCGCAGCCCGTAGCTGGCCGCAGTCCTCCTCCTTTCTGCGCTGATGCAGCAGGATCAGCAGGTAGGCCGTGTCGTAGGCCTCCCGTAGGACGGCACTGTTCCAGGCGTCGCGCACCTCGCCCAGCACAGACAGCGCGGTGCGCACCATGGCCAGCGAGGCCCGCGTGTCGACGGCGAGACACAGACAGAGGATCTGAAAGGGCATGTTGGCGGCGTGGTGCCAGGGGCAGTGGGTGGCGACCATGCGACGGGCGGCGTGCAGACCGCGGGCGCTCAGGGAGAGCATCTTGTCGACGTGGCCGGGCTGGATGGTGGCCTTTTGGGCGCGCAGGCGGCGGAACGTGCAGATGGCGAGGTTGGTGACGGCCATGGTCATGGCGGGCTCGAGGTGGTCCCTGTCGCCAATCTGGGAAAAGTCCGACTCGAGGTCCTCGACGGAGCGCGGCTGGTGGGGGTCGAGGTCCTCGGTCAGGGGCACGAGGGCGAGCATGTGGGAGGTGTAGTCGCCCTCGAGGGGGGCGACGGGCTGGGTGGTGGCGTGCGGCAGCTTGATGCGGGTGCGGCCGAGGTCGTACGAGGGCCAGATGTTGAGGTGCTGGGCCATGGCCCAGATGCGGCGGCGAATGTCGAGCGAGACGAGCTCCGAGGACTCGTCAAAGACGGTCTGGGCGCGCACCTCGAGGTGGATCTGGGCGGCCTCGCAGACGTGCATGAGGGAGCAGCTCGCGAGCCAGGTGACGTGCGGCGTGGCCGTGATGCGCAGGTAGGCCACGCGGAGGACCCAGCCGATGACGGTGTCGATGGACGGCGGCGACGAGAGGGAGAAGTGCTCGAGGAGGGTCCGCCCCGTCTCGACCAGGTCCGGCTCAAAGGGGGCGGCCGTCGTCTGCGAGAAGCAGAGGCCGAGCATGGCGACGCCGCAAAGCACCTGGTCGAGGGGGTCCTGGGGCGCGCCACTCGCCCAGCGCTGCTGGAGGCGGTCGAGGAAGACGTCGCGGTAGATGACGTCGTAGACGACGGTGAACTTTTGAAAGTAGACCTGCGCCAGCTCGACCATGGCCGCCTGCGAGAGGATGCCCGTGATGGGGCGGACCACGCCGGGCGGGTGTCCAGCGAGGCGCTCTCCCGTGTTCCACGCAAAGAGCCGCAGGCGCGGCGCGTTCTTGGGGTCGATGTTGAGGCCCAGGCGGCGCACAAAGGCGGCGCCCGAGTTGGCCTCGAGGGACTGGACGTGGTTGTCGTTTGTGGCCTCGCTGTCGCGGACGGGGTCAAAGTTGCGCTGCTGCTGGGGGGCTGGCCCTCGTGGTCCTTGTGCTGGTGCTGGTGCTGGTGCTGGTGCTGGTGCTGGTGCTGGTGCTGGTCCTAGTGCTGGTCCTGGTCCTAGCCGTAGTCCTGGGCGAGGTCCTGGGGCCCAGCCATCCGCCTCCTCGTGGCGCGGGCGGCCCTTGGCGCTGTCGTAGGGCGACGGCGCGTGCGAGCCCGCCGCGCTGCGCTCGCCGTAGTAGCAGTCGTACTCCCACTGGACGCACGTCGCGCACGGCTCGCGGCCGTCGCACTTGCGCTTGCGGTCGCGACACGGGTTGCAGGCCTTGCGCGCGCGACGGCGGCGCTTGACGGGGGGCTCGTCGCCCGCAGAGGGCGAGTTGTCCATGGGAGGGGGCGTGATGGGTCGATGGGCTGGCTGGGTGAGGACTGGGTGAGGACTGGGTGAGGACAGGGTGCGATGGACTGAGTGAGGTGTATGAGGAGATGAGAGATGTGAGATGTCGCGGCACGGACGCGCCGGCTTCGTTCGGTTCGTGCCGCTGCTGCATGTGGGGTCATATAGACAAGTACCTGAGATAGTAAATGATCTGGCCTGTAGTCTGGTGAATTCCATCAAGTGGCCCTGCCGCTCACTTTCCGAATTGTCCGTTCAACTCGCATGAAAGCTGCATTGCTCGTCAGTGGTTTCGTTGTTCCGTTTTGATCAACCGCTCTCGCTCCACTCACTATAACTATGGCAGTCGCAATGTCATGTGGTCTACCTACCCGGCACCACTCAAGTCGGTCGCATGCATATCATGGTGCATCAGACGTCCGACATACACCATATCGCGCATTCAGAGCTCTTGAATCTTTCTCTCTACACTCTATTTATGCTACGCTCGATGATACGAAGTAAACAGGTACAGGCTCGACAGCCCAAATAACCCCATGACGACGCCAACGCACACCCTGAGATGCAACCTGTTCTTCTCGGGCGAGAAGAGAAACCTGTCCCCCGCGCCCACAGCCGCCAGCCAGTCCTTGGCAGCCTCGTATCCCCCTGAAATGACACCGCCACCAAAGGCATAGTACAGGATGCTGCTCGTGCTGATGCTGTACCCGACCACCTGCAGCGTCGAGAGGGGCGTGTGCCAGACGACGGTGGAAAACGCCACGAGAAGAATGTTTTTAAAGATACCCGTCAGATTCGTCACGAGACCAGACGTCCTCCCAATGAGGGTCATGCTCGTGAAGCTGAGCATAAAGGCAACGACGCCGCTGAGCAGCAGCAGCGGCCAGCCGACCCGCTCCAGATCCTGCATCTCAAAGTGTGGTAGCTCGACGACGCAAGCAATCGCCAAGTTCATAGCCGCGCAGACGGGGGCGTAGTAGTACAGGCCGACGAGGGGATCCATGGCCATGTCATGTCCGCTGAGCATGGCCTGGATCATGACGACGCGCACGGCCTCGAAGACGAGCGAGCCGGCCTGGAAGAGGACGCCGAGCCAGGAAAAGTCGACCGCGCCGGCGCTGGCCATGGCGACGCCGGCCATGACGAAGAGGATGTTGACGACCTGGCCGCATGACGGGCTCGCGAGGCCCCAGAGCCACGAGGCGAGGAGGACGATGCCCGGCGCGGACGCCTTGAGCATCTGGATAAAGGACACGGACAGGAAGAGGTAGACAAAGTTGCCCAGCACGAGGGAGCCCGACGACGCGAGACCGATGGGCAGGATGGTGCGTAGGTAGAACCGCCGGCTGATGGGCAGCTCATGGCGGCTGTCGAGGAGCGTCGTCGTGCGCGCGAGGATCTGCGTCACGACGGCGGCGAAGAAGAGGTGCCAAAAGGTCAGGAGGATGGCTGGCAATGGTCAGCATGGGGTTGTTGAGCCTTGGCGGCGGACAAGCTTTTCTGGGCACGCACGATAACCTGGGGGTGTTATAATTAGCGTCCTGCGCTGAAGATTCTCTTATGCAGTGGAAGCTCACCGAAGCCGGAGTTGTCAATGATCCACTTGTTGAAGAGGATGGTCGAGTTGGAGGACACTGTCCAGGCGCTGTTGAGCGATGCCCCGTGGTTAGTCGTCTATGCGGTGGAGCTCGGCCATGGCCATGGCGATGGCACTCACATCATGTACAGCGCGACCTGTACCCTGGGCCCTATCCGCGAGGGTGGCGGCGGCGACGGCGGCGGCGTCTTCTCCGAGGTGGGCAGACGCTCATACGCGGCCATGATGGATGATGATGTTTCGTCGAGATTCGAAGCAAGAAAAGGCGGAGGACGCTCAAGCACAAGTATGTTAACTGCGTAGGCGACAAGTCGTGGGCGGCAGTGCTGCAAGCGACAGACGGACTTGACTGGCCGTTCGCGGAAACGAGAAGCAGGAGCAAAATGGTTGGTGGCGCGCGCGACTAAGGAATGGACGGCGAGGAGCTTCGTATCAAACAAGTCCCACCAAGAATAGACAGAAGGGGGTATCAAGGCCAAGAAGACAAACACGAAAACACGCTCGAGGGCTGAATGTCGAATGATGGGAGGAGGAGGGGAGGAAGAGGACCATGGCGCAAGACACGGACGGACTTGAGTGAGCGATCAACAGGCTCATCTCCCTCCATGTCCCTCCGTGGTCCCTCTCCCTAATAAAAATCCCTACCTATTCTTCAATTTCCATCAACGCAAGGACAGGTCGAGGCTGGCGCACGTTTCATTGCCACGACTATTTCTCGCCGTCTCAGCGTCCAAAAATTTACGTAAATATCCCCATATTTACCCACTCTTCCCATTTTTCTCCAGGGATGCCTTCATGCGGGTCCGCAGACAGACAGACTGACTGACAGACAGACTGACAGGCCAACCAGCGCCCGTGTCGCGCGCTGAATGCGGCATCTCTGGAGCCTCCCTCGGCAGCACCCCTGTCGCGGGAAAGCTTGTCATTTCCTGCTAGCCCTTGTCCCCGTAGCCTCGTAGACTTGTACCACGTACGTAGACTCCAGAGTCAAGACTCAGGTCCGTCTCCGCCGTTTGCGTCGTCAGCCGCCGATCATGGCGCCATCCGCATTCCACCCATCATTCCGACCCAAAGCCAGAAAAGGGACGACGACAGAAGGTCCGTCTGTCTGTCTGATCGTCGACGGCTCCGGCCAGGCAGTTAGTTACTCACGCACTGGTCAGACGCGGTGCAGGGGAGGCTCTGAAAATTTCAGCGCCACCCCACAGTCTTCACTTCACGCCCCCTGCCGCCTTCCGAGTTCAAACTTCAGGGGGGGCTGCGCATATTCCGAGTGCATACACGGACAGCCGCGGCACGTATTCATTAATAGCATTTCCCCTAATACCATTCCATGAACATAGCCTCTTTTGAATTTTACTTTTTTTTCTTTTTTTTTTACTAACCTGCAACGTTGTCCATTTACCCTTTGGCACGAACTGGTCGCCTTCGCTCGCTCCTTTCTGCACCCCCGCGCGCTCTTTCAACACCTTCGCTCGTCCTCGACGTTGCGCCGCACTCGCCGTCTCTTCGCTTCGGACACTCTTTATTGTCTCGAACCAGAGCCAACATCCACCATGGACACCCCCAAGTCACCCGAGGACGCCTGGTCAGAACTCCCCGTCTACGACGCCAGCAAGAGGAGCATGGCCGCCATTGTCGGCGGTCGCCTGCGGAGGATCTCCCGGACAGGGCTCTACGTCGCGCTCGCCTCGGTGCTGTCCATCGTCGCCGTCTACCTGCTCTCGCAGCTCGACTATCATGGCCCCCCGACGTTCGCCAGGCTCGACGACAAGGTGCAGTCGCACGAGACACCAGACTGCAGCCCGCGCTACAACATTTCGTCCATGGACATCTGGAACAAGGCCGCCGTCCGGTACAACCACCTCATGGACGACAAGTTCACGTAGGTTCCCCTGGTCTGAAGGCATTGGAACTTTCCCCTGACAGTTGCAGCATCGCCATCCAGACGTACCGTCGCCCCGACCAGCTCAAGGCCACGCTGGACCTCCTGCTCGCCCCCGAAATCCCCTCCCTGCACGAAATCGTCATCATCTGGAACGACCTCGAGACGCCCACCCCGGCCGACTTCACCTCCGACCACAACGTCACCGTCCGCCACCGCATGTCCACCGCCAACAGCCTCAACCAGAAGCTCCTCCCGGACGCCGGCTTCCAGACCCAGGCCGTCCTCCTCTCCGACGACGACGTCCACTACGACGCCGCCGACCTCGACTTTGTCTTCCAGCAGTGGCGCGCCCACGGCCGCAACCGCCTCACCGGCGCCTTTGCCCGCTGCGTCGACCAGAACGCGGACAGCGGCCAGTGGCAGTACGGCTGGTGCAAGGGCCATGAATCCTACTCCATGGTCCTCACCGGCCTGTCCTTTGTCCACATGGCCTTTCTCGACTACTACTCGAGCGAGGATCCGCTCATGACCCGCGTCCGCGCATACGTCGACGAGCACTTCAACTGCGAGGACATTGCCATGAACTTTGTCACCAGCATGCTCACCTGCGAGGGCCCGCTCCAGGTCACCGGCCTCCACAAGCCCACCAACGAGGCGCCCAAGGCCGGCATCAGCACCAAGAAGGGGCACCTAGAGGCCAGGCATGCGTGTATCAATAGCTATGTCGACATGTTTGGCCACATGCCGCTTGTGGAGACGTCAGAGTACATTTCCCGGGGCTATGTGTCGGGGTGAGCCGAAGGGGGAGCTCGTTCAGACAAGATGTGCTGGCGCATCGTGACTGCTGATGAAAGAGTCAGCCGCTGGCCTAGGAGCACTGCCGTCTGCATGTCGACCAAGTGCTGGCGCGACACGTACCCACGGTCACAGCGGTGCGAGGCCCGCCCGGGGCCCCAGACCAATTACTAATATTTACCTATGTATACAGAATGAGCGTTGCTTTGTACTTGACTGAAAAATAATCAATCCTTTGCATCCACTAGCGGGACTACTGATTGATGAGCGCAATGTTTGATGCCAAGAGCGTGAATCCCGCAATGTCCACGCGCTAGGCCCAACGCAAACAGGACAATGCGAGCCCTTGCGTCGGAACCGACACCCGAGCGACGCATATTGCGGATGCTGCGGCACCAAGGCTACGAGCACGCAGCATACTCACGCAGCATCATCAGTAATGCGAGAACCCCTGAGCTCTTGCGGGTGGTACTTGAGGTGCAATGGGCCTAGGTGTTGCTGCCGCACGCTCAGTGAGATGATGCTCCGTCACAGACAGCACCATGGCACACCCACACGACAGCGAGCCACCTCCACCATCGGGCAACGGGCGACCCCTTTTCGAAAAGGAGACACCGCCCTCCACCACAGACCCCGATCCGGAGAAGCTGGCACACCCAGAACCCAAGGGCAAGACACCCCCCGACGGCGGACGGCAGGCCTGGCTGCACGTCTTCCTCGGCCACATGGTCTTCTTCAACACCTGGGGCGTCACCAACTCGTACGGCACCTTTCAGCAATACTACACCGAGACGCTGGGCGTGGCCCCGAGCAGCGTGTCCTGGATCGGCGCCGTGCCCATGTTTTTATTCTTCTTCGTGGGTGTCGGCGCCGGCCGCGCCAGCGACGCCGGGTACTTCCGCCACACCTTCACTGCGGGCGTCATCCTCGAGGTGGGCGGCGTCGTCGCCGCGTCGTTTGCCAGGACGTACTGGCAGATCCTGCTGAGCCAGGGCGTCTGCCTAGGGCTCGGGGGCGGGCTCATGTTCACGTCGGGCTTGTCGGTGACGAGCGCGTACTTTCAGCGCAAGCGCAGCTTCGCCGTCGGCCTGGCTGCCGCCGGCGCGGCCACGGGGGGCATGGCGTACCCGGCGACGGTGACCAGCCTCCTGGACACCTCGCTCGGCTACCCGTGGACGATGCGCGTCGTCGCGTTGATCATGCTGGTCACCAGCATACCCGGGCTGCTGCTGTATCGTCAGTTCCACACCAGGGGTTCCGTGGGCCCGCTCGTGGACTGGACCGCCTTTACGCAGAAGCCCTTTGTCTTCTTCTCGCTGGCGTTTTTCCTGCACAGCTCGGGCCTCTGGTGCGTCTTCTTCTACCTGGGCGTCTTTGCCCGCGAGAGGTTGCACCTCGCCAGCACGCAAACCCTCGTCATCGTGCTCAACGGCGTGGGCGTCGTGGGGCGCACCCTGCCGAACCTGCTCGGAGAGCGTGCCGTGGGCACCATGAACATGAGCATTTTCCTCTCCGCCGTCTGCGCGTTGTGCATCCTCGCGTGGCCGGCCATCTCGTCCATCACGGGTCTCTACGTGTGGATCGTGATCTACGGCATCTTTGCCGGCGGCATGCAGTCTGTTCTGCCAGCGCTGGCGACGCAGCAGTGCGACGACCCTCACAAGATCGGGACGTGGACGGGCATGGCGCTCACGATGGCGAGTTTCGGCGGTCTCTCTGGGTCGCCTATCCAGGGCCTGCTGATCCAGGTCATGGACGGAAGCTACCTGGGTGCGCAGATGTACGCGGGCGCGGCGGTGGTGGCGGGGTGCCTGTGCCTGATTGCGTGTCGGCAAACGAGGGTTGCGTCACTTGGGTGGACGACGGTGTGGGCGAGGATATGACTTGATGTCAGTGAGTGCGCCGTAAGACTACCAAGTACGTAGAAACAAGTCAGTACTAGACATCATGCACCAATGCAAGGCACCGCTGCGCTGCAGCTGCTATGCATCCCCGCAACGTGCTCGCTCGCTCCTCCAGAGACTGGAGGGAGGGGGGAATCGAGTCAATCGACAGAAGCCCCGCTCTGATGGCTGGGCACGCCCGCTAATGCGAGGTTTTGGCCGCTTGGGTGCTTTCCTTTGCTTCCCCACGGGGAGGGGACGCAATGCAACGGTTGCAGTTAGCAGTGTGACATTAGATTCCATATGCGGCGTGAAGAACACTTGTTGTCGAGCTGCTTTGCACTTTGAGCACGGAATTTGAAGATTGTGACGGAATGTGAGTGAAATGAGTGAGTGGTGATCTGCCAGCAGAGCAGGCGCGGCCGGGCAGCAGAAGAGGGGTCGCTGGTGGTCTGTGCGCTGGTGCTGCGCTGGCAACTGGTCACTGGACCCCTTCAGAAACCCGTGATCTTGAATACACACAAAGCAATATTCATGCGGAAAGCTATCGAGATCTCCGATCGTGATTAAAGTGACTGAACAGCAGCCCATCGCACCGGAATAGTACATTCCATGTCCAACGGGAACGTCAGTTGCACGTAAAGCGTGGCAATGTGCGACCCCTAGGTACGGACGTTCTGCTCCTGGGATTGGGCCCCCTATGAAGCAGCCCCTCTGCTGCAGTGCTGCTGCCCACGATGCTCGGTTTTTCCCAGGACGGAAATTCTGGCGGCGACCCGATGTTCTCGACGACCACCTGACCTGCCACCAGGGTCTGTTGAATGCGGACTCGTCAGCTCCCCACAGATTTCCAAATCATCGGATCGAGTCGATCAGCCACTTTGTATTTCCTGGGGAGGTCTTTGATCGCTGTGGCTAGACATTGTGATCGCGGTGACCGCACCATGCTGTCAACGCGACGACGTCCAGTGGCCGCCCTTGCTGGGCAGAAACTCGTTGGCCCACAGGCAGCGAGGAGCTGCCACTCAGGCTGGTGGGAGGAGCTGGTGGGAGAGCCCACGCGCAATCCCACGCGCAATCTCGCACGAGCGCAGCGAAAACGTCGGTGAAGAGCCAGAAAAACCGTGCGCGTCCGAATGACTGCTCCATCGGGTGGGTATGTCTCTCCTTTATACGTTTGCCAGCGTCTAATGAGCGTGCCTCGTCGCTCTAGCTGGGTTACAGTCCAGGCCGACTCCACGGGTACAGACCGGCATTCCCATCGCAACAAGGACTAATAATAAGCTCGACCCCTGGACGGAGGTAGCGTTGCATCGAACCCTGCGCTTCGATGGAGCCTCGAGGCGCAGGCGAACCCGCCATCCCGTCTGGACCGGTCGCTCCCCGCCCCGGCAGCAGAGCGACCCCATCCATTACGATCTCGTGATGGAGAAAAATGCCCCACGCTCGCGCTTCACCCAGACGGGCAATCCGCCGCTAGAGCGCATGAGGAAAGCCGGGACATGACCATTCTTCAATCCCCATGGCCGGCCGGCCTTGGGTATGCCTGGGCATCGTGAGCGTCTGGAAGCCGGTCTGTTCTCAGAGGGGAAGCCGATCAGTTTGGTCCAAGCGAAGGACGGACGGACTGACGGACGGAGAAGACATCGTGGACTCTTCCCGTCTCGCTCTCCTTTATTAAGGGGGCCTCGCTCTCTGCTCTTGCTTCCCCCTCATCCTCCTTCACACCATCTTCCCAAACACTTGCCCCCCTCTTCGCTCAACCTTAATACATACCTAATACTTACACTACGCCCATTGTTCTTATAAGAGACCTCTCATCCATCAGTCACCTCTCCCTCCTCCCTCCTACTCCTCCTCCTCTCACAATGGGTTCCATGCCGCAATCCACCACCATGCAAGCAGTACGCTACCACGGCCAGCGCGACGTCCGCCTCGAGACCATTGACCGTCCCGACCTGCGCCCGGGCTCCGTCCGCATCGCCCCCAAGTTCTGCGGCATCTGCGGCACCGATGTCCACGAGTTCCTCGGCGGCAACAACCTCATCCCCAAGCCCGGCAAGCCCCACCCCATTACCGGCGAGACATCGCCCCTCACCCTTGGCCACGAGTTCTCCGGCATCGTTGAGGAGGTCGCCGCCGATGTGACGACTGTCAAGAAGGGCGACCGCGTCTGCGTCCAGCCCATCATCTACGACGGCGACTGCCGCTCCTGCAAGCGCGGCCTTGTCAATTGCTGCGACCAGAACGGCTTCGTCGGCCTCAGCGGCTGGGGCGGTGGCCTATGCGAGTCCACCGTCGTCCCCTCATCCTGCGTCAAGCTCCTGCCCGACAACGTGCCCCTCGAAATCGGCGCCCTCGTCGAGCCTCTATCTGTTGGCTGGCACTCTATCAAAATGTCCCCCTACAAGGATGGCGACTCGGCCTTTGTCATTGGCGGCGGACCCATTGGTCTGGCTGTCGTCCAGGCCCTCGTCGGCCGCGGCTGCAAGAACATCATTGTCAGCGAGGTGTCTGTCAAGAGGAGAGCCTTTGCCACCCAGTTTGGCGCACACCACGTCCTCGACCCCCTCTCGCAGGACGTCGTCGAGGAGGTCCTCAGGTTGACGGACGGCCAAGGCGCCGATGTCGGCTTCGACGCTGCCGGCTCGCAGTATGCCATTGACACAGCCTTTGAGGCCCTCAGCGCGCGCGCTACGCTCGTCAATATTGCCGTCTGGGAGAAGAGGGCGCAGCTGAACATGAACGAACTCGTCTTCCGCGAGAGGTCGTACCTGGGCGTGTAAGTTTTCCTTCTGCAGCCTCTGACAGGAATTGTATACTGATTGCTTTTTTTACAGTGCCACATTTGCGCTCGGCGACTTTGAAGAGGTCATTCAGACCATCTCAGACGGCAAGATGGAGCCTTCGGGCATGATCACAAAGACCATCAAGCTGGGCGAGATCGTGGACGAGGGCTTCATGTCGCTCGTCAACGACAAGGACAACCACGTCAAGATTCTTGTCGACGTCGAGGCGAGCCTGGCGGCGGCGGCGCACTAATTTTGTACTCATTCCGTGCCCTGCCACGGTGTCATGATAATGGATGGGGTCTTCACCAGCGAGCGTTGCTTGTCTAGTTTGCTACAGGCGTACGGCGTTGCCACAAGATGGCGCATGGTCTACTTGGTTACTGGAAAATAACTAATACAATACTTAATTTTGAATCTTCTTTACTTGAATCAGACTGAATGATTGTTGACTCGTGCCTGTTTGAATCCCTTGTGGCGCCCTTCTGTCACTCTTGGTTCCGTTAATCCCGCGATATCCACTGCCGTTTGCGGGGGTTGTTTCTGGGGTAGCTTAACCCAAAGTGTGACCCGCTGGTATTAGTGAAGGTCCAGAACTTGAACCTTCTCATGCCCATCTTCCCCTCAGTGACGCACAACAATCATAATACTTCCTGCCATAAACTGACTTCATCTGACTGACAGTCAGCGTCATGTCTTCCATACGTCTCGGCACAGCGTCGCCCGCCACGCAGGCCACCACAGCCGAGACCCTCCAGCTGATCGATCGACTCGCCACACGCGCGGCCTCCAACCACATTGACATCCTCCTCCTCCCCGAGGCGTTCCTAGGCGGCTACCCCCGCGGCAGTGACTTTGGCTCCGTTGTCGGCTCACGCTCCGCCCAGGGCAGAGAGGCCTACGCCAAATACTTTCAGGCTGCCGTCGATTTGGGTGATGTCGTGGGTGACGGCGGTGCGGGCGCGGGCGATCGCTGGGTGAAGCGGCAGCTGGCAGTTCCAGAGGGCGAAGAGTACCGCGGCGACGGGACCAGGGAGGAACTCGAGAGGATCGCGCGTGAGACGGGCGTCTTCCACGTGACTGGACTCGTGGAGAGGACCGGTGGGAGCCTGTACTGCGCCGTCGTCTACGTGTGTCCGCACAAGGGTTCCGTTGGTAAGCGCAGAAAGGTGCTGCCGGTATGTATCTTTGATGCTCTCTCAAAAGAGCATGGCTAACGAGCAGACCGGCACGGAGCGCCTCATCTGGGCGCAGGCCTCGCCCTCCACGCTGCGCGCTGTGAGTACCGTCATCCGCGGCACGCGGATCAACCTCGCCGCCGCCATCTGCTGGGAGTCGTACATGCCGCTGCTCCGCCAGTCGCTATACAATCAGAACGTCAACTTGTATCTGGCTCCCACGGCCGACGCGAGAGATGCGTGGCTGAGCTTGATGCGGTCCATCGGCGTGGAAGGGCGTTGCTTCGTCGTGAGCAGCAACATGGCCGTACGCGCCGGACAGGACGCTCACGTCTCGACGAATGGACATCCCGCGGCTACTGCGCGTGACGGGGGGCGGAGGTTTAGTTGCTCTGCCGATGAACCCGGCATGGACATTGCACTGCCCAAGAGTGGTTCGCCCAGCCGCACGCGGCGGCGCAGAAAGTCCATCTTTGACCCGGACGGGAACGAGATTGTGCTCAGCTGCCCTGTCGATGAGAATGGCGTTGCGACGACGATGATGACGACCGCCGCGCCCACCAAGGTCGATGACACGGCTGTCACGGACAAGTCGGCGTGGTCCTGCCGCGGGGGCTCGTGCATCGTCGACCCGTTTGGTGAGGTCCTTGCTGGACCCCAGTGGGAGGATGATGAGGGTATGATCTCCGCCGATGTCGATTTTCAGAAATGTATCCAAGGCCGCCTCGATCTCGACGCGGGTGGGAGCTACTCGCGGAACGACGTCTTCAAGCTTACCGTGGCAGGGCTTGACATGGAACCGCTCCCGTACTGAGTGGAACTGTCATTTTTCAGCAGGGTGGTAATCAAGATTGTTTTATGATTAATTATCGGACACTGTATTCATAAGTCGTAACAGTCGCTGCGAATGACAATGCAACTCCTTATAATCCCAAGCACGCTCCCATAATGAATGACCCCATTCGCTATGCCCATCCCAGATAAATGCAGCTTCAAACGTCCTCACTCAGCCTCCTCGTTCGGACGGGGTCGCTGGCACGGCCGCCATCCCTGTTCGGCCTCGCGCTCCGACTGATCGTCCTTCTTCTGCCGTTGCATCGCCGCGCGGGCCAGAATCTCCCTCCGACTCATGCCCGCCTCGTCGTCTCTAACGCCGCCCAGTGTGAACTCGCCCCCCTCCCAACCGCCGTGATCGTCGGGGTATGCCTCCTCTTCCTCCTCGACAGTACCGTTCCTATGATACACGGACGTCTCATCAAGAGTCTGGCCGCTATGCTGCCAGTCGGCCGCGGCCACCTCGCGCTCAATCTGATGGCACAGGTCCCAGAAGTTGCGGTCGTGGTCGCTGTGGACATTGTGCGCCAGCTCATGGCAGAGAGTGTTCCGGATCACTTTGTAGTCGCGGTACCCGTCGTACGCATCCGTGCGCAGCCGAAGCTCAATCACCTCGCCCTTGTTGCGGTTCAGTCCCAGGATGCGTGAAGTGCCCTCGTGGTTTGACTCCGTATTGGACAGCGGCTCCATCTCCGTCAGCAGGGCCACGGTGAACTTGTGCTTGGCCATGGTTCGCTTGATGCCTGAGTCGTTCTTCAGCCGCATCAGCAGCATCTGACTCTTCTCTGGTCGCGGCAAGTTGTTCAGCGGTCGGACCTGCGCAAATGTATACTGAGACGATTCGGCGTGGGGCGTCGTCTTCCTCGGCGCCTTGCTCTTTCGGCGCTGGGCGGCCTTGGCGGCGTTGATCTTAGCCACGCGCGCGGACATAGCCTCCACCGCCATGCTCGTCTTGAGGTTCGACCCGATCAGCATGAGCTTCTTGCCAGCCCAGTCGGACAGTGGCTGCTGTGGGTTCTTGGTCTTGCATGTCACCAGCGGTGCGCCGGGCACGATGATCTTCTGGTTCTGCACGGGTATGTCGAGTGACTCCTCGAGAGTGTCGAGCAGCTCCGTGACGACGGCGTCGTGGTCGAATTCATAGTCGTATACTTGTTTGCGGAAGCTGACGTGGATGGTGAAGGTGTTGTCGTCGTCCGCCTCACTGGCCACGTCTGGGGCTCTGTCTTCGGCCATGATAGTCGCTGCGAAGATGCAGTGTTTCAGTGGTGACGATCCACAAAGCATGCAGCTGAGATAGTGATATGCGAGGAGAGTGTGTGGTGGATGTTGTGATGAGCGTAGCCGATGTACGCTTCGAAATGTTCGAGAATTGTCGGCGAATTAAGGTTCTTGTATTGCGTCAGAACCAGGTCCCGTCAGGCAGCGTTCTTGGAATTATATATGATACAAGGTCCTGAATGATGGTTGGTGGCTGCTAGGCAGGATATCGACGACGAATCCTCCCGAAGACTTGCTTTGTAATACGTCACGACCTGATTTAGTCTAGAATCTCTCTCCGGAGGACGCCATCAAAAGTGATGTCCTGCCAAGGCGCTAGTAGTATTACTCATCAGCAAAAGACGCACAGGCACTACAAGCTATTTCTAAGAATCTTATTTGGCGACCGAAGTATTTCCAAAGTAGTCGCGTTGCGCTCATGATTAGCGCCCCTGAGCTGAGGACAACAAGTCTCTTGAAAAAAGCAACCTCCGTCCTTCAATTCTTTCGCATAAAGCTACTACGTATTAAGGAATTGGGCTAGTGCCAGCTATAGCACTAACACAACTCTTTAAAGAAAGAATTTCCTTCCTTCCGGAATAGCTATAGCTACTGTAACACTTATCCTTATCACAAATCCTGTCGCGCCCCCTAGGAGCGGCGTATCCGTAGGTTCGCACCAAATAGGCTCTTCGAGTGATCGAATTGATGCTTGATCCCTCCAAAAGAGAGATCACTCGTACTGATCTATCGCGTATTCCGACACACGCTTACGTGAGCACTCCAAGGCCTCTGAGCCGTGCTTGCAATGCGCTGCTAGCTCTCTATCAAGCACGCAACGCACCCTGTCGCAACAAATCCAGTGTCTCCAACGCATCTGGGATGGAGGATTCGGAGCCCGGTTGTGATATCGCCAAGGACTCTGCCGCCGCCGCCGATGATTCTTCCGGCAGGCCTCGATCGCTGCTCAGGCTTGTCCTTGCTCAGCCACCTCTCCCCAGAGAGCACCGACGCCAGACCAACGTTGACCGGCGCGGTGGTCATGCTGCACGGTGAAGGACCACGACTGGCGGTTCAAGTGGCCGAGAAGCAATGGAAGGCAATCCGAGCGCATCCCACCATGGCGTCACCGTAGGGTCCTCCGGAAAGAAAGTATCCATGCTAAGACGAATTCGGTGATAAGGCCCAACCCTTCCCGCTAATAACTACTTTCCGCCCTGACATGAGGCTCCAGCTAACCCGCCCACTCTTGGCCTACCCCCCCACCCTCCCCCCCCCCCCCCCGGACCCTTCGCTCCCAACCTCGTGAGAATCAAATCCACTGCTTTACCCTGCCATTGTCTTGCACAGAAGATTTCGAGGACAACGATGATGATTATGGCCACTGACCTGAAGATGAACTCATAAGGAAACCTCTCCAGGACGCGGACGATCCTTCGGCGGGCCAGCTTGCCGTTGCCGCTGGCAGGACATGCCTGGCATACAAATTACGCCGCCATTGCTGCCCTTCTCACAAGAGAGCGGCCAACGACGGAGTTCTCTCCCTAGGCTTTGGACTCTTCCATCACCATTCTGCATCTCTCTTAAAACAACCCATCAGGCACCTCTTACCACAGCCATGAGCGCCTCCCTTCCTCCCATCCCACCATTGGAGCCCGTGAAAGATGATGGACTGAGATTCAAAACCATTACTTACCCTGTGAGTGGGTAGAGGACTACCGCCCAGGTGGCTACCACCCCGTCCTGCTCGGCAACATCTTTAACAGTGGCCAGTACAAGGTTATCCGGAAGCTCGGTGATGGCTCGTACTCAACGGTGTGGCTGGCCCGTGACCTGAGGTGAGATTATTTCATATCATCTACCCCCATCGCTGTATACTTTGGCTACTTATTTTCTCCTAAAGGAGCTCGAGATATGTCGCCCTGAAAATTCTTGTCTCGTACAACGTGGGATTGACAACTGAGCTACAAATCTTGCGCCACATTACCGAAGCCACACCGGCAAATGCAGCACGGTATACCACGCAGCTACTGGACGAGTTTGAACACTACGGCCCCAAGTGCGTCCACAGGGTGCCTGGTACTCGAGCCTATGGGCCCGAGTGTGAATATCATGGTCGAGGAGTTGCCCCAGTTCAAACCTCGCAAGCGGGGAATGAAGATTCACTATCCTCCTCAGATGGCCAAGAGCACCCTCAAGCAGTCATTGCAGGCACTGGCATTTCTCCATAATAATGGCATCGCCCATGGTGACTTCTGACCGGGAACCATACTCTTCGCTCTCGATGATATTGACGCGCAGCCCGAGGACGTGCTGCGCCAGAAGGAAGACGTGCAAGCAAAGTCAATCTCGCCCCCCGTACAGAGGTTAGACGGTAAACACGACAAGTGGGCTCCTCGATATTTTTGTGTTGCGCAGCCGCTGGAACCCTTCACCAAGTACACCAAAGGCTTCCAGATTAAATTATCTGATATGGGTGGCGGTTAGTACCTCCCGCTACAATTACATGTTCCTTTTCTTCCTCTTTATAAACATCTGCTGATGCCTACCTACCCTGAATAGCATATCATTGAACGGACCCGCCGACAAAGCCCGTTACGCCACTCGGCCTCCGAGCTCCCGAGTTGATTCTTACCGGAGCTGTCGATAGACCCTTGACATGTGGAGTTTCGGCTGCCTTGTCTTTGAGCTTATCACTGGGCAGCCCCTCTTCTGCATACCGGGGTCAGACTTTGAAGATGATGACCATCTCCTCTCCCTCACGGCCCGGCTCGGCGACCTCCCCGATGAGCTCTTCAAACAGTGGAACGTCGTCGTTCTACTTTAAGCACGAGAGAACGCTCTTTAATTGTCAGCTCGGGGGTGGCAGAAGGTGGAGAACCCCTTATGGTGGAGCAAACGTCCATGGAGGACTTGTTCGATCAGGCAGGCCCGGATCTTGGTGAGGAGGAATCCCTCAAGGTAAAGGCACGTATTCGACGAATTTTGCAGTGCGATCCCACGAAGAGACCCTCGTCTGCGGAGATTTTGTTTGATCCATGGTTTAGCGAGATTGAGGTTGAGAGTGGCTCGCCCAAATAAAGGTATCGGTGGAGTGGCCTTCGCAGATGCATCTTTGTGTTTCTCACCCACCCTTCTGCGGGCACACCGAACGGGAATGCAGCGCGGCCGGTGCTGTAGCAGTCCAGCCTCCAGCGTGACTTAACGAGATAGTGGCTATGGTGGACACGTCGGTGACCCGAACGAGAGCAGAAAAGAGAAAGAAGCAGAATAGGGAGTATTCTTGGGCACGCGATGCTAGCGGAGCTTTGTACTCTCCGTGGACTCTTCTTTTTTGTGTCTGGACTGCTTGAGCGACGAAGGATAAATAATGACGTGACGCTCCTTCTGCTTCTGCTTCGGAGATCATGTATTGAGGAATCTAGGGTACTAAGTTAACTCGAAATTTCTTTCACGAAGAACATCACGCGTCAGTTGTCAGTTGCAATTCGCGATGGGTCTTTGCCGCTGTGTCTCGATACCCGCGCGGGCTACAAACAGACGCTTCGTGTCTGTTAGTGTCACCAGGAGGTTTGTATGATTCTATTAACATACGAGACTAAGCTCGATGCAACGCTGTCAGATTGTCATACAAGCGCTTGACAACTAATAGTTCCCAGAAAAACGCAACAAATACACAAAACAATAGGATACCTCTTACCACTTTTGCAGGATTTCTAGTAGACCTTGTTATCGGGCCTACCTCACGGTCCCCTGGGAGCCAGAATCCAGCCATCTTCAGCACATCTACTTCCGAACAGCTCACCCCCCTTAGCGAGTCGATAAGGAAATCCGAAATATCACCGCCACCATTACCAAAGACGACTTCTGGTCCCCAGCGGACGGGCGGCTTTCCTATGTCCCCGTCTCGCCCGAGCCAACGCCGTCCCGCGTTCCAGAAGCCCTGGAGAAACTGCTGCGGGGGCCTGAAATCGACGTCGTTGAATTCGCGCGACAGCAGCTCGTCCTCTTCCTCGGGATTCTCCAGCAAAAGGCGTGGGGCCAGCTGAACCCCGGCCTGAAGTACCCGGTCCATTGAGATTTTGATCAATACGGTGTAGACGTAGAACTGCAGCCCGGTGGAAGGTGGCGCATCACCGAAATGCTTTGTGAATAGCGGCGATGGGGGTCCAAGTTGTACTTGGGACGAGCAAATGACCCAGAAATACATCAAGTAACCTAGAAAGCTCCGTGCCGGATGCTCTCCAATGGGCTGGGTCCGAATTTCAGCCGCGTGCTCGGAGAAACAATGAAACAGCTCCACTAGCATATCATAAGTCTCGTTTCCACCAAGTTCCGATGGCGCATGGCGGGCTTGAGTTCTGTACAGCGTCAACAAAGCCCGCATTAGGAGGAATTGCGAATCGGGGCAGAATGCCGGATCGGATCCCTCGCCGCGGGTAAAAGGGTGCTTGGCAGCTGTTCGGAGCGCCTTGATTTCCAGGACCGAGTTAACGCCATGGAGCCTAGTAGCCAGTCGTAGCAACTCATGTAGTATGTCGACGCTAATGGCACGCAGACCACACTTCCAAGAAAGATTTCCTAACCACTCGAACCTCTTAATAATTTGATCTACTGAAGGAGAGTGGACTTTGTCGTATAGGTTGTAGGCCTCAAACGCGTGGAGAAACGCGTCTTCAAACTTCCCATCTTCTTTTTCAACTTTGGATCTTTGAAAAAGCGATTCGGCCCTATTGCGGATTTGAAGTGATCCTGTGCTCGTGTTCGCTTCTAGACTCGAGTCAACGAGGCGCCGAGCCTCATCACGGTTGCCGTCGCGAAGAAGTTCCGAGATTTTTAGGTTTTGAGTGAGCGAGAGAAAAATGGGCATAGACTGGATGCAATGCGCCAGGTCTTGTAGCGGCTCCGGAACTTGGGAATTTCTAGTCAACAAGTTTTCTTGGCTTCGTTCCGAACCCGTTCTTCCTTCGTGCATTTCCCAGCCACAGATCACGACCTCGCGAATGGTTTGCGAGATCAGTCCTGTGTCGTTTCTTTTGAGTTGGAAATCTCGGATGACGGATTCGATATGGGGTTGAATGTCCTTGTCCAATCTAGAGACGTGAGGTTGAGAATCTTCGAAGGCGGCTACGTGGTTGTTATTGTTGGCAATGAGATAACTGGTTGCTAGACAGGCTCGAAAAAGAAACTCGAGGCTTTTCCGTACCACCTGGTCGGGAACGCCAAAATCTGTCCCGTGTTCGCTCACGAGAATTTGGCGGGCAAGGCTTTCGACATGACGGGGGAATCGGGGAGAGCTTTGATGATCCAAGAGTTGGAACAGCTTGAGCGATCGCCGCTGTATTTCGTTATCTAGTCGTGAAAACAGCTCGTCTTCGCCACGGTCGTGAATTTCAATGGCCATCAGACCAACGTAAAGTCGTTGCACAGTGACTTCGTTTACCAGGTCTAACTCGCAGTACTGCAAGGCAGTGCGAAGAGCTGCATACACATTGATGAAGTTGATGGTCCCGCCCGCCGCCTTGCACGACGATATGCAAAAGACAGGTAGATGAGCCCAAGAAATGGTCTGGCGCAGTGATTCCGTCTGCTTGTGGTAAACTGGAAGAGCCCTTGCAAAGAGTGTCAGGACTGGGTTGACTTGTATCTGAAGTCGGTTTGGAAACAGCTTTGGAAACACCACAGAACTCTCTAGGTCTTCCGACCTAAGCATGCCCATCGAGTCGCGCTCGAGCCTACCCAAGAGCTCTTGGACTTTTTCCCGCGCGCTTGAGGAACTCATTAGCCATGCTAAGGCGCCCCTTGCTGCCTCGGCGGTGAAGAGCATGTCGGGAAAGGATGTAATTTTCCAGGAGGCTCCAAGTTTTTCAAACTCGTGCTCATAGTTTGCAGAGGCATTGACTAAACGTAGGAAATGGCCGAACATCCCATGCAACGTGTCCGAGATTGCGCCTTTCCAGAAAAACGCGAAAGGGAGGTACACGGACCATGTCTTCGATCCTGACTCATCGTCAAACCAGCAATTTTCCTGGTCTAGGTGGATAATTGCACGGTCTGCCAGCCCAGAGGGTGTATTGACGGGTTCCCCGAGAAGAAGGCCGTGGTAATAGTCGTGAGCATTGACCTTCCTAGACAACAGATCGTAGGCCATCATCTTCAACGCTAGGGGGTTCCCATCCACGAGAGATACGAGTTCCTGGCAAGAAAGACCTAGATCTGGTATCGTCGTGGATTCAGGAAGTCCCCCAGACGTTTCACACTCGCGGAGGAAGAGAGAAACTCCGGCCAGGAGGTCCAAGCCTCCCAGAGTGCAGGCAAAAGCAGAGGAATCCTCGAGAGCGGCGAGGAGCCATTCCTCCTCGGCGCGAGACGCTAAAATAAAGATGCTGTTCTCCGAAGCTTGCTTGAGAAATGCCACGAGGAATTTCCTGCTCCTCCTGTTAGACCTGGGTTTCCAGGTTTCAAGGTGGTCCAGAGTGACTAGAAACTTCTTTCCCCCCAGAGCTTGCGAGATGTCGGACAGCTCATATTCTCCTTCCATTGCGGTGCCCATTCCAAGTGCCACTGCAAGTTGACTGTTGCTAGTGATGGGGGTAGACTCAAGGTCGACATGGATGCTTCCCTGCACGAAACCTGTCTTCTCCCACCACTCCTCTACGTGGGTTAGGAAAGTAGTCTTCCCGATTGCTGCAGAGCCTTTCAAGAGGCAGATATGAGATCTCTCTAATTCTAGCTCAAGGCGCAATACTGTCTCGTCTCTGCCCAAATACGTAGCCGGAGGCGACTTTGGGGTGCCGAGAGGGTCTGGGGTATCCCAAACGGCCGCTGTTCGAGGCGGGATTCTGGCGTAGTATCTCGGGACGACAAAATCTAGAACCCGTACTTCGACACCGTACTTAGTATTCTTCTGGGAATTGCGGGACAGATCCACCCTTGTTTTCCAGACCGCCTCGTGTACCGGAGCTTTTTCTACCAAAAGGCAGTGATAAAGTTTCCGAACGAAGATCTCGACCGAGCTTGAGCATATGTTGTACGCCATGGCAATTGCACAGGGAATCCCCTGGCTAACCATGAGCTCGGCGGTCGTCTCCTTCATATAGTCGTACGCAGAGCGACAGGCATTCATTACCACAAGCTGAACGCCATGGCTTGAAAGTTTCTGGGCGATCTCTTGAGCGGTCCGATTGTCTGTTGAGACGGCCCCAGTATGAGGGTCAACACGAATGAAGGCAAGACATGGACTAGGGGACATATTCAGTAATGGAGATCAACTGGAAGTTGCTCTCCTTAATCCACTGTGAGCACTAACCTGCCGTCTATAGAACTGCCGTGCAGATCGAAATGCACCGTATGGTAAAAGCCCATCCGTCGCGAGTCCAAGATTTTCTCCAAAGCTTCGAAAGTTCCCGGTCGGACCATTTCCACGTTGACAGACCGACCACATCTCCTAGCTTGGTCTGCTGCCTCGAAAATGGGCCCTGTCGCGAGGATTGGGGACACGTCTTTCTCGACAAGGGGGCGGGCGACCACAACTAGGATGTTCGGAGCTTCTTCATCACGCGACTCGATAGCTTGAGTCTTTTTCGAGTCTTTGACTAGTCTCGATACGACAACCTGACGCGGGAGTTGCTCTGTTGGCCAGCAATCCAGGTTTTCAACTGCCTCCCACAGCATGGAACGGCCACCAGACTCCACAATAATGTGCACGTTTTCGTCTGCGAGCCTTGTTCTGGCAACGTTTGATAGGAAGCCTGCGAGCGACCGGAAGTGGATCAAAAGGCGCTCTTGTGCGACGCTTGCTCTCTGTACCTCGAAAGGCTGGCTCTCGGCATAATCCTCAAAGTACCACCTGAACTGGTCGTCATTCTCGCTGGCTGGAAGGCGTGCCTTTTCCGGGCTGTTGTATCCAACCTGAACACTGACCCAGTCCTCAGCTCCCGGACTAATACGCATCGATAGCCAGTTATCCATGATGGCCGCGGATGCAAATGGGCAGGATTCAGGGAAGACTTGACTCGGCGATGCAAGCAGCTAAGGGTCCAAAGGGTCATCTACAAAAAAACACAAAATCAGCAAAAAGTCGGCATAGAGTCCTAAAGCGAGAATTTCCCCGCACGAGGTCCTACTCAATACTCCGTATCTTCTCAGCTTAGGGCGTATCTGTCTCACTAGTATCCGTATTGGCCAATCAGACAGGGCTGCGGGTCAATCAGTCCATCTTCCTCGTTTGCAAACAACAATCAGAAGATCAAGCATTTTGAGGCCTTCAATCAATCAATCTGTAGGTTACCGCTCGTTTGAGTATTTGATCAAGCCATTCAATCGGGGCGGGAAGGTGTCCAGACCCGCTTTTATATGCTAGGCTGTCTACTAATAAGAACATGTCCCGGCCCGGCCCGCCCTGGACCCTAGTTCCTAGTTGCGTACCTCCTTCATCGACTCAAGGCCATCACCTTCTTCAAAACCACACATAGCTACCAACCGTCCATCATTAAACGTATCATTTTTTTTACACAGACCTCTTTGAGTATCCATACTCGGGCTATTCGGTCACTCACGATTTATATCAAATATAATCCATATCTATCAGTATCAGTCCAAACAGTCGATAATGATGCAAAATTCCTGTCAATCGGTCAGATGGGACCCCCAGATTTGGACTAATTGATCGACCCGCAGCCCTGCAACCAAAACGAGCCCCCGTCAGCCTTAATCTCAACCTCATCATCAAGCACCCCTTCCGCCCATTCTCCTTTCATATCCAGGTGCGGAAGCTCCTCTTCTATCTCCGCCGGTTCCTGATCGTTCTTCTGTTGCGTCTCCTCCGTGCCTAGTCGTCTATCGGCCGCGTAGGTGGGTTGCCGATCCTTGTAGATAGGCACGGCGCCGCGCCCAATATCTCGGAGTCGCTTTCGGATGATCTTGTAGCCGACCGCGAACACATGCTCCCCAACGCTGCAGCGCGTACTCTCCTGGCTCTCCTCCTTGACCCGGCCGGCGGACGCCTTGACGTGAGCTCCCGAAATCGGTATGGGGGCGGCGGCGCCGACAGGAACCTCGACCTGGCCACTCTGGGCTGCGTTGTGCGCCGAAGACTCAGTGATTTCAGCGTCGGACCAGACCAAGACGGTCGTGATCATGTAAAGACGTTCGAGCTGCGAGCATTTCTTGATGATCCAATCCTTTGTCTGAGGGTCCTTGAGGAGGTTTTTGTACACGTCCTCCTGCATCTGGAGCTCATACACCGTGACTTTCTTGCTAGCAAAGGTGCGACTCAGCTCCATGTCTCCGTCCACAGACAGGTTTAGGAGCTTGAGAACATGGAGCTTGAAGCTCCCTGCATTCTTGGCCCTCTGGGCAAACTGATTCCCTCCCCAGGGCGTTATACTAGGGTCTGTGATGTGATGTTCGGAGGCGTTCGTCGGTCTAAAGTCCACCAGTGGTTGCCTGAAATTGGCAACTACACGGCCAAGCATTTGAAGGTGCGCATTGCCATCTGCCGAAGGAAGGGCAAGATCCTTTAGGCGATAGTAAGTCGGATCTTCAGGTCCGCCAAAGAGCCCCATGACGAAAAGTATATCTATATGAGAAGGTCTGGTTCGATGATTCGGAGGTTGGCGCCAGAAACAACATTGTAGTCATCAACGAGGGGAGTTTGGCACGGACGCATCAGCCGCAGCCTCAACTGTGCCACTGGCAAACAACGCTAGCCATTGCTTCCACATCACGTGTGCAAGATTGCGTTCACTGCTCGCAAAGGGAGTAAAAACAGTGGCGAGCGCCTAGCTCAATGGCATCTACCCAGATCATGATTCCACGTCCATCTGTCATTCACTGCTCGAAACGCGTGAGATATGCCTAGGCCCTGTCACCCTACTCTACGTCATATCACGTGAGAGATGAGAGTACGTACCGTTCTGAAGCAAGGGATGAGCTGACTCAGGCACAATAGCCCCCGTAGCCCTCCAGTCTACCAATCAGCTGCGAATCGCGTCGTGTCCTTTTTCGAGGTCGCCAAGCAAGCTCCGTAGTCGATCCTTGGAGCAGCTAAGAAACATCAACAAGAGGACTACAACCACCTCGAGGACTTCACGACGCCACGTCTTTCCGAATTCAATCGTCGCAGCACATTAGCCCCTGTTACGATTCCAACGCCACGAGCGTACGAGTAACGTCAATTCGGGCGCGACGGCCTTCACGGAAAACAAACCTCGGAAACCGCTACAACGACGTCACAATGCCCAACGTCTTTCGCCTCGCAGGTCAGACACCGCGACAGAACTTGAGCGACACGTGTACTGATGGGACGCAGCGGATTTCTCCCATCTGGGGAGCATCCTGATTCTGCTGCACAAGATGGTGCAGCTGAACGTGCGTAGCTTTGGCCTGCTGGCATGGGATTAGGCTAACAAGGGCAGAGCTGTTCTGGCATCTCCTTCAAATCGCAAGCCCTATATCTCTTCGTCTACGTGACGAGATACCTTGGTAGGTGCCTTCCATACACCACTCTCGAGAGCTTCAGCTGACTTGGTAGATCTCTTCTACACTAACAGCATCTACAACCTCATCTTCAAGATCCTCTTCATCGGCGCACAGGGCTACATCATCTACCTCATGACCAATGCATACAAGCCGACCAACGACCCCAACGTGGATACGTTCAAGGTCCAGTACCTCCTTGGCGGCGCCCTCGTCATGGCCATTCTATTCCCTTACAAATACACCTTTGCCGAGATCTCGTGGGCCTTTTCCATCTGGCTGGAGGCCGTGGCCATCCTGCCCCAGCTCTTCATGCTCCAGCGCACCGGCGAGGCCGAGACTATCACCACGCACTATCTCTTTGCCCTCGGCAGCTACCGCGCGCTATACATCCCCAACTGGATCTACCGCTACTTCACCGAGCCGAACCACAAGCCCGACTGGATCGCCATTGTCGCGGGGCTGATCCAGACCGTTCTGTACAGCGATTTCTTCTACGTGTACTACACGCGCGTGCTCAAGGGCAAGAAGTTCAAGCTGCCTGTTTAATGGGCAGAATCGGAGCGAGGGAGAAAGCACGACAAAGCTTCCTTGAGGCGTCTGCGTCCGCTTTCCTGCAAAACACACATGAATGGAACGCCAAACTCAGTCAAGGCAGGCCAGGCCTGCCTGGGAGGATGCATCAACACGGCGTTTGGGGAGGTTGAGCCGCAGCGCGGCGAATTCAAGGGCTGCAGCATTGCAGCGTGTATCAAATTGCGAGGGCTAGATACTGGGTGCGCGAAATAGAGACGATTGATCTGCCATAGGACGTAATGCAGTTGTTTCACGGTGCATGGTCATGTGTGTTTATTTAGCGTAATCGCCATGGGCCTGTGCGTGCTGACACCATGCTTTGATGTAGACCCCATTCGTACACTATAAGATGGAATACGAGAAAACCTACTTCAATCAACCCAATTGTGATTACTGTCCGTGGTGGATTGACGTCCGTTGGGACCGAATGCTGGAACTTTATCAGTCACGTGATTGCGTCACGTCGGCGGCCGACGTGAGGCATCGCTCGCCGCCTGTCCATCAACCACCTCACACATCGCCATCAGCACATCTTCTCAAAATGGCCTCCGAAGCTCCCCCACCGATTGAACAGCAGTCTGTGCCTGCGACAGAGGCCACAGACATCCAGATGAAGACCGAGGAGCCGGCAGCTGAGGAGGACCCCATTGCCCCGGCACCCGACCGCGTGCTTACACGCAAAGACGTCTCGTTGCGCGAGCTTCTTCACAGGATCGACGACTATGCGCCCATTGTAAGTCATGCACCTTGCTACTGAAAAGGCGCATCAGAATGGCTGACTTGGATCAGATTCCCGACGCCGTCACACACTACTACATGACAAAGGCCGGCCTTCCACCCCCACCGCAGACCGATCCCAAACTCGCCCGCCTGCTCGCCCTGGCCACACAAAAGTTCATTGCCGACGTCGCTGCCGATGCCTATCAGTACTCGCGTATCCGCGCGTCCAACACGAACCAGAACAACCCCATGGGCAACCTCGGCGCAGCCGCTGGCTTTCCGGTGCCAGGACAGCAGGCAGGCGGGGGCCAGCCTGGCGTGGCGCCCACCGCTGGGAAAGATGGCAAAGGCGCGACGGGACCGGGCGGTGCTCCGCTGGGCATCCAACGGCCCGGCTACGGTGGTGGCGGCCAGGGCGGAAGCCAGAATCGCACAGTACTGACGATGGAGGATCTCGGCATGGCTGTTGGCGAGTATGGCGTGAACGTCAAGAGGAGCGAGTTCTATCGCTAGACTGCATGGGTGGATCGGATGAAATCCCACATCCGATGGACATGACTTACTGCACGGCGTTTCGGGGTTACATCTTTCACACATTGGCGTTTCGGTGGGATGTGTCGGACTATGGGCATGAGTAGAAGCATCGGGCCACTGGGTAGTGGAGCTACGCACACAGCGGCAGCAAAAGAATAGCGTCGCCGAACAAACAAGCAAACAAGATGGATATTCGCCAATGCATTGTCCCCCCCAGTAATGATACAACATATGATACACACGAGAATCCCATCATTTGCCCCTCCACTTGTCTCTTTGGATACCTCTTCGCGTCCTACGGTTTGTTAGCGGAAATCGACGGCGTGGGTGTAGCAATGCGACATACGGCGAGAACTCTCCGAGCTTGTGTCCAACCATGTCCTCTGTGACCTCCACGCGATTGTAGTCCTTGCCGTTGTGCACCTCAAAGTGCAGGCCGACAAAGTTGGGCAGAATCGTGGCCGCGCGGGCCATTGTCCGGACAGCGGGTACCTTGTCTTTGCGAGACGTCGGCCATTTGATCGGGAGACTACAATGTTTCGTTAGTTTGTTCGGTTCGGGGGGTTGAAGGTCGAGGGCCGCACGGGACGAGATTAGGACCTGCCGCATAGTCAGCTTAGTTTCTTCCAGAGTAGACATCAACTACTTGCCCTTCCATGTCGAACGTCGTAGTAGAAGGCTTGTGGGCTGCATTTTGGCGGGCGCAATGTCGGCTCGTAAATTTCTTGGGGAATCGCGACGGGAAGTCGTGATGCAGGTTGATGCGCTCTCGAGATGCGGAGTGGTGTTGTTCCGCCCCGGCGTTGTACTAAGCGGGCGGCTGGCCGCGTTCACGAGGACTGCAGCTCGCACACCGCGAAGAGCAAGATGATCACCGAACGAGCAGTCATGTCAGACAACTACGTTCCTCGCGAAAGATGATTCCTACGACACCACGTGTCATTTCTAGGGTGCACCAAGTACTCTCTGTGCGGTCTTGGCCGCCAGGCACGATTCACATGCACAGACTCGATGGCCTCAATAGTTTGCAAGGTTACTCCCGGAGACCACTGCATACCTCTGTAGTGACTTGATTCGATGCTATTTGTTTTCGCCGCCTGATGCCAGCCATAATCAATACATGCATCGCCAAACTCCCGTTTTACAAATCGGACCAGTAGCGCTCACAGTCGAGAGAGAGATCCTCAAGAATCGCTCCTCATCTGTCCCCTCTTCGTCGGTGTCTCCGCGTGGTTGCTGTGGACCTTGGTGTCGGAGAACTTTCTCTGAGGCTGCTCACCCTGTTCACTCGACGACTTGCCTCCCTGGCCAAACGCGCCCTGGAGCTTCTGCGAGATGCTGGTACCGCCAGTCTCAATGGTGCCACGCGCCGGATTGTGGTCCGCGCCTGAGGTTGGGTACGACTTGGAGTGGACTTGGTAGTCATCAGAGCGGCTTGGTGGGGGGGCCTCGCCTTCGGCCTTTGCGTTCTGGGCGTTCGAGGCTGGCGTGGATGCCGGAGGTCGCGAGGTGGTACCAGCGTCGACACCATTGTTGGGCTGGTTTGTGCCTCCGGTTGTTCCATTACTGGAGGCGCTGTTGGTGGCAGATTGGCGCGATGATGAGTTGCCGTTGCCGCCATTATTGTTGTTGCCACCACTGCTCCTGTTGTCGCTACTGAGATTCGTGCTCTCTAGGTCATCCTTGGTCCGGCCACCTGTTGACCGGTCAAGCAACCCGCTTCCTGATGCACCACCTCCGCTCGGGCTCATCTCGACAGACCTAGTGTTGGACTGACCACCGCCAGGTCCTCCTCCAACGCCACCGGAGGGGAGTTTTTCCTTGTTGGCTGTGGTGTTCACAGCACGCTCCGCATCGCTGGTAGCCTCTTGGATTCCACTGCCAGGCTGCCCAGTCTCGTGGCCGCCAGATGTGGTGTTCTGGCCAATGCCCGTGCCGGAGAGACCCTCCTTGTCGCGCTTTTGGCGGGAGCGTGCAGCTTGGCCTCCCGCCGCGTCGGGCTCAGCAGACTTGGTTGGGGTGCGGTAGTAGAGATAGCTTCCGAGGAAGCCAGTCGTCGCGATGGCCGGAATGGCGAGACGGGCCATGTGCTTGGATTGAAAACGGGGCTTGAGCATGATTGCGACCTCTTCCAAGTGTAAGAGTGTCAATTGGTCGTGATTGCAGGTGAAGAAAGTTTCCGGGGAGGTTAGAAAGGTCAATTGAGAATATGAGAACCAGATGAAGCTGTTCAATTGCTACAGCAGGATAGATCCGGGTTATGATCTCACAAATTTTTGCGGCGGGTAACCACTAACGCTTTCCATGACGGCTTTGTTGGGTCTCATCATGACATCAAAGTCAATGACGATGACATGTCGCAGTGGCACAACTAGTGAAGATCCGCGCCGGACTGAGCGCCACGGGCTGCACTAGCCGTGGCTTCAGGGCAAATGGCCCATTTGAATCTTGATCAAGTGAGATTCCTTCCGGGCGAAGCATTCCCCCGATATTCAGGGTTGGGGGTGGTGTGAAGCTCAAGTTGGTTGTCGATCGACGTTTGCAAGAATCAACCGAGTTGAACCGACACTTTGTTGGGGGGTGAGGGGTGGGATCCCGGCTACCCTGCACCGAGCCATCCCGTCGTCTGCCTCTCTCTATCAGCTCGCTTCTGCACGCTTGAAATGGGCAAATCCCATCGAAACCTCCCTGATCACAAACCTATTGATATCGTGACTGATTCCAATTCATATATCATGTGTTTGGCAGGTGCCAACAGTCAAAACACTTGCTAAAACGAAGAACCCGGCCGAAACAGAACCATTATCCGAAAAGCATGTCCGTGTTGCACTGGTCTAGACGTACCTTGCAGTTCCATCCATCCCCATGCCGACCAAAGATCCGACATTACCAATGCCTGCATGATTCGCTTGATTGAAAGCTTGGCTACTGACCGCCGATCGCCCGCCGTCCTCAAGCCAAGCCGTATTGAGCAATCAGCTTCTCCGCACATGTGATGCCCGTCACATACGCCACAGACTGCACGTGGCAGCTGGCCAACACAGGCACAACACTCATATCCGCCACCCTCAATCCTTCGATGCCCTTGAACCTAAAGTCGCTGTCCACTGCGGCGTCTTCGTCCTCCTTCTTCCCCATCTTGACAGTGCCGGTCATGTGCCAGCTTGAAGAGATAGTCTGACGCCAGTAGGCCAGCAGCTCCTCGTCGGAGTCTCCCGAAGGCCCAGCGAGCATCGCCTTGGTGTCCTTGGCATACGACTCGTGCCTAACGAGCTTGAGAGCTTCGCGAAGACTGCCAATGGCCACGCGGCGGTCAAACTCTGTGCCCAAGAACTTTGGATCGAACTGGAGAGGCGCGTCTGGATCCGAAGATTGCAGCGTGACCTCGCCCCGGGCCTGGGCGTTGGCGTAGAACACCAAGACGCTGGAGGCGTTGAGGCTGTCCGAAGGAAAGTTGGGCATCAACCAGTGGATGGGGCAGTGCGTGATCAGCTCGTAGTGAGGCACCGTCTCCTTTTCGAGATATGCCTTTTCCGCCGGCGGCAAAGCTTGGAATTCCTTGGTTTCGGCCAGCCCCGGGATCTTGAAGTATCCGATGCACCCTCCACAAGCAAACTTGGTCCAAGGACCAGTCCCGTCGGCCTTCCATTGCGCGAGCGCCTCGTCCATGGCTGCCTGGTTCCCGTAGAACTCGGCGCGGTCGGTGTGCCCGTCTTTGGCGACGTAGACCAGAGGGCAGAACATGTGATCGCGCAGGCCTTGGCCGATGATTGGTACGTCCTTGACCACAGAGATGTTGTGCTTGGTCAACTGGTCAGACGGGCCTATGCCAGAGTGCATGAGAATCTTGGGGCTGTTGAGGGCTCCGGCGGACAGGATGACCTCTTTGGATGCCCAGTCTACCGGCTTGTCAGCCACCACGTGCCAACGATATCACTGCACTTACACTTATTGTCCCTGGTTTCGACCCCGACGGCTCTGTCGCCCTCCAATAGGAGCCTTCTTGCAGGTGAAACCGTCAGGACTGTCAAGTTGTCCGGGACTCCCGTCAAAAGATCACTCGCTGTTGAACGCAGTCCATTATAACACGAGTTGATCATGGCTGCCATGCCAATTGGGTTGCCAGAATTGTGATCCGGGTTCAGCGGAAAGCCCGCTTCTGCAACAGCGTCCAGCATAGGCACAATGTCCTTTTCCCATTGTTTGGCAAAGCCAACGTGCAGAGGGCCGTCTGTGCCATGATCCTCAGGCTTTGGATTGGCGTGCTTCTTCTCAATGCCATCGGGTGTCTCCCCATGGAACGACTCGAGTCTCTTGAAGCGTCCCTGCATCTTGCTCCAGGCGAAGGAGTCGTCGCCCGTGAGGCGCGCCCACTCATCATAGTCGTCCCGGGCCCCCACGGTGTAGACACCAAAGTTGATGGCGCTGCTTCCACCGAGTCCCTTGCCACGCGAGTAGTCAACCTCGCGATCACCGCAGTGCTCCTGCGGGGATGTCTTGTACCCCCAGTTCATTTCCTCCTTCATGTACGTGATCCATCGCTTCCCGTCAACGCGGAGCTCTCGATCCGCATTGTCGCCGCCCGCCTCTAACAGCAGGACCGACGGTTTCTGGCGGGCCAGTGCTAAATTGCGCGCCAATGCGCACCCCGCAGGACCGGCTGATGATCACAGTCAGCGTGGAACGCAACTGTCAATGAACTAGGTCGTGATCATACGCACCTCCCACAATGATAAAGTCATACTTCTTCTGGACAGTCATTGCAAACGATGTACATGTAGGTAGTGGTGCAGTCTTTGTTACCTACGAGCCCCCCAAAGCCAAGGAAGGCAGGTCTCGCCTCTCTTTTATCATCGAACCCCCGGACGCCCCGTTGCGGGTCTCATGCGACACTAGGCCTCAAAGTGACAAGCTGATGCGTAGCTCGACGCTATTCGTTACAACTCGCCGATCTTATGCACCTTTTTCTGGATTAGCCCATATCACACTTCGCTGCCTTCATGCGGGGTTCGGACTTCGAACTGTGGCGTGCTATACCAAGCTGGCGCTTTTCCGCCTTCGAGTTTGACTAACCTGCTTCGTGTTGATATAAAACCACAGGACACGTGAAGTCAGCGTGCTTTGTTGAATTGCTGTGTCCTCTCCAGTCACACTGAATGTGTTCCGTGAGGGTCACTCGTGCTTTGAGCCTTGGGCAAGTGTTTGTTCCTGTCGATGCTGGCGGCTAGGCGTGACCTGACTCGTGCTGCATGCAAAAGACATTGTATATCATGCGCCTTCAGTATGTGTCAGCCAACGCTTCACATGGGGCTCGACAATGACCCACTTCAATGTATCAAAGGGAGTTTTGCTGGACCAGCGGGCGTTATTGTCACGGGAGAAGATCAGCGGTATTAGTACTACTTAGCTTTGGCCTTGACTTTTTCACGTTGCGAGTTAGTCGTGATGTTTGGACCATGTGTGGACCATGTGGAACTTCACTCGTGTCCTAGCTTTACAAGTTTACAACGACCCCTTGGTCCGCAGCACCTGTAAGTCCATCTTTCCTCGTCTGCTCATTGTCTACCCAGCATTCATGTGGGATCGTCCACCCGAAAGATACGAGTCACCAAACGATGTCGACAATCTCGGGTTGTGGCAAGCCTATCTAGAGAGAACTTGTGGCAAAAGCGTTCGAAAATTCGGCCAGCTTCCAACTGCGCGTCTCAGCGTCTCAGCCGAACAGACGGCCTTTCTTCATTCTCAGTGTACTTGCCCTTGAAAGCTTATTCTTTTCACAGGGCGACCTGCCTAGATCTTCAGAGAGGCTGAGGCCCGTGTACTGTTACTGCCATCCATCCTCCATAGCCCGCGTGAGCACGAGATCGTCAGCCAAATCCAACAGCTCTAGCACCGACCGTGGTCTGACGGACCAATCGTCCTCAACATGACCGAGCTCAGCATTGACCATGTCTTTGAGGCGGTCATCCATATCACATAACCCTAGTCTGAATGGTCCCGTCAGCGACGTGCCTGGCCCGGGCATGCCGAGGTCGACCAGCATTTGCTTGAGCAAGTTCCTTGTCAACCCGTTGAACATGCCACACTGTGACGCAAAGTTTTGCACGGGGACGTGCGCAAAGCTTGTCTCATCAGATGGCGGTGGAACTGGAACCATGAAATTGTCAAGATGCGCGTTGAGCGCGGTGTAGGTCCGCTCAAAATACAGGAGGATCTGCGAGAGACAGGACACGATCAGGAGAAGCGTCGCGTGATTTGTGTGATTCTGTTGGTACCCTGGCGGCAGACATGAGTTCAGCATGGACTGTTTCGCAACGGTCCGTATGATCTGGGTGAACGCCTGTAGAGACGACAGCATGGTCTGTATGGCATTTTGTGTGCGCCCATCGAACGTATAGGTTATAGCGTAGACGTAGTCCTCCAACGGACTGGAGTGATGAAGCGACTCATGCACCGCACGTAGGCGCGAATTTAGTGTTGTCAATGAAGCAAAGGCGTTCTCCGGTTTGGTGAGCCTGCTGGTTTGAAGAGCAATGTCGGGCATTCGAGGGCCGGATGGTACGTTGATGAACGTAATGGTCGGGGTGTCCATGAAAAAGTCGTTGCCCAGCCAGTCGGAGCCATTCGTCATCCACGATGGCGAAGGACTTGGCGAGCATGAACGTGCGGTGGCAGCGCGCGTCGGTCGGCCTATGCGTCGTGTGGAGCCGGTGGTGCAGGGTAGCTCGAGTCGCATGCACCGATGGCATGCTGGCGCTGAGGGTTCTGGGCGGACGCAGCGTAGTTTGTGTCGACGACAGGTCTCACAGGCGGAGCGGTGCTGGTTGGCATGCATGTTTGCTTTTGCGTTTGTGATGGGGAACGGTGAGTTGCGTCCCCACTGCCACTGCTTCTGGCGTTTGATTTTTGCGAGAATAACAGAGGGTTGGATTCAAGGTCTGCGCTGCCAGATGCTTCCATCGAGAATCGAGACGGCGGAGGCTTTTAACCCTTTTGGCGATACTGGTTCCATGTACATGTTCATGTAGACGGGGCTCCGCTTTGCGAACGCATGGCTTGTTGATATTGATAAGCACTGAAGCAGGGGTTCATTCCCGCGTTGGCGGCTGGCCCTGCAGGGCTGAAGTGGTGCTCCGCTCCATGTCTGAGGAATAATCCTTGTGAAGTTGTGCCGCGCACGATGTTGATTCGTTGTTCGGTGAATCCCAATCCCGAGCGCTGACAACAGTATCCGTACTCCATTGCAAGATTGGATTGTCCGGTGCCTAAATGTGTGTGCGAGGATGCCCTCATCCTTGCACACCATTGCTATATTAAGCCAACGACAGCATAGACGATTGATCATATGGCGAAAGGGGCTGTTGGGTCAAAATATTCCCACGTGAGTTCCATTCCCGTCCATATTGCCATTGAAACGCAAGCTGACAACACATTATTGCGGCGGACTCGTCCATGCGTGAACTGATATAGGATAGGGAGAAGCATTAGACGCCTGAGCAGAAACTCAGGCGCTTACTACCTTACTCGTTAGTCGCTAAGAGCCAATGCATAAAGTCGTCCCTGAGCATCTTACACCATGCTTCCTATGTATCAGTCATGCTTGTGGCTCAGCTAATTGACTTGCCGGCTCACCTCTTCACCGGGGCGCCCACCACACACCTTGAACCTCACCGAGGACCGGACCGGATCTCTGGGGTTCCTCATCAGGCACTACTACTAATTAGCTCAGGGTCCAGACTCCACAGTCTAGTGAGCCTGGAGTGAATGGAGTCGATGGACCCTGAGACGGAAGTAAGTCCCCTCATTTCCCTCAACTTCTCACTTCTCGCTCACCATGTCAGTATAGTCCACTGGTCACCGACTCAACCAATGCGCGCCAATGCGCGCCAATGGGCAAGGGGTGACGCGCTCTACAACACCAGGTGACCTCTTGATCATCGACGCGCGTTCGGCCTCCCGCATGGATCCGGCCCGTTTGCACCAGCATAGCCCAAATATTCAACAGCCAGGCACGGGTGTCCGCGTCCTCACTCCAAGTTGGCGGTCACGTTAAAACTTTTTGTCATTCTTCACGCATCTCAACAAACCTGGAGTGGAGGCCCGATCCTGCTCTCGTACCCTTCCTTGCTTCCCTCACTCAATCTGAGTTGCGCCCACAATGGAAGTGGTCTGCAAGAACGTCCCCCCGGACCTGGACCGCAATACCCTCCGCAAGGAGCTCACGCCCTTCGTGGAAGCGCTCAAAATTGAGGTCTGGGAATGCGAAAAGCTCAAAAACAGAAAGATTGCGTTTATACAATTCTTGAACCCCTCGGACGGTCAGCGATTCTTGGCCAAGCACGGCCAGAAGACTGCCGTCAGAAACAAGACTGCCGCCTCTCCTACCCAGCCGGAGAAACAGCCATCGAAGTCTCGAAACATTCCACGCTTGCGCATCACCAACACCGCCATATTTGTGGAAAAAAGCAACCGTCCCCTCAACTTGGGCCATATGCAGCATGAGCAGCACCAGCAGCGCCAGCAAGCACGGGGTCCTGCGCGAGATCAGTCTGCCTCGCAAGCGCTGGAATTCGATATACATCGTCTCGAAGCCGGTCACAATGCATTTCGAAAGACAGCTCTCACTTTCTTCCGAGCAACATCGGCTCCCGAGGCTCATATAATGCACGTGCGGATGACGCCCCGTGTACTGACCATTACGAAGCCTGGCGAGTATCGTTTCGAGATTTTCACCAATACTGTACAGTCGTTCGTGTACAGTGATGTCGACAATTCATGCACACTCGTGCTCGCCGAGCCGCCTAGATGCTTCGCAGCCGTGGGCGAGCTGAACAGCAGAGGGCCAGAGTACGAGCGCAGCGACTGTTGCCTTAGTTGGCGCGACCACGGGCGGTATGTCGCTGATTGCTTGGTGTACAAATTTACAATTCTTCGACGCGATGGAAACGAGCGAGCCATCTCCGACTTGGCGGATTCCATCAGGGACCACCAATATGCCCCGTTTGTTCGGTATCGAATCGCCCAGGAAAATCATCCAGAACCCTTCGTCCAAGACTTTGAGAGCAGCATGACAAGTTTCAGAGGCAGACTTGACAACTACAACTTGAGAAAGGGCGCACTCCCCTTTCCTGTACTCTTTCAAGTCCAGGCACTTGTCTCCAACAACTACCTTCACCCTTCCGCTGGCTCTCGCCTTCTGGCGGAGATGGACAAGATAGCTAGCGAGGCGAGAGCAGACGGTGCACCATTCCCACTGACAGTGGACGCCATCAAAAAGCTACACCAGGACATTCCCTGGGTCACGCCCGAAACCGACCCCAATGAGCTTCATGTACCAGCCTTGGCAAAACTCGTCGTTCAATATGCGTCGAGCGCCCGACGAGAGAACCCTGCAGAGAGGCACCCCGTGTACGGTACGCCTATTCCAGGCCATCAGGCCTGGATCATGAAGGCCATGATTACTCCGACGCGTATCATCTTCCATGGACCCGAGGCCGAGAGCCAGAATAGGATATTGCGAATGTTCCCGAATCACACAGATTACTTCATTCGATGCCTTTTTGTGGACGAAGATGGGCAGGACATGATGTTCAACCCCAAGGTCTCTAATGAGCCCATATACCGAAGGTGGCGGAAGATACTAAAGGACGGTTTCAGAGTGGGAGGGCGCCATTACTCCTTCTTTGCCTTCTCGCACTCCTCTCTGCGATCACATTCTGTTTGGTTCATGGCTCCATTCACGGATGACGAGTACATGCCACAGGACTACGACTCCATCATCCGCCTCCTTGGCACATTTGACGACATTCGCGTCCCCGCCAAGTGCGCCGCTCGTATTGGCCAGGCCTTCAGCGAGACGCCGTATGCGGTACCGATCTTCAAAGAGAATATCCTCACTCGGTACATTCCCGACATCAAGTCACGAGATGGTGTTCGTGTCTTCAGCGACGGGGTCGGCACCATTTCAAAGGGGGCGATGGAGATCTTTTGGAAATACCTGCCCGAGAGCGCAGCCGCTGTGACGTGTTTTCAAATTCGATACGGTGGCGCAAAGGGTATGTTATCTCTCGATACCCGACTGCCTGGCAAGATGATCTGCATTCGCAACGAGTCGATGCAAAAGTTCCAGAGCAACGACTTGAAAGAAGTCGGCATCTGCGATACCGCGTCAAGGCCGCTCCGACTCATGCTCAACCGCCAGATGATCAAAATTCTCGAGGACATGGGCACACGGGACCAGTGGTTCATTGATCTGCAGAACAAGGAGCTTCGTTTCCTGCGCGCGGTGACGGCGTCTGCTAACAACACGAGCACTTTCCTGCGCCATCAACTGATCGGCACGAACATGGGCTTTCCACAATTTATTAGGGAACTGTACTACCTCGGCATTGACTACCGACGCGATGTGTTCCTGAGGACAGTCGTGGAGAATGTTGTGCTGAGGGAACTTCGACTACTGAAGCATAAGGCACGCATCCCCGTGGAGCAGGGCGTCACACTGTTCGGTATCATGGATGAGACGGGATTCCTGAAGGAGGGCGAGATCTATATCACGTCCGACAAGGCGAACCAGATCGCAAAGCCACCTAGCAAAGGTTTTGCGCTGGTCACGCGATCGCCAGCGCTGCATCCTGGCGATATCCAGGTGGTGAACATGGTCGAGCCCCCCATTGACAGCCCGTTGCGCAGCCTCACCAACTGCGTCGTCTTCAGCCGCAATGGACGTCGCGACCTCCCCAGCCAACTCAGCGGCGGCGATCTAGACGGGGACTTGTACAGCGTCATCTGGGATCCCGCGGCCTTTGTGTCGAAGCAGTTTGAGCCGGCCGACTACCCTCGCGTGAGCCCGACCGAGGTAGATCGCAAAGTGACGCGGGATGACATTGCCGACTTTTTCATCAACTTTATGAAGACGGACATTTTGGGCATGATTGCCACGCGCCATCAGATCCTGGCGGACACCAAGGACGAGGGCACCGTGGACGCTGACTGCCTCAAGTTGGCCGGACTTCATTCTACAGCGGTGGATTCGTCCAAGACGGGGATACCGGTTGACGTGAAGCATTTGCCCAAGCCTCCCAGGACGAGGCCCGACTTCCTGGCCCCAGCGCCGCCTTTGAAGCTGTACGACCTCGGGCAGGTCGCGCACATTGCGGACGATGAAGGCATCGATATCGATGGGGGGTACAGACCGCTGTACCACAGATCGAAGAAGCTCCTGGGTCGGCTTTACCGCAATGTTGACGAGAACAAGATATGGAGTCACGATATACGTCGCGAGGTTGACAAGGAGGGTCCCTCGGTCTGGCAATTGCTCTGGGATTATGTCGAGCGCGAAATACTGGCAGAGAACTCGCATCGTCTCTCCTGGAGGCAAAGAATCAACCGTGCGTGGGACATTCGAGACATGTAGGTTCCCTTCAAGCAAGCTACTTGCGGCCTGCCTTCTTCTTACTGACTCCAACGCCAGGTATGAAAACTCAATCACCGAGAAGATGTGGGATTTCTCAGAGAACCCTCGATCGCCCATCACCGAAGTCGAGGTCTTCTGCGGGTTTATACTCAACAAGCGAGGTTCCCAGACGCGCCGGCAGCGGGACTCGAGTATCAAGTTGAAGGAGGCGATTGACCAGACCATGACCTGGATCGTCAATATGATCCGCCTTTCGGGCCCGCCACAGACCAAGGAGACTGGCGAGGACGATGAAGCGCACCAGCAGCAACACAAGGAGGAGCATCAGGACGATGTGGTGGAGCTTTGCCTTGCGTGCCTGTATGTGGGCTGCATGATGAGGGTCCCGGGAGACCGCGGCCAGCAGCTGCAGAGTTTCAAGGTTGTTGCGGCGTGCTGTCTCATCAGGGAGATGAAGACATGGCCGAAGAGACGGAGAGAGTACACGTATGATACAGGTCCTGGGAGGGCGTTTAGTGGTACGGCTTCCTACCCGGACCACTTTCAGACGACGCTCCCACTTCGATGAGTGGAATTACAGGTGTGTTTGGCGTGTATGCGGGTTTGGCATGGACATGTCGGCTCGCGTAGGGCGAAGCTGAGGCGTCACGGACATGCAGAGATTTTGGATGCCAATTGGGGTCATGTTGGACATTCTCGCGTCTGTTGTTGATATAGAATGTATTTATTTTAGGTCATTACCTCGCCTCACGATCGGGCATCGAATCCTTTTGACTCCGGCAAGCGGCCTCCTGGTTTCTCAGAAAGACAGCCCTCTTTTGCTCATGGTTCTGCAGCACTATTCTGCAGAGTTCACATTTGAGTCTGGTGTTCACAGGTGAATGGCTGATCAGTACAGAGTGCAGAGTTGGATCACATTTGCCATACTCGATACTCGTGTCCGACATGAAGCTAGCGACTTCTGTGACACCGGATTGAAGACACGGGGCTGGGCGAGGTGCCTCGCATTCACTGGCGTCGTGCAATATGCTGTTAGTGGAAAAAGAACTCGCATAGACATGAACTTGGGCGTATTTCAGATGGAAATCTTTCCTGTGAATATAGGCAGCCGCGTAACACAGTTCAGTGTTCATGTTGTTGAGCGACAGCTGGTACGTACCGCTCTGCTCGCGGTGCCAACTTCATGTTTTCTTCCCTGCATCAACTTCCTTTCTCTGCACCTACTTCTCTTCGTCGACATACATCGCAGAATCTTCAGGCATCAGCCCGACAGACTGTGAATATGGCGCAAAAGGGCCCTGAGCCCACCCTTGCTCAACTGCTGGCAACTGGCCAGCACCCTGATCTCACGCTGGCGTGTCACGGCCACATTCTCAAAGACCATAAGGCTATGATATGCTCACAATCATCAGTGCTTGAGGCGGCGGTGAGTGGACAATTTGAGGTGAGAAAACAACAAATCGTTGATAATCAAAGCTAATCAACTTCGCTACAGGAGTCCAGAACTGGCATCATCAATGCCAAAAGCTTTCGGCCGGAGACTGTGAGGCAAATGGTCGAGTTTCTCTACACCCGAGACTACAAGTGCATGCCCCAAGGCTGAAAATTCTCCAGCAATTTATCAAACGTTTGACGGTTGACCCGAGTTCTAGTTGAAGACACCACCGTCCCGATGAGAGGACCGTGGCAGCGAGACAGGCGAAAGCGAAATACGCGACCTCAAGGAAGAGATCGGCAGGGCCCGTACCGTAGGCTATGTCCTGGGCTGCCGCGATCACTGGACTCCGCCCCGGCGTCACAACCGGCCTTGTAGCCCGCCTTGTATACTGGACTTGTCTTGTTGATTCTGACTCGCTTCCGGCTGGTCTCCACCGCGGCATCGACGGCATCCATGCGCTTTCACTTCGGCTCCGCGGACGCCGATCCCTCCTCTTCTCTTCACCCTCGCTGTCCAAGTCGGCAGCACTCTTGCCGCCCTCCTTGTCTGAGTCATGCAGGCCTTGAGACTCAACAGCTTCCTCCATGGGGAATCCTTCACCAAACATGACGGTCATGTGCTCAAGTTCGTCTGGGGTGATCTTTGTTACGAGGAGACAGTTTCCATAGCTGTCCAGCCACATGATCTTGTAGAAATCTTGCTCAATCACCTCCCTATCAACGAAGCAATAGTAAGAGTCCATACAATCGCTCAGGCTCTCGAAATCTTGAATTTTGTGTCTCCGGCTTCGTCCTTGGTTCGTGTGATAATCCGATCTGTCCTTATCGCAATATCCAGGCATCCGCTCGAGTAGTTTCAATCGTAGTCTCTCTGCGTCATCATCTTGATCTTACAACTCCTTATTGTCCAGAATCCACATCATGCCCGTATTGATATGCGCGTCGAAGCTCGGCTCCATTTCAATGTACTTGGACTCGAGGGCTTTGTCGTAGCAGAGACGCACGCAGACTAGGTTGCTGCTGCTGCAAAGCTCACCCAGATTTCTTTCATTGTTGGTCTGGAATGACCGGAGAACTCGATGAACCTTTTCACGACCAGGTTTTGGTTGCGAGCCATCATTCTTCTGTGTCTTGAACATGAACATGAACATGAACATGTTTGCCTTATCGTGAAGTACATGTAAGGAGCAATCACCGGGGTGACGAACTTCCGCATACTTGCGTCTGAAACAATATAGGTTCACACTGTGATCTCACTCCCCCATTACACTTAGGTAGGATTTTCCTATACAACAATTAAGGCACTTGGACATACTTCTGCAACGCGTGGTAGTCATTCATTCTTAAGAGGCCATTAGCACCCCGCCTGTCTTACCCGCAATGTCTCACTGTATCGAACTACGAATACCGACCCGATGTCTCAGCCACCCGTGATCCGGGCCACCAGAGTCCAGACTCGACCAGACTCCCATCAACATACATTTGGTCTAAATCCGTGCTTCGCATTGACCTACAAAAATTCTCGAATAGTGTTCCAGAATCCTTGCGGCTGCTCACACATGGGCAGGTGGCCAGCCCCCTCCACGACCTTCAACTCGGCCCCGTGACCTCCCAGTTCTCCTTTAAATCCATCCATGGCCTTGACCAGCCCCCCTTTGCCATCCACCTCCCCCACGACGAATAATCCAGGGACGGTGCACCCATCCATCTTCGGCTTCAAATCATAATCCCAGAGCGCGGTGCAACTATGCGCAAAACCCTGCACGTCATTCCTAGACACCATTTCCACCATCCAGTCCTTGGTCGCCGGCTTGGTGTCCGGATGGAACCAGCGCGCGACAGTCTGCTCAGCGAGCTTCTTAATGCCCTGATTGTTGTCCACCTCCGCCATGGCGATCCTGTCTTTCCACGCTTGGGTGTTTGCTGTGCTGGACGTGACGTTAAAGTCGCACGCGACAAACTTCTTCAGACGATCGGGGTGTTGCATGGCAAAGTTTAGGGTTGTCGCGCCGCCCATGGAAACGCCTACCAGAGCTTCTAGCTTGGCGATCCGCAGCCCGTCGAGCAGGGCCTGGAGATCAGCTGTGACGGTGTCGAGGGTGGCTGCCTTGGGTGGCTGCGGGATGGCATGTCGCCCACGCACATCATAGCGTAGGATTCGCAGGTCGGGCCTCTCTTTCTTGAGTAGTTCAATTAGGGGATCCCACATGTGCAGGTCTGTGAGGAGGGAGTTGCAAAACGCAACGGTCGGTGCATCTGTGGCTTTGTTTCCTTCCAGACAGTACGGAATGTCTAGACCATCTGCCATGGGTACGTACGACTCGATCACGGGGTCAGTGCCGGTCAGAGTCCTCGTGCGCTCATCTGTCGAGAAAAAAGCCGCATCGGATGGCAGCTTGGACAAATTCTCCAGGTCCCGTGCACCGGAGCCAAACACGTAGAACAGCTCGTACATTCGCCTGTCGCTTGCCGCGGTGTACTTGATCATCACTTCACCTGCTCTGGGTGTTGCGAGCGCCGTTTGGGTCTCTGGGCCGCGAATGCCATTGTTCTTGGCGAATTCATGCAGACCAAGAAACCTAAAGGTGGCCTTGCCGTCTTCGACGACGGACGTCTTGTACATGCGCGAGCGGAGCCACCCGGGAACTTTGGACAACATGTCGACGTTCTCCTCTCCGTACCACTTCTGAAGCTCCTCCTTTGCCTGGGGATCCTCGTTGGGTGTGAGATCGACAGCAAGTAACACACGACCAAGAGCGTCCTGGTCAGTCGTGTCCTCTGGTGCCTTGAACCCGTCTGCGCTTCTCTCGTGGATCAAGTCCCAAAAGCCCCTCGTGATATCGATTTGCGCAACGACACTCGCCTCGCGCTTGGATCTGTTGGCTCTCAGGGTAAGGTACCGTTCCGTCTCTAGGTCGTGAATGTCTTTGACGTCGTAGAAAGCGGCGAACGTGGGCTCGCGTTCATCGAGCGCGCGGCAGCGAACACCGTTGCCAAAAATGTCTGAGAGGCGAACACGCGTCGGACCGTGCTCGTTCTGGTACCATTCATCGAAGACTGGGAGGTCCAGGGTGGGCTTGGGCTGCATGAGTGCCTGGAGCAGTCCAGGCGTCGGCATGGTGAAGATGATGTCGCAATGTGCCAGGCGCAATTCATGAGGGATACGCAGATCGAAGCGCAAGAATTCAAAGATTGATTCGAATGAGAGACGGCGGATGACGAAGGTTTCAATGTTGAAGATGGGGTTGAACGTTTATCCAAGTCCCGGGGACCCAAGACCCCGCATGTGGGAGCCGGCAAATGTATCGGGCTCCGAATCAGCCCCAAGGACGGCCTCCAAGTACTGGAAACATTACATTTCTGTTCACAAACTTTGTGTGGTTGACTTGATCTTAAGACTTTGACCTATCTAATTGTCTATCTCGTCTAGTAGTAAAGATCCCAGAAATCTCGACCTATATATATCGATGCCCTCCCGTAGGATATGCAAACGCTGGATCGATGGGGAAGCATAAATTGCCAGACGCACCTTCGTATCTCATATGCATTACAGTCATGTCTCGTTCATTCTCATGCAGTCGTGCCGTAGCCGCCAGCCTCGCTGACACTCATAAGCCGCTGCCGCTCCTTCTCCTGGTGGAACACCCTGCCCTTGATTGCGACATAGGTCGTCAGAGCAAGGCCGACGATAGCCCCGCAGGCACCGAGTCCAATGTTAACGGGCACGGGGTTCCCGTGGAGGGGGCCAAACACGAGAGCGTCGATGGCGGTTTGGGCAAAGTTGCTCAGGCCGGAAATGCAGACGACGGTCCCGTAGATGCGGCCGAAACTGGCGAACCCGAAAACCTTGGCGGCATAATCACTATGTTGGGGTCAGCACATGCATTCCCAAAGAGAGACAACGCCTGTACTTACGAGATAGCCGAATAATACAATGGTCGGAAGAGCACAAACAAGATGACGGTGCTGTAACCAGCCCACACAAACGGCAGACAGTTCAAAGCGCCAATAGAGATGATAAAGGCCGTAAGCAAGCCGGCGATCGATGCCACACTCAGTCTGTTGAGAATGAGCCCAATGAAGGGCGTCGCCGCAATGCCACCAATGGGCAGTGCCGCGTCGAAAAAGTGGTTGATCTGCGTCGCCGTCTCTTCGTCCTTTAGCATATACACGTACTGCGACTGGATGGTCGCGATAAAGTAGTTCATCCGGAACATCTGCGTCACGGTGAGGGCGAGGATGAGCAGATACCACGGCGTGCGCATCTGTCGATTAAAGGGCATGCCGTGGAGGACACCCCACACACGACTCGCCTCCTGGCGTTCTTCTTCGAGCTTGATGCGTTCGTCGCGTTCGTCGGCATCACCAACAATGTCTTCAAGCTGGTCGAGCTTGGCATGGCGCTTGTCGGCACGAATGCTGCGCACGCGCTCGAGCTCGTTGTTATCTTCGATGTCTTCGTCGGACTCGTGTATGTCGCGCATGGGATCCTGAGCCTTCTCGATCTTGGTCTCGAGCTCTGGAATCGTGTGGTACGGATGCGGCGGCATGAGAGAGAGCTCCAGGAGGAGGATCAAGAGCGGCACAACGAGGTAGCAGAAGAAGAACTTGGCAGGTGAGAACCCTCCGTCTGTCTTGTCGTAGGCCATGCGGTAGAACAAGAATACGGCAGCTGACGCGTCAAAGGCGCCAGTGACGAGAGCCACCACGAGACCAGAGTGCTTCGGGAAAGCATTGGCTAATTCGAAGCTGGATACGAACACATAGGTCCCACCCAGAGCGAGGAAGACGTTGCCGGCAATGTAGCCATCAAAGTCGGATATCGCAAACGAGCAGGCCATGAGCAAGGTCCCGATGGCCAGCAGGAAGCTCGCCATGATCCAGCAGAGACGCCTCCCGTACCTATCGAGCGTTGCGCCGGCCAGCAGAGAGCCGACATTGGCAGTGATGGAGGCGACGACGAAGAAGAGGTTCAGACGTATGTTCTGCTGCGGGCAAGGCAGGATGACCTTGTCGTGGTGGATGATCAGCTCCTCTGAAGTGCAGAGGTCGGCGTACACACCTTCGGCTACCAGCACGGGCTTCAACGCGGCGAAGCCAAAGACAATGCCGGACGCCAGCCAGTTGACGATGATCCCCGCTATCACCTGAGCTGCTGTGGTCAGCGCGGGAGTTCATGCGAAGAGATACGCGCGCACTCACCTATCCTCCTTGTGTTGGTGACCTTGTATGCGGCATTGCGCTCCAGGGGTTCGTCGAGCTTGAGGTCTAGGGGCGCGTAGCTCAATTCGCGCCATTCGGGCATGAGGTTCTGTTCATTGCTCTCCTCAACGCCTGCCTCGGAATGCGGTGCAGGGGCCCATAGCAAGCTCTGTCGCTCATTGTCCTGGTCGTCGCCGGCGTGGGAGGCGGCAGGGCCCTCGTAGTCAAAGCCGACGGCCTGCGTGACGTGCTGGGCGAGCGACATGAAATGGGTCGAGTACAATGCAGAAGTGTCACAGCGCTAGAAAAAGAAAAGAAGGAAGTCGGCGATAAGAGTGGCAGGAAGGAAAGGGCTTCTACGACCGCCAGAAAAGCAGATTAAGAAAAGGTCGACGAGGGGCCAGATGAAGGAAATTCAGAGGAGACGTTGGACAGCCGATGAAAATCCCAACAAGGCTGCGCTGCTCTGCGTGCCCTGTCCGATAAGCATGGGTGGGTGCTTGTTGATAAGGTGGTGGTGACTCGATGCGCGCGTCGTCGCACGACGGACAAGGATGGGGCAGGAGATGGAACCATCGAGCTGTCAAGCAATACCTAATTACAAGTGTCAACTACTCTGTAGCTCCGACGTGGTGGCCTCAGCTCATGCATGCACAAGGTGGGGAGGGTAGCATGAAGGTCAGGTAGCATTGAATGCGCCGTCGAAATTGCTGGAATGTCCGTTGCATGTGTGTGATGTGATGGAACTCAACTGGCAGGCGCTGGCGTCGCGGCTGCAGGCTGGAGTCTGGAGGTGACAGCTCCTCGATGGACCGATGACGACAAGGCCGAGGTTCTCGCCGGGCCTGTGGAGAACCAGTCACGTGTGCCTTGGTTCTGATCTTCTGGAGTTGGCCGACTTACCAACCTCCTGCGGGCTCTCAATATTATACTGTCATCTTGAAATGGTGCTGCTCGCCCACCCATATCCCGTCCTGCGAGCTTCGACAGCAGTGTTCCACCGAGATTGGTAGTTCGGCCTAAAGATGTCTCGCCTCCAAAGTTTCCATGCACGATTGCGACCCCGCATTCGAGTTCATGGGTAGGGAATGAATGATCCAGGGCCCAGGCTCTCAAAGCTGCCACAAACTAATGACTCTCCCTGGATTCGCAAGGAACGGTTTTGATGGCGTCGAGACAGCATCAATAGTGTCTTGATAGTGCTTGCATCCCGAGGATCTGTTCCTGTTCACTCAATTGGACCACAACGTCCTGTACGCTTCGCGCTACATCACAATACACGCGCGTTAGTCTTCCCGAAGTCATCAACTACCGAGATGCTTCCCCAGCGTGGGGCGTTCTCTCCCCCGTACTTGAGCCTAAACCACCGCGCTTGTTCCTATTGGAGGAAGTAACAAACCTCCGGCCGTGATGCACGAAAAGCCCACTCTTATCAGCGCCGCCTTGTCTCTGGGGATCAACGTGCCGAGCTCGCTCGCTCGCTCGCTTGACGGAATAGCCATGGGACATGGGGCGACAGCTGGTTATAAGTAACCTAGTCTTCCAGCACTAATTAGACAGCACCAACCCAATTCTACAAGTGGTCCAGATCTGCCCTGCGTGCGACATGTTGGCTGTAAAGAACCTCCTGCGACTGGCGACTTTGGCCGCACTTGCAGGGTCTGCCATATCTCAAGATGAGATTGAAGACTGGCCTGTGCTCGACAATGGCCTTACCGACATTGTCCAATGGTGCGACTGGCAATCCGTGGTAACAGGTATCAGATGACTAACCGCAGCAGGGACCATCACAGTTACTTTGTCAACGGCGAGCGACTCTTCATCTTTTCCGGCGAGTTTCACCCATGGAGAAACCCTGTCCCCGAGCTCTGGCGCGATCTCCTGGAAAAGGTCAAGGCGGCTGGCTTCAACGCCTTCTCCATCTACAACTCCTGGGGCTACCACAGCGCCTCGCCCGATGCCCTCGACTTTACGAATGGCGGCCACAACTTCACCTCCATCTTGACCCTCGCCAAAGAGCTTGGCATGTATATCATCATCCGCCCTGGCCCCTATGTCAACGCCGAGGCGAACGCCGGTGGGTTCCCACTCTGGCTCACAACTGGCGAGTATGGGGCTCTCCGAAACGATGACGAGAGGTACACCAAGGCTTGGACGCCGTACTGGGAAGAGATTTCGAGCATCATCGAGCCTCACCTGATCACCAATGGCGGCAACGTCATCATGTTCCAGATCGAGAACGAGCTGAACGGTCAGTGGAAAGACATTGAGGACCGCGTGCTCAACCCCGACATTGCCAACTACATGCAGCTCTTGCAGGACAGTGCGCGCGAGTCGGGTATCGACGTGCCACTGGCGCACAATGCACCCAACATGCGCGGCTATTCATGGTCTCGAGACTTTTCCAACGCGACGGGCAACGTCGACGTTGTCGGTCTCGACAGCTATCCGTCCTGTTGGAGCTGCAACCTGAGTGAATGCACCGGTACAAACGGCGAGTACGTGCCGTACCAGACCATTGAGTACGGCACCTACTTTAGTGTGCAGTCGCCATCGCAGCCCAACTTTATGCCCGAGTTCCAGGGAGGCTCCTACAACCCGTGGGGTGGACCTCAGGGCGGGTGTCCCGGGGACATTGGTGCCGACTTTGCTAACCTGTTCTATCGCGACTTGATCTACCAGCGTGTGACGGCCATCTCGCTGTACATGCTGTTTGGCGGGACGAATTGGGGTCACAGCGCGTGCCCAGTTGTGGCGACCAGCTACGACTACTCGTCACCCGTATCGGAGAACCGCCAACTGTGGAGCAAGTACTACGAGACCAAGCTTCTCGTCTTGTTCACACGCGTTGCGCATGATCTGGCGTACACCAACCGCGTGGGCAGTGGCACCGGCTACACGGACAATGACGCCATCCGCACGGCTGAGCTGAGGAACCCAGACACCGACGCTGCCTTTTACGTGGTTCTGCACGAGACTTCGAGCTCGGGTACCGCCGAGCGCTTCGAGCTCAACGTGAACACCACCGAGGGTGAAATGACGATACCCCAGTTTGGCAATGCAATCACCATTAACGGCCACCAAGGCAAAGTGCTCGTGACGGATTTCAAGTTTGGTGACAAGAAATTGCTGTACTCGACCGCAGAAGTGCTCAGCTACGCTGTGATTGACGGCAAGGCGGTGCTCGCGCTGTGGCTGCCCGAGGGCGAGGCAGGCGAATTCAAGATTCTGGGCGACACGGGCGCCAAATTGATGAGGGCTGCCGCCGAAGACTCGGTGGTTTTGTATGAGGAAGATGAGGGACTAACCGTGTCCTACGTGCAACAGCGTGGGATCAATATTGTTGAGCTCGAGGATGGCACCCGCGTCCTGATGATGGATCGGTCTGCAGCATACCGCTTCTGGGTGCCTAGTCTGGGTAACGATCCCATGGTGCCTGTGAACAGCACCGGTACGTGTGTCACTGCCTTGATGAGGTGTTTCACTGACCTTGGAAACAGTGTTTGTGCAGGGCCCGTACCTGGTCCGCGACGCGACGTACAGCGATGACGGGAAGACCTTGCATCTCACCGGTGACGAGGAAGAAGACCATGAGCTGACTGTTTTCGCGACCAAGAAGCTCTGCGGCATCACCTGGAACGGTGAAAAGGTGGAGATCAAGTCACGCAATGGGGGATTGTTCGTCGCAGAGGCCAAGGGACCTGGCAAATTCGAGCTCGACCCGCTGTCCGGTTGGGAGTGGACCGACAGTCTCCCAGAGCTGGCGAGCAACTACACCCTAAGTGACGATGTGTGGGTTGGTAGGTATCTTCATTCTGTTGATTATCCCAAGGTCTAACCAGAACCTGCAGTTGCCGACAAGGACGAGACACCGAACCCCAGCAAGCCGGCCGACAACAACCCCGTGCTCTACGTCGACGATTACCAGATCCACTACGGCAACCATCTGTACCATGCCACGTTCCCGACGACCGAAGAGGCGCCCACTGGGCTCTATTTGGACCTCATGGGCGGTTTCGCGTTCGGGTACTCGGTGTGGGTCAACGCTGAGTACATTGGCTCCTACTATGGCTTGTCGTATGAGGGTTCACACTCGGGGACCTACTCGTTCGAGAATGCCACTCTCAAGAACAGCGGCGACAACACCCTGTTGATTCTCATGGACCAATCCGGCCACGAACTTCGCGAGGCTGCCATTCAGCCCCGCGGCATCATCAATGCTACACTCGTCGGACCGTCCCAGGATGCGTACACCTTTTCCGAGTGGAGGATCGCCGGCAACGCGGGACGGGAGGAGAACATTGACCCCATGCGCGGGCCCATGAACGAAGGTGGCTTGTACGCCGAGCGTGTGGGCATGCACCTCCCCGGGTACCCCGCCAAGGGCTGGTCGAGTGTCGACTCTGGCGCAGGCACCCTCGTTGTGCCGTCTGCGGGCGTGAGAGCCTTCCGGACCGTGGCGCCGCTTGATGTACCCGACGGCCTCGATGTGTCCATCACCTTCCGGATGACGTCGACGTCAGACGAGACGTTTACGCCATCGGACGACGCTTACAGCAACCGGCTGAGGGCTATGCTATTTGTGAACGGGTATCAGTACGGTCGCTTTAACCCGTACATTGGCCATCAGATCGACTTCCCGGTGCCCCCTGGCATCTTGGACTACCATGGCGACAACACCATTCTAGTGACGGTGTGGAGCCAGGACGCCAACGGCGTGGAGATGAAGGTGGAGTGGGACGTGGACTATGTGCACACGACGAGCTTTGACATGGGATTCGACAGCTCGGAGCTGCGTCCAGGGTGGACCGAGGAGCGACTGAAGTATGCGTGAGCGGTAAGCTAGATGGAGTTGTCTGCGAGAGGCTGTTATAGAATACTGGAACATCACTCTCCCTTGAACTTCCCTGAATGACATGCTGTTCGTTGATCCCTTTGATGAGCGTCATTTCTTGTGAATATGAAACCTTCATATTTCCATCAGAACCAAGGGCCCCTACGTACGTTCCAACCTTGTGACGTTTGGAGACCCATCACAATCTGTGACGCTCCAAACAGCGTACAAATGCAGCCATCACTAACATGTCATTATTTCCGAGAGCCTGTGCATACCGCTCTTGTACACATTAGGGTGTCATTTGTAATTGTACAGTTGAAAAAAGGCTACATTTATCGGAGGCCGGGATGGTTGGATCCGAATCGGGAGCGACGACCCACAATATAAGTGGCTGGCGTCATCATAGTTGACCAACCATTGAGCGTTAAATTCCCCGTCCGATGGCTGACGCCAGCACTGGCCAATGAGATGTAACACTATCCCCCGGGGCCCATAGTAAACTCCGGCGCCAGCTGACGCTGCTTGCGATAGTATTTGGGCAAAGCTGACAGAAAGCCACTGATCCTCGATGGGAAGTGTGATCCAATATTGGAGTCTGCTTGATGTATAAGAATAGACCATTGAGACCTCAAAGAGTCTCGGCTCCTCACCAGCATCACCAACACCCTACATATTTTACACTCAGTGTCTTTCAGACTATCTTCCACTGCCCCAGCCACCAATCCATTTACAAGCCCCAACACCAGCACAATGCCTCGTTTTCAGGAAGGAAACACTGCCGCCGAGCTCGCTGCTCACCACTCCCCCTCCATCACCGGCAAGATCATCCTAACGACAGGCGTCACCCCCGGATCTATTGGCGCTCGCTACATCGAAGCCCTCGCTGCCCATGCGCCCAAGCTACTCATCCTCGCCGGCCGGTCTCTCCCCAAACTCAACAAGCAGGTTGAGGTCCTCGCCCAGGCGCACCCCGACGTCGAAACTCGCCTCCTCCAGGTCGACCTTTCCAGCATCGACTCCGTCACCAAGGCCGCCGCCCAAGTCTACAGCTGGACCGACGTACCCATCATCGACATTGTCGTCAACTGCGCCGGCATCATGGCTGTCCCCTACGCCCTCAGCGTCGACGGCATCGAAATGCAGCTCGCCGCTAACCACATTGGCCACTTCCTCCTCACCAACTCCATCATGCCCAAACTCCTCGCAGCCGAGGGCACACCGCGTGTCATCAACGTCTCGAGCAACGGTCATCGTCTGAGTGCCATGCGCTGGGGCGACATCAGCTTTGACGGCGGCAGGACGTACGATCCGTGGGTCGCCTACGGGCAGTCCAAGACGGCCAACATGCTCTTCTCCCTCGCCCTAGCTAAGAAGCTCGGCAATCGTGGACTGTTGAGTTTCAGTGTACATCCTGGTCTCATCACGACGACGGGGTTAGCGACACATCTAGCTTGGGTCGCCGAGGGAGAGGAAGAGGATGCCATGACGACACTATGTGAGTACCTATTTTCTTTCCTTCTTCTTGCTTTCAACAAGCTGACCGGTTTTTCCTGTAGTGAAGAAGGACCAGGAGCTCGGTAACGAGGTCGGCTTCGGTGACGCCTGGTCCAAGCTAGTCGTGCCCGTCTCCTCCGAGGCCGGTGCCGCAACGCAGATGTATGCCTCTTTCGACCCGGAGCTCAAGGCGCACAATGGTGCGTACCTCGAAAAGTGCCGGCCTTCGGATCCCATGAAGGATATTTTCAGGCCGTGGGGAAGGGATGAGTATGAGGCGGAGATGCTCTGGGCATTGAGCGAGAAGCTTACGGGACGGAAATTCGATTATTAGGGTCATTGGTGGCTGCGTTCAGAAAATCTGTGGAACGGATCCTTGGGAAAGTTGCTGTTCCTCGGGTGCGTTAGAAACCTAATGGATGGCTATAGCATTATCGTGTGGAGAACATAACATGGTGGTTGATTGTTCAGCTTTCGGTGCCGCACTCTCTCACCAATCGAGGAGATGCGCAGATCTCAAAAGCTCCAGAGCACGCTATTCTTAATGGAAGCAAACTCGCCGGGCTAATGGGGCACAGACTCAGCCCAGGACAGTGAATGGGTGACCAATGATAGACAATCGCCAATGCTCACCTCAGCGGCCAAGCTTGCTGTGTAAGCACCAACTCGTTTGGGGGCGAGACAAACACAAAAAGGGCCGGATAGTTATGTGTGACCTTGCCTGCGGGGATCTAGATGCTGTGAGCCTGTGATTGCTGCCAGTATAGATACCATAGGCAAAGCCAACCCACATTGAAGCTGGGTATCATTTCCCGTCTCCCTCGACAAGAGCAGTCGACTCCCACCATGGGCATCCAAAAGGCCCTGCCCCCGGGCCTCGACGAGTTCGATATAGTCATTGCAGGCGGTCAGTCACCACAAAGCACACACACTCCTCTTCACTCAACTGACCACAACGTCAGGCGGCACCGCCGGATGTGTGATTGCTGCACGCCTCGCCTCCGCTCTGCCTACCCTAGAGATCCTCCTCCTCGAGCAAGGGCCCAACAACTTCGAGGACCCCTTTATTGTGAATCTCGGCCTGTTCTTCGCGCACCTCATGCCTGAGGGCGACAAGGGGCTCTTCCACAAGGCCAATCCGTCCAGACACGTCAATGGTCGTGAGCTGAACGTTCTATCCGGGGGTTGCCTCGGCGGCGGCTCGTCCATCAACATGGCCATGTACAGCCGTCCGCAGTGGTCTGACTTTGACGGATGGGGCGGAGAGGGCTGGACGACGGAGGCTATGCTGCGATGTATGAAAAAGGTCCATCTCCAACCTTGACGGGCCTAGACAGCTTGAGCTGAGATGTGTACAGGTTGAGGACTACCACGACCCGGATCCAGAAGGCTCACACGGCACAGGAGGCCCCGTCCAAGTATCTGGCGGGCCGTACCGTGCTAAGCACGCCGAGGAAGATTTCCTGCGAGCGCTGGATAAGGCAGGATGGCCAGTCGTGTCGGATCTGCAAGACCTGAGAGCCGTCAACTCTTTCGCGCGGGCGAGAAAGATGGTCTCGCCCGAGGGCAAGAGACAAGACGCCGCGCACAAGTACTTGCATCCAAGGCTCAGTGACGGGGCACACTCGAACCTCCACGTGCTGGTCGAGACGCAGGTCGTCAAGGTCCTTGTGGAAGGTGGCGGGGCGAAAGGAGTCATCTTCCGATCGAACCCCAAGTTTGGGTCGGTGGACGTCTCGGAGAAGACAGTCAAGGTGCGAAAGATGGTCGTGGTCTCGGGGGGCTGCTTTGGATCGCCCACAATCCTCCAGCGCTCGGGCGTGGGTCCCAGAGACGTACTCTCCAAGGCTGGTGTACCTCTTCTGGTCGAAAACAACGGCGTCGGCGCTGGTTATGAGGATCATCAAGCTATGGCCTACGGCTACAAGACAAGTCTCGAAATGGAGGAGACGCTGAATGGGCTGCTGTTCGGCTTGACTGACATTGGAGAGCTCCTAAAGAACAATGACCCCCGTCTTGGGTACAATGGCCAAGACGTGAATGGCAAGATCAGGCCCACGGACGAGGAGGCGGAGGCCATGGGACCAGCATTCAAAGCAGCTTGGGACGCCCACTTTCGGGACACGCCCGACAAGCCCCTGGCTGGCCTGTCTCTGATCAACGCGTACGTTCACTTTTTCTTTATGTCGCAAAGTTAGCATGCGAAAGCTGTGCTCATCAATGCAGGATCCCCGGTCTTGCAAAGGACGTCCTACCAGCCTCGTATCTGGGCCTGTCCGCCTTCTCCATGTATCCCCTCTCGCGTGGCCATGTCAACATCACCGGCCCCGACATGTCCGACCCAGTCGACTTTGACACCGGGTTCCTCGCAGACAAGGATGGCATCGACATCAAGAAGCACATCTGGACGTATAAGAAGCAGCGCGAGATCATGCGTCGCATGCCCTGCTACCGAGGCGAGGTCCCCTCATGGCACCCCCCGTTCCCCGAGACGTCAGGCGCTGCCTGTCGGGACTTGACAGACGAGCTTTCTGATCCCATCAAGGATATTGTCTACACGCACGAGGACGAGGCAGTGATTGGCGCACATGTCCAGGCCAAGACGGAGACAACGTGGCATTCGATGGGGACATGCAAGATGAAGTCCTGGGGGGAGGGCGGTGCTGTCGACGGCAGTTTGGGCGTACACGGCGTCAAAGGTCTCAAGGTCGCTGATCTGAGTATCTGTCCGCGCAACGTGTCTGGGAATACGTGCATGACGGCCCTGGCCATCGGTGAGCATGCGGCTGATATCTTTATCCGGGAGCTTCAGTGACGGCCAGATGCCAAGGACCAGTCATGGCTCAGCCTGGAGTATGCGTCTGTCACGTAGAGGCAGTCGAGCACGCGTCTGGCTGCGAACTGCCGGATGAGCGAGCACCTGTCATATGTTTCTTGGACGTCCACGGTCCCCCGAGTCCGATATCACGGGTGGGGTTAGAGTGACTGCGGGATTGGAACTGACAATCCGGAGCCGGGGCCAATGGCGTCTCTGCGAATGCGACGCATCCAATAGCGACAGTGAATGAGTCGACAGATTGCTCAATGGCAGGTCAGCTTGCTTCTATCGCATAGACCGTTTGAACGCCTGGTATTGCCATTGCTTCGAGTAACGCTACACATCTCGACAGAGATCGACTCGTGCTGTCAACTTGCTGGTAGCAGCCGTCGAACAGCGACCTCCGTCTGGCTGGTTGCCAGGCGCGACGTGGCTCGCTGGCACGCTGCAGCACGTTGGGCAAGCTGGGCAGATGAGTGGTGGGTCCCGGGGATAACGGACGTCCGGCCACAGTGAATCGAAGGGCGCGAGGATACGGTACGGAACGGTATCTGTTCGCGTTGATGGCGCTGCCTGTCAGCTGGGCTCACAGTTTGTGTGTCCGCGTGAAGGTCGTTCTTCTTGAGGCGCTTCTGGCCAAAGTTAGTCGCGCTCTTGGACAGGACAGGAATAACCATGGCGAATTATTCGCCTTGGACAATCAAGGTGGTTTCGAAGCACGGATATGGACGCCCGAATGTTCCCGAGCCAAGTTTTCTGCCGGGCGGTCAGCCGTCGCTTGCCGGATTTGCGCGGCGATTGGGCCCTCTCATTGGCTGCGCAGAGATTATTACGGGCCCTCCCGCACAGTGACGAAGGCCGCGCCGCCTCCACTGGCCCTGGCACTGTACGTACTGGTGGAGGAGCCACTTTACCTCTGTAGGCTGGCTTACCCTTTGGCTGGCTGGACACTGTGGCTGGCGAAGGAAGGAAGCACCAGCCGCCGAAAAGACCTCAATCTGCCACGGCCGGCTCTGACACAATTTTCCTCCCTCTCCCTACCCATCCATCTCCAACAGCCTCTTTGTTTTTTTTCCCGTCCGTCGCTGCTTGTCGTCGGTCTTCTTGCTTCCCTCTTGTCCATCACCTGATTGACACTCTCCGCTCTTCATCATGTCGTCCACCGGTTCCGTCAAGGTCGACGCCGTCGTCGAGAAGGCCAAGGCCGCCGCTCCCAACACCCCCACGGGCATCGACCTGTACTCGCGCTTTGCCCTCTCCGGTGCCATCTGCTGCTCTCTCACCCACGGTGGTCTGACCCCCGTTGATGTGTACGTTGCACTCCTGCGTGTCTGCTGTGCGCGCGCGCTGTCGTGTCGCTCCTTGCGCCCGAAGCAAGCGCGCGCGCGTATAGCCGAGATAAGGAAACCCCAAAGCTAACACCCTCCCCAGCGTGAAGACCCGCATCCAGCTTGACCCCAAGACCTACAACCGCGGTCTGATCGGTGGCTTCCGCCAGGTTGTCCAGAACGAGGGTGCCGGTGCTCTCCTCACGGGTGTCGGCCCTACCTTTGCCGGCTACTTCCTCCAGGGTGCCTTCAAGTTCGGAGGATACGAGTTCTTCAAGCAGCAGTGGATCAACAACATTGGCTACGAGTCCGCCTCCAAGAACCGCACCGCCGTCTACCTCGCCTCCTCCGCCTCGGCCGAGTTCTTCGCCTCCATCGCCCTGTGCCCCCTCGAGGCCACCCGTATCCGCCTCGTCTCCCAGCCCACCTTTGCCTCCGGCCTCATCTCTGGCTTTGGCAAGATCCTCAAGAACGATGGCATCGGTGCTTTCTACGCTGGTTTCGGTCCCATCCTCTTCAAGCAGTAGGTGTTCTTCTATTCCTTCTCCGTGAATTTGCGGCTAATCATGCCCCCCAGGATCCCCTACACCATGACCAAGTTCGTTGTCTACGAGAAGGCCGCCGAGGCCATCTTCAGCGTCTGGGACAAGAACTCCCTCTCCAACGGCATGCAGACCGTCGCCAACCTCGGTGCCGGTCTCATGGCCGGTTTCGCCGCCGCCATTGTCTCCCAGCCCGCCGATACCATGCTGTCCAAGATCAACAAGACCAAGGGTGAGCCCGGCCAGGGCACCATCTCCCGCCTCGCCGTCATCGCCAAGGAGCTCGGCATCCGTGGTTCCTTCAGCGGTCTCCCTGCCCGTCTCTTCATGGTCGGCACCCTGACCGCCGGTCAGTTCGCCATCTACGGTGACTTCAAGAAGCTCCTCAACGCCACTGGTTCGTGATCTCCCGATTGCCTCCCCTAGTCTGCTGATATACTAACAATGCGCGCTCCAGGTGGTGTCGAGATTGCCAAGTAAACGAATTTGCGCATAGAGAAGAGTTCACGGGGCGATGAGTGTTTATCTGGCCCAAGAGCTGGGCGGGATATCACTCGCGTACTCGCCTCCACGATGGACATGTGAAGAGGGTTATTGCCTTTGTGTAACAGGCTTTGCAGGATATCGAAGATGGGGCGGTGATGCCGAAATGGCATTGCCCTTGTCGTAGCGAAGGGGGTGCAGGATTTTGACTCGAGACATGCAGAACAATCATAGAAAACGGGTCGGGATCCGGTTGCCATCCCAGTTGCTGGGGTTGTACTATAGCCGATTTTATGCGACTTTCATAATAGATCTGGAGAGTTTCACGCTGCGTCCTTGTGTTGCTTCATACTTATGTCTCGCCTCATTCAAAATACCGGGTATCAACGACCTGTCTACACTCCAAACGCCGGCTCATAAATCACGAGAACCACATAGACACCAATAGCAATCACAGCCCCTTTCCGGCACCCCACTCTTGCAACACCGTCGGTTCCTGCACCGCAAAGCCCTTCCCACTCAGATGCGCGCGGCAAGCCTCGTAATGACAGTACGCGACCGGCGAGTAGTCCGTACACGTCCTTACCTTGGCATCAGCCAGGGCGAGGACGCCCCTACCGGCGGCGTCCCGGACGTGTACGTTGGCCTTCTCCTCAATCAGTGTCTTGACCGCCAGCTTCCGCCCACATCGCACCGCAACGTGTAGAGCTGTCTCGCCGGCTCGATTGCGGGCGTTGATGTTGGCACCCCGCTCGAGGAGAGCCCTAATGATGGCGGGGCCGGTCTTGTAGTCGTCGTCCTCGGGCAGCTCAGCGCAAAAGGCCATCAGAGGCGTGTTGCCGTACGAGTCGTAGTGGTTGGGGTCAACGCCAGCATTTAGTAAGCCCTCGGCAAGCGAAAGACGCAGCTGCAACCGCTCTTCCGAACAGTCCAGCATCTCGTCCGCCGTCTTGCCCCTCTTCCGTTGTCGTCCTTGCAATGTCGGCGTCATGCTGGCCTTGTTCATGAAGCTCTGCACGCTCAAAGATGCCATTGCCAAACAATGCAGTCCATTCCGACCATCAGCATCTTCCAGTGCCGGCTCTTGCAAAGCGCATCGAGCAATTTGCAGGTATTCACTGTCGCGAACGGCGGCTGGATCGTCTGCGCTGGGCGAGCCGGACAGGGCCGGGAGATCCAGGTCCATACCTGTTGGGTTCAAGGCCGGCTTGACGCCGAAGGCATCACGTGCACTCAGGGTCAAGGAGCTATGTCGATGTACCGACTCGATGGAGGAGGGTGTCAGGGTTTCGGAAGCCATCCAAGCATGTAAAAACGTCCTTCCGTAATGGTCGCGTGCGAGCGCCTCAAAGCCATGTCGGTCTCTGAGAGCCTCAACCATCCCCAGAAGTCCCTCAATCATGTCGGCTTGGTGAAACCACATGTCGCCAAGGACGTGGAGGAACGTCTGGCCGGCCGTATTCCTGACATTAACCATCGACCCCCAGGAGTCATTGTGCAAGGTTTGCAAAAGCAAAGACGGAGGCCCGCGGGCTGCGAGTGCGTGCAGCATGGTATTGCCAAACTGATCTCGCATCCCCAAGTGACCGATGGCTGGCCCATATGTCACGAGCTGGTGCGTATCATCCGTCAGACGGTCGGCACAGACCCAAACCGAGTGAGGGGCGTCAATGAGCAGATGACACATGCACCAACGCTTCTGGTGCTCTTCTGACTGAGGAAAGCAAGGATGCTGCCGCCGTAGATGGATATCCATGCTGAGAAAATCGCCAGGCAGGGGATACGGACGGTGGCTGTATGAGTGAGCTGCATCGACGTCATTGAACCAGGACTGGTCATTCGTGTAAACATCCGACCGAGGCGAGGCGCTTGAGCCGCGGTCGCTCATGGGCGCCGTGTATTGTCGAATAAGCCGCCTGACAGTCCGCACGTAAGCTTCAGAGTAGCCCTCTAGTAGCCGGTGGAGACTGCCTGTTGTGTGATCGGTAGACGTCGATGCTGCCGGTGATACACGTGCCAGCTTTGCGGTCAGACTCGGTCCAAACACGTCGTCCGAGGCCGATCGTTGATGAATACCTTCAAAGGGAGTCTGCTCGATGCGAGAGGATTGAACCAGAGGCGAGTGTTGCCACGGAGGCACCTCCAGGGTCGCTGACTGTGGGTTTCCCTCGTATTTGATTGGTGTCACGTTTCCTTGTGTGTAGAGTGGCGGCGCAGAATAGGACTGGTTTCGAACGTATGAGGTGGAGGCGATTGTTGCCCGTACGGGTGACCGATCAAGCTGTTCGCACCGTCGGAACATATCCTCTTCGTTCTTGGGTTTGAGCCAGCGTGGCTCCTTGTCCAACAGCGCGTTGAGCTTCTTGTTGGCCGAGTCTTTGCTTGACCGGGGTTCAGCAGGGCTCAGTGTGGCAAGGCACAGGTCTCCAACTTACCCGGGGATAGAATCAAAGGGGTTGGGGTGGTGGACCACCTCCAGGATCTTGGTGATCTGCAAGGTCGTGTATAAATACAGCCGACACATCTTGCGTTGAGTTGAATCGGTCCATAGCGGCGGTCTACCAGTTTGCGTGTTGGCGCTTGGGGATGGGATGGACGTCTGTGGGATTGCCAGTCGTGACGGCGAAGTTGAATACATTTGAGCCCGCTCTTCTGAGAGATCAATTGATCTGGCAATGGCACGCTGATATAGTCGTCGTGTACACGGAACGTTGGTAAATTGCACTCCAGTGCCACAATCAATCAAATGACGATGTGCTCAGCGGTGGGACGTAACCAAGGAGAAACTCCATGGTCATGGCGTATGATATACAGCGATGTATCTTGGGGATATGGAGGCCCCATGTTGGCGTCGGCGTATGCCGGAGTCTGGGGTTCGAGGGCATGATGGCATCGCGAGACCTAGTGTGGATGTTGACAGGGAAATGTTGCTAAAGACAGCAGAAAGCCACATTGCGCCTCAAGGCATGGCATGGACCGACAGGGGAGAGCCACATCAGCAGCCACGACAACAGGGGGGGAAGGAGCGGGCCGGTGCTGCGCCTCGATTTGCTGGCATTTGGCGGCGGGACCCCCAAAATGCTCCCCCTACGGATTCCAGAGACGGGAGGGAGTCGCTGGGACTTCAAGTTTGGCTCGACGATGATGAGCAGCTATACTTCTCACGTGTTGCCAAAGGCAAAGTTGAACGAAGGCCCGCTTCACCAAGGCCGTTGTTTAGGCCATGCACAACTAGGGCCCAGAGCCCCAAATTCTATTTGACACTTGCGTGCGGAAGAGCCAAAGCGACCACAGAGTGGCCAGGTACTATGCAAGGTACTCTCGATGTCTCGTCATCACTTGGCAAGTGAGGCAGGAGACGATGCACTCAGAATAGCTTTGAGCAAAATGACTGGCGTTGTGGCGGCGCCAGACCATTGCTGCAGCCTTATGGGGTTCAGTAGTCGGCCGCCAGAAGTTAGAACTGTAATTAGAACCGTAGTCAGCCACAGCGAGGCTGACCAGCCAGACTACGGCTTGTGATGTCATGCAGTAGTTTATGCACGTCCACAGTTTACCGAAGAGGAATTATTATCCGTAGTATGATATGGATTAGAGAGGCCTGATGCTCATGCAAGGTCCCGCCGCCGTTAATGAGCATTCCGTCCTGTGATGCTTGCTAGACTAGACACAGGCCCGTCGGCAGGTAGGACGTCTTGTCTGGCTACCCTAGACCAGCGACATGAGCGTCGTTCCGAACCTGTTCATGCCAATCTGCCATTCGCAAAAAGTGTTGCAAAGTGCAAAGTTGAATATTTCCCAGCTTATACAAGATTGTTGTTTGTATTTGAGGAGTCCTCCGCGTCGCCCATTGGCGGTCATGGAACATAATTTGTTTACAGAAACCACTTAGTTATTTAAAAAGTCAAAAGGCTGTCGCTCTGTTTCGCTCGACAGACCTCTTCAAAACAAAGGCAATTTCTCGAATTATTGCCTTATCAAGAGCATAGTTCAATTCCCAAAATAATTCGAGCCTTTCTGATGTTTACACGTTAGGCCTTCATCGCTGACTCCCGACGCAGAGGACAGCTCCACGTCCCGTCGTTCAAGGTGCCACGGCTCCTGCCGTCAGCACGAGCACTGCGCCACGCGCCACATTCACCGCCTTGCCCATTATAACAACAGTCCTCCATCGTCATTACCTTTCCAACTTTCCCATGGTCATGCTGCCTGACTCGACCACCACATCCGAAAACCGCGATGCCTGGCCATCTTGATGCTAGGCAACATCCCGCAATGCGTCGTGAGCTGTGCGCTCTGAGCGAATGTGCTGCGGTTTCCCACCCAGCGCTTAAAAAGGATACCGACGCGCTCTCGAAGCCAGGCTCCTTAGCCGCCCGCAATTGGAGCGCGAGAAACACGTCCGTCTGTCGATTGGATGGCATTTTGCTGACCTGAAACGTGGTATCCGCCACGGAGATTTCCCAACGAGAAGGACAGCTAGACGGCAACCGGACACAGCAAGCTCGCTGAACATTGACTGTTACTAACTTACCATGCGCCACGATTTCCTGCGTGGGATTTATGAGCCAAGTGGCATTAGGCACATCCAAAGGACGAGAAACGAAGCTTTATCAACAAGAACATTAAGGTCTATTTGAAAGTAAATACAAATGAATAATACCAGGCACTGGATTATAATCAGCGACCCTCAAGAAGAAGTACGGGTCATGGCATTATGTCAATCCAAACTCCAGAATCCACGAAGTCAAAACCGTATCTCCAATGCATATCGTTTTTTGCTTTTTTTCCAGATTGATTTTTTCTTTCATGTTGCCAGCGCGATCACCACACTTTACAGCATGAAAGCGGCAACACCGACAGCAGCGATAACAGCCTGAGCGACACCGACGAGACGGCCGGCGGCGCCAGAGGCGGGAGGCCCGGTAGGGGTGGGAATGGGGAGGCTACCGGTGCTAGTAGGCTCGGGGATGCTGATTGAGGTCGACCACGAAGGCTGAGGGACGATGGGGCAGCCGGGTGTGCCAGGCGTGCATGGCTCTTCGGGCTGCTCAGGAGTCTCAGGCTCTTCAGGAGTGGCAGGACAGCCAGGCTCGCCAGGGGTGCAGGGCTCCTCAGGAGTCTCAGGAGTCTCCGGGTGCTCAGGAGTCTCAGGCTCTTCAGGAGTCTCGGGGTGCTCAGGCTCCTCAGGAGTGCCAGGGCAGCCAGGCTCGCCAGGGTGGCAGGGCTGCTCAGGAGTCTCAGGAGTCTCGGGGTGCTCAGGCTCTTCAGGAGTCTCCGGGTGCTCAGGCTCCTCAGGAGTGCCAGGGCAGCCAGGCTCACCAGGGGTGCAGGGCTCCTCAGGAGTCTCAGGGTGCTCGGGCTCCTCAGGAGTCTCGGGATGCTCAGGCTCTTCAGGAGTCTCAGGGGTCTCGGGGTGCTCAGGCTCCTCGGGAGTGCCAGGGCAGCCAGGCTCGCCAGGGTGGCAGGGCTGCTCAGGCTCTTCAGGAGTCTCGGGGTGCTCAGGAGTCTCAGGAGTCTCGGGGTGCTCAGGCTCTTCAGGAGTCTCAGGGGTCTCGGGGTGCTCAGGCTCCTCGGGAGTGCCAGGGCAGCCAGGCTCGCC